AAGAGACAACTAACGGGATCGGGCGACCAGGCTTGCTGACTTGGTTGATGCATGTCATCGTATCCCAATTGCGTGGATCGATGTCAATCATAATGTCAATCACTGGATTGTCTGGTCCAGATTCGATTATTTACACACCACCGTCATATAGCTGGAATATTGCTGAGTGCGGCGTTAAACAACAAACAAACAAAGCATGACCACACGATCCATTAGTCGCCTCTTACGATGACCATAGGTTGTAGGGGCCTATATTCTTACACGGAAACGCACGGGTAATATATGGAGCAGGCAACCCTTTGGTTGACATACGAGGGGTGGATGAAAAGTTGACTGTGATGGACTGCGTTGGTAGACTTGGTTGCTAATTATTTGTGAACACAGTCCCCTCCAAGGTCCACACACTTCTGCCAACGATGCTGGGCTGCCTGGATCCCTCTGTGGAAGACTTCCTCGGTCCATAGCAGAAATGACGTCCATGGGCTTAAATTTAGTTGAAAAATTGATTGATCTGCCATACTGGATGTTCTTCAATATGTGGTGCAGCACGCTTCTATGTGGGTCCCACTGCAGAAGACCTCCTCGGTGCAAAGTAGAGTTGAGGTGAAATGGGGTTTAACGTCGCGTCAAAGAGTATTGCACTTATATAGCGACGAGCATGTACATGTGCGTGGCTGCTTGACTAGTCAGGACTGATGCCGATATATAGTGCTAACACTCTGAGATACCATGCCGCAGTTTAACATGAACACTCCATTCAGACACAGTATACTGACTCCGAGCCGACCAGCCCCTTAATGCCGAGCGCCGCACAGGGTAACAACAAGTACCATCTCTAAACGTATTTTGGTATAACGCGGCCGGGGATTGAACCCTGGACCTTCCGTTCTGCAGGCGGACGCTCTACCACTACACCAGAAAGCGGTCTGTCTAAGGCAGAAATGACGTCCATGCGTGGGCTTAAATTAAGTTGAAAAAGTTGCCTTACCGGATGTTCTTCAATAACATGTGTTGCAGCACGCTTCTATATGGCCAGTTATCACCCATATTGCACCTTAAGTGCTGTTAAAGGTTTCCAAATTTACAAGCCACATTGGACCCCTAACCTCGGTGATATTCAGGACACGCAGTGTGACAGTTTAAACGCACATGACAGACACGCATAACTGCGATATTGATTTGTTGTTACTTTTTTCAGAGCTGTCATTTCAAGTTTGAACGTGTTCTTGGCTCAATATATCTAAGTTGAAAAAGAATATCATGACTTATGTTGAAATATTGCTCTCTCATTCCGTTTGTGAGTGTTGTTTCATTAAACTTCGTATATTCATTCTTCCTGTCATGATTTGGTCCTTTTTCGTAAATGAAGCCCTGTTCTTAAATTTGGACTGCTGCTTAGTTAAAATAGGTAAATCTGTAAATAAGTCCAAGGCTTAAAACGTGCAATCCATGTAGGTTACAACAACCTATAACCAAACAGATTGGGCTATAAATATAATTGGAAACAAAACCCCTTCGAAATGGCCAGGATCAAATATACTGCGTCTTGGTTGTTACATGTTGGCATACGTTTGTTCACTCACCTACTCGCCATTATGACCATCTGTGTAAATACACGTCCGGGCAAAAGAAGGTATACACCCATGTTGGGGGTGGCTAAAAATAGAACAAACAAAAAATGGTTCTTAGATGGTGATGTATTTGATACGGGTATCACAGTCGTGTTTTGGGCCTTACGTTTCCAGTGTTTCGCCGACTGTTTTCTGTCTGTAGTAACGTTTTGATTGCGTTTGTAATTCTTTGGTAAAATCTTTTGTCCGGCTGTTTATGTGCGCAAGGAAGGCCTAACATATGAGGGCGAATATAGGTGCACCGGAAGCGTTCATTACATCCCCAACATCATCATCACATCACAGTCACATCGAAACATCACCCCCAGCATGCAGTATACCCAGTCATAGATCACAAATATGTACATAGATATAAAGCCCCACAGTGAGTGAGTATGGTTTTACGCCGCTTTTAGCAGTATTCCAGCTTAATAACGGCGGGGGACACCAGAAAGGAGCTTCACGCATTATATCCATGTCGGGAGACGAACCAGGGTCTTCGGCGTGACGAGCAAACGATTTAACCACTAGGTTCCCCAGCCGCGCTCTAAAGCCCCAGAGGGTAGGTGAAGTGAAATATGTGTGCGTGCGTGCGTGCGTGCGTGCGTGTGTGTGTGTGTGTGTGTGTTCGAGTGTGTGGCTATTGTACTAGTCAAGGCTTATGCCAGTTTTAGTGCTAGCTCACTATTGTTTGTTTGTTTGTTTGTTGTCAAGTTCATGGGAAGAAATACCGACATATTACAGGATACTCCAGGCCTGTCAACGAGACGGCCCTTCTCGCACTATTATATGTTTGTGTTTTGTTTGTTTATTATTTTGTTTGTTGTTTAACGCCGCACTCAGCATTAGTCCAGCTATATGACGGCTGTCTAAATAATCGAGTCTGGACCAGACAATCCAGTGATTGAAATCGTGAGCATCTATCCACGCAATTGGGATACGATGACATGCATCAACCAAGTCAGCGAGCATGACCACCCGTTAGTGGCCTCTTACGACAAGCATAATCGCCTTTTACGGCAAGCATGGATTGCTGAAGACCTATTCTACCCCGGATCTTCTCGGTTCTTCTAGCTCACCGAGATACAATGCCGCAAATCAACACCGATACCCCACTCAGACAAAGTATATGAGGACGGACTTTGAGCCGACCAGTTCTTGATTTATCAATACCGAGCGCGAGGCATGCAGTACCATCTTCTTGTTACTTCTTTTGGGGGGTCGATCCCCGGCCGCGTCATACCAAAAGGGGGCGGTCGGGTAGCCCAGTGGTTCAAGCGTCCGCTCCTCACGCCGAAGACCCGGGTTCGATTCCCGACATAGTTACAACGTGTGAAGCCCATTTCTGGTGTTCACCGCCGTAATATTGCTGAAATGATGCTAAAAGTGGCGTAAAATCAAAATCACTCACTCATACCAACAGACGTTAGAAGATGGTACTTTTTGTTACCCTGGCTGGCGCATGCATGCACGTCATGTTCATGTAACAATCAATTAACAGAATGGTTAAAAACACCTTTCCACATTTCCTCCGGAACGAAGATTTTTTCCAACCCCAATTAACGCAGCTAAAAAATATTGAAAATTATCGTATTTATCGTAATTTGTTAATTGTAGATCTAGTTAAGTATTTAATGATGAAAGTAATGTGACAAATGTGAAACTGTCAAACAGTTCTGTCGCGTGCAAATGTCATTCTGCGGTACACCACTCTATCTTTACTCTGCAAACTTTGTCGGCATGACCATCTTATATGCATCCAGCGGTGAAAAGTCATTATCTCAATGCACTCTGAATACAAATAGATTCCCCTTTATATGGACAACCTTTCCCAATTTATTCCATTAGAAGATGTCAGGTAACTAGGTAACTGTGTTCACATTCACTGCAGTTATTATGTTCCACAATTAATCCTTTACATCGAGAGGCTCACATCGGCAACGCACAGCGGTTACACTGGCCTCGGCTTGTAAACAAACATAAACCTCAGCTGTATATTTATAAGTAGGTCAAAGATGTATCTGGGTCACGGACTGGCTGAGACCCGGCGATCGAATGTGTACTGTTGTCCACGCGACATATTTTTACTTCCGAATAATGCACAGGTTCGGGAGTGATTATTTTCGCTGTATGATATTCGCTTGAAATGGTATCATGTAATCTTTCTTCGTCTTTTCGAGAAAATCAATTATCAATTAAAAAATAGCATTCTGTAGACAAACGTACTTAACATGATTGACACCAAGTAAATCTATTATGTGTAAAAATAATGTAAAATGTCACAAAACACAATTATAAATTAAAAAAAGAAGAGAAATGCAATGACAGAATATTCCACTTTACATTTAAAACATCACCAATTGTAAACGCTTTCACAGTCTAAAACCGGCATCATGTCAATACATGTAGTTTGGTGCAAATGACCTGAGCATGCGCAAATCTATCTTGCGGCTGGGGTGGCATATAGCACACATATTATCTCCCGGTGGCGATGACCCGCTTCTTATACAACGCGATCATGTCGCATTGCTACATTTACAGCGTGTGTTTGGATTAAAGATAATAGACACATCAGAAAATGGTTTATCGTCTATATTTAGGCAGAGTTCTTCGGGAACTAGCGTGGTTAAGGGAAGCACTCGTATAATACCAAGTTGATTCTTCCATGCAAGACAGGTCATAAAGAACCTACATATAAAATTATATATTCGGTCAGTAGGACATATGCTAGGATATACGTAAACCACAAACCCGGTTATCTGCTGCTAAATATTAGATGTTTTCACGATAGGAATCAGAAAGATCCTATGATTGTAACAATTTGTCCTGTTTAAGAAATTTCTTATACGTGATTTCATTTCTTATAAGTTCTAATCCAAGTGCCTACGCATTGCCAATTCAATAACTAATATAGTTTAAATATTTAATCGGTTTGTTGATACGCTTCGTGATTTCAATAGATCGACATTGTGTTCAAATAATTAGTTTTCAAAAAGTTACATTTTCGACAAGATGTATTTGGGTGTGTATTCTGTCAAACAATACGATTTAATACCAAGCTCTATGAAAATAATTGAAACGATTTGGGCGTCGACTGTAAATTGTAAAAAAAATTCATTTTCAATTTATTATGAATATCAAAGGTACCTGAATATCGATCAATTATTGTAAGAGACATGAATTTGAATAATAATCTATAATATGATTAAAAGTAATGATAATAAAAAGTGTTTGTTCAAATAATGTAATTCTGGGTGTTTGTGTTTATTCGTTTTGCTTTTAAGATAATGCGACTCAGTCAGCACGCAGTGACTTTACCGCTGACAAGTAAGTTGAATAACAGTAGTGTTGAAAATAGCATTATGTTCTCCCATGCCGTGGCCACGCTTTCGAGGTGCATTGTGGGTGTAGTTCTTGATGTAAACAGGCAAGTTGTTTTCCTCCATTTTGGTGTTGGAAAACACGAGTCATTCACAATGTCTACGTATAGTCAACCGTCGGATAACGACGCATATGCCTTATTGGCCCTCAAGTCAGCCCCGGCAAGTCCATCCAAAATTTCATGGACCCCAGAATCGAAGGGAACCGCCATCGCGCGGTTAGAAGGCAGGGACTTCGAATACATGATGCGGGGAAATCGCATCACCATTGGTCGCAATAGCAGTAAAGGCGAAGTGGATGTCAATATGGGACATTCGAGCTTCATATCCAGGGTGCATCTTGAAATATTCTATGATCAGCCTAATTTCTACATGAAATGCAACGGGAAAAACGGCGTGTTTATAGATGGCATTTTCCAGCGGAAAGGGGCACCCCCGTTGCAACTTCCTCGATCGTAAGTTGTTTTGTTTTGCAAGTGCCCGCCTCAACTGCCGGCATGTCTGTGCCGCGAGCGGTATCTGACATGTTATCGTCGCTTGATTCGTCATTCTTATGGTAGCTTAAATGTCAGGTCAATTATATTCATCAATGTCTAAACGAAATCATGTACCTTTATTTCGTTTTAGACATTTTACTTCGCCGTGTTGATAACCTTGTTACCATGTGCTCGATTCATCATGGCGGCTATGTAAACAAAAATAGAAGATACCGGTGTCTGGTCTTGCATTGATTTTAATGACTGGAGTCTCGCATCACTACACCAAACAACTATGTGTTTGTTGGATCTTTTATTAAGGATATGGCTAATGGCAGGTGGCAATGATATGATTATCGGATGCATAATAGATGGTAGAAAAGGATGTATGTATTTTGACAGTTGGAAACTGGTCCTCATGAGGTCACCTTAGCTTGTGTATTTGCATTCCAATCTTTATTTAAGAGTTATCGTGTTTCTTAGCGGCCACACTAAACAAAATTATATGAATTGTTTTTAGTGATTTTTCGCCAAACTTAATATTGATGTGGCCATGAATTATGGACCAGTTTCGGAAGGATGTAAGGCTATACTTTGTTTATAAACATGGAAGACCTTGGGACATGTAAATATGCGGATAATAAATACAAATTGTGTAGTGAGAATCAATTTTCAAAATGAAATGTAATTATTATGTTTCTGCTTCATTGAGAAATTGTCTCTTTATTCTTGTGTAAGTTTACATAATGCCATATATCAACATAGTCTGATCATATCCAGCAAGGCAGTATAAACAAATCATCTGGTCACACCATTGTGAGTAATTCTGAGTAATACTGCAAATGAACCTAATAACACATTTACAGTGTATGTGACATCACTGTCTGTTATCAGTCCCTTTGACTTGATTGGCCAGTTGTTGTTGTTTTTATATGAATCACTGTTAAATCAGGTTGAAAGAAAAACTTGAACATTAGGCCTGTTATTTATTGTTAAGGTATTATTCCATGTATGATATGCTTAGATTCTAAATAAAGTACTTTTCAGTTGCTTAAAGGAAAAAATACTTTGTCAAACTGAGTAAGTGTTCTCTCCAATTATGCATTAAACAGAAGAATTTTTTTCTGCATTTGTAAAGTGGGAGAATGTGATTGCCATTGGAAATAATTAACACCTACATTTTTCCTATTGGCATTGTAATCATGGTCTATACGGTAGTTATATATTTCATGATTACATGTATTTGATTTGACATTGAAGATAAACATTAGTGACCAGTCTGACTCTCATGCAGGTCTGAAGCCCTAATCTGGTACAATTTCCTTTGGGTGAGCTTATAGAATTTTGTTTTTTGTTATCTACAGAAATTAACTATACTTATTTTATGAATCCCCACAAATCAAATAAACTTCTTTTGCCATCACTTCAGAATTATCAGATTTTGACATGTACTCTTGTTTTTCCATGCATTGATGTATGATTTACCTAGTGTTTGCATGGTTTAGTTTGTGGTTTACAAATTACAACTATGAATAATTTAATATTATAAGGATAAATTGAATTGTTTTGATCATATTGACTTGAGGGATGGGAAGATAAGAATGATAAAAGCTATAATCCAGTCATATGGGACACCAGGACAGATTTTATCCAAATACTTTGTCATGTTTATCTGTGCAATATATTTGTTTTGTGATAGATTCTTTTCATGTTGTAAACGTTCAATCTTGGGATTTCTATCTGACCTTAGCTGATAACAGACTAACAGTATAAGCCCATGTGAGATTTTGCCATAGTCTGTTTTGTTCATTGCCATGTTTCAACAAGCTGACATTGGGCAAAGGTGACTCTACCAAGGATGATAGTAGGTACCAGAGATAGTTTGTTTGGTTTGGAGCTATTTGTAATTGGTTTGTCTGGTCAACTAGGACTGCTTGATCATGTTGATGAATTGAACTAAAGCCTTCTGTTGGTTTTCCTTACCACAAAGGGACACATGTTCATTAGGTCTTCCTTATTGTTATACATGTTAAGAAACTGAAATATAATAAGCCAAATTATCTTCTCACAAATCATAGTTCATGTCTCATGAATGGTTATATAAATGCCACAGAGAAGTAGAATTATATTTCTTTCATGATTTGCTTATATAATGTTCAGGCACTAAGTGGGGGTTTTACCATCTTTTTCATTTTCTTCTCAACACTTGCATGATGGGTTAAGTTGAAAGTTTAGGCATGATATTCCTCACTATAAGCATCATCTGGAGACTGACACTTGAAGTGCTACTTAAACAATGTTAGGCTTTTCTGTGCCAGTTACCCATTAAATTAATTTCATTTTCTAAACTGTCGGGTTTAATATGCAAATGGTTTAATATGCAAATAAGAATAAGTTTTGGGCAGATCAGGTTTCTCGTTGCATGGGTTTACAGATAAATATACTTATATCAGGTGAACTTTTAACCATGTTAACCTGAGTAGGTTAAACATATTCATGTAACCAATTTGCACTTAATGCTCAAGCATGTGACACATGTTACAGCCAGGTTTTGGTTTTGTATTGTGAACATCATATAAAAGTCATCCCTTTTTTGCACTCTCGTGCCAGTTTTTAATACAAATATGTGATTGTCTAGTTACTGAACTGTCCATTTACAGGTTTTTATATATTATCATTATCAATGTATAACTTGTGCAAGACACAGTATGGCTGATGTGTCTTAAAATATTAACTCACACACTGCATAAGAACAGCGTTTCAACAAATATTGGGTGAGCTTGAAAAAAATGTTTTGTGCTGGTCCATGTACATATTCATGTTGAGATAAGTGAAAAACATGTAATTAAATCTTAAAACAGCTTTGTGATTGAAGATGGCTATGAGCATGATCATGGCTTTAAGCTTCCCTTTATTTGTTCAAGGCAGCATGATTGGCATTTGGCTGTTGTTGACAAGATTTACATGGTTTGTGCACGTGCAGGGTGCAAAAGTGCAGTTGGTTAAATATTCCACAAACAGACTTATAAATATCACTTGCTTTAAATTTATACCATGTATACCATGTCTAAACAAATTGACATACAATTTCTTTAATTTCACACAATGTTCCTGTTCAAGTACACTACAAATCGCTATTCTTAGCTATTAACATGTTAGCCAACCAAATACCTCATCGTGTTTAATTTGCATACACATAAATTTCTGTAAGAATTTCAGAAAAGGCCGTCCAATCACTCAGTTTACTCTCAAGGCTATAAGGAAGAAGGTGGATATAGTCTGGTTTCCAAGGGTTACAGAACATCATGGAGGTCTTCATGCCATATCAGTTTATGTCCTCATGGCAGCGTCTTGAAAGTTTTGACCATAAATACAAGCATAAAGATTTTGGAAAACTGCCATCATTTTTCCATTCAGAAACATGAAATCGGAAACTGCCCATCCTGCCCAACATGATCGAAGTTGACAAATGTAAAACATGAGGACATCATCTGATCATACTGTTACTGATGTGCAAACAGACAATTTAGATGTGCAAATCTACCCAACATAAGCCATCGTGTAGTAGGACATTTGCACAGACATCTACAGATTTAACCATATGGCATACATTTTTCGATCTGCATGAGGCGCATGATTGGTCAACTCTGAACGAAGAAGGTGTGTTGGTGTAGTGTAAGTTAGGACAAAGTGGGAGGATGATTGCATTTTTGGTCAAACTTACAACCTTTGATTGTGAGATTATCATGATTTACTATATGTGTGTGTGTCTCTCTCTTCTTCAAAATTTCATGTTTCTATGGAAACAATTTCGACTTGGTTGTAAATGAGGGTAGGGTTCGTTTCCGGACCATAACTTGAAAACCTTTCAACATTTTTCAATGAAGGTTAGCATATGCATTGTTCATCAGCTGAACTGGTGCCTTTTGCTATTTTTCTAAATTATATTTTGTTAAGTTTCCATGGAAACAATTTGTACTTAGTCTCAAACAAAGCCAGGCTTCGTTTCTGAACCAGATAATATTTTTTCATGAAACTATCCATGTACAATGACCACATGCTCAACTGTTGCCTTTTCATATTTTTCAATTGCTTTTACTTCTTGTGTTTCCATGGAAACAATTTGGAAATTTGTAAGAGTATTTCTACTAAGCATAAAGCCAATGATTGTTAGTTATTGGTACATCTACTTGCACTTACAATCTATCATCCAACCTGCTGTTACAAGTTCAATAGTGTTATCTGTCATAAAGTGTCAACAAGGCATCAGCTGTAGTGTTGCTTCATTAACCAGAATCTTTTTTTCGGGTTTGCAAGCACATTTGTAGTAACAACTAAAACTAATGTATCAACAAAAGGAGGGGGAGACATATGTTTTTAGAGTAGAACACATTCCAGTTGTCACATGGTAGTCATCATGAGGTGATTATGATCGTGTGTCACAGTAATGTTGAAATGTAAATGTACTGACCCAGGACAGTCACTGCTTAGTGTAATATTATAAAATTGTGTCGTATGATGAGCAAACAAACATTATCTGAGATTTGATCATGTCGGTTTTAAAAAATAATTTTCCAGTAGACATGGTCAAGTGAGTGGTGCAGGCAGTTTACCTGTTGTGTAGTCACTTCTTAACTGCAGCATGCACTAGGAGCAACTGAACAGAACTCTGAACACCCTGACAAGTTGAATTAGTATTTTATTTTCTTAAGCCAAATGTGCTGAGCCTTGACATGGACATTTGTTGCCACGAGGGGATTTACTGATGTAAAGGCTGTAATTCAACCTTTGTATGGGAGTTGTCACCACATCCAATTACTGACATGTTTAGCTGAACATGTTTAAAGCCAAGAATCTGATTTCATCAATTGTAATTCTCATTCTAGGGTGAGGCAATTACAAATGCTTCTTCATGCTCAGTCACCATTTATCATTGTTTATGACACACGCCTGTTTTTGCTGTATTGCAGTTATCATGGTTATGTTGACACTGAGAATGGGGTTGTTCAAATAAGGCTGTTTGGAAATCAAACACTGTTTTTTAATACAAAACCGTAAAAGGCGACCTAATGGGGTGGTCAGGCTCTCTGACATGGTTGAAGCATGTCATTGTATCCCAATTGCATAGATCAATGTTCATGCTGTCAATCACTGGATTGCCCGAAAAATTGTGAGGAGTACAAAACACTCTCTAATCATGTGTATAACTGTTGCCACGGTTTTCTGTGCAGTCTTCAAGGTTGATTCCACCAGTGTGACGTCATCTGCCATTATCTATTAGCTCATAGATTTACCCCACAACCTTATTTTGTTTGGTAGACAACAACTCAGCAGTCAGAGTCACGTCTTTGCTAAAGGGATTCTTATTAAATTCACTGTTCAACAATTAGATTAAATAGCAGGGTCATTCACAGAGCTACAGATAAGCAGCATATTTGCATAAAAATATAAAAACCCTCAAATGTATAAAAACAGCATGCATAAATTAAATACTCAATGCGTACAAAGAGGTTACATCTAAAACATTATTTCATTATTTTTTTGTAAATGTTCTCTCTTTTGGGGAAATACCCATAAGAGTGATGAATAGATGAGTGAATAAATATTGGTAACCCAATGAAAAATGTAATAACCCAATTAGAATAGAAACCCAAGATTAAAAACTCAATTGCTCAAAATGTTATGTGGAGCTCTGCGTTCTTCGTTGATACATATTAGCCAATCAAATAAAAGAAAGTACAAAAGCTGTTTAACAATTGGCCATACATTCAGAATTCACATTTGAATCCCCATACATATTGATTTTTACCTTTCCTGTGTAATAAGATCACGGAAGTATATTTTGAAGACCGATATCATTCTGTAAACATGAATGATATGGAGTAAGAATTAGAACATATTTACTCATTTATTATATGTTTATTGAATCACCGGTAGATTGGGAGGAAACGTGTGCACAGCTGATTGCTATTTCCGGCTTAGTTTAGGAGAAAATACACACGGTAACCTTAATCTCTGCATATAAAACAATGCCTTTGAGAGCAGGAAATACATTTTAAATGGTAAAATCATCATTTTTAGTGATGTTTTATGTCAAATTTCATACTTTTATTGACCGAAGTCGTTGAAGGGATATGATAACACTCATCAATTATTTGGACCCTGAAGGTAGCGTTGTTTTGTTTTTTTAAATGTCCGGAGATTCCCAATCAGACATGTCCGGCGCATATGACCGTTTCCGGACCCCTGGTTTATTAATGTATTAGTACACTTTTGATCTGTAGTATTTCTAGCCATACATTTACCGATCTGGAGCAAAGAATAGTGGTCAGTGGTAATGAGCTTAAAAATGGAAAATCCCACACTCAAGATAAGCTGCGTATTAGCGTGAAATACACATTATAGATCACAAGGACCCCATTACTTTTGAGTTGCTTGCATACAAATACGCATGATATTATTTTGAGAAAATCAATAGTTTTAAGTAAACAGTGCGTAACTACAGAATGTAGCCTTTTAAAGTTACATAAAAACTGTGTTTTAGAAGAGTAAACAAGAAATATACATTATTTTCCATATCAGTCAACAGGTTTCAAAATTCCTTGCATTAGAGTGCCAAGTTACTGCCAACAACAGTTTAAATCATAATGGCACAGTTAAAATAAGCTCCAGGTAGGTACCTGATGCACACCCAGAAATCATACTTGATTAAGCAAAATGATTTGTGGCATACTTTATTATATGTAGCCAGTGTAACCAGCTCAAAAGTGCTAGGGACCTTCTCCGTGGTCTAGTGGTAGAGCGTTCGCGCGGAGAGCGGAAGGTCTGGGGTTCGATCCTTGTTGTTACCCTGTCTGGCGCTCGGCATTAAGGGGCTAAAACAAGGACTGGTCGGCTCGGAGTCAGTATACTGTGTCTGAGTGGGGTATCCATGTTAAACATGTTATCTCAGTGAGCTAGCACTATAAATCGGCATCAGTCCGGACTAGTACAAGCAGCCACACAAACACATACACGTACATGCACATCGCTATATAAGTGCAATGATCTTGGATGCGACGTTAAACCCCATTTCACCTCACCTCAAAAGTGCTAGGTCCCGCTTGTCATGCTTATTGCCAGTGACACGTGTGTCGCTGTTGTGAGCTTACTTGACACTTGGGGCAACACATGAACAGAAGAAATCAGATGCTACAGGAAACCGCATATAAAGCAGAATTAAGTTTCAAAATGCCTTCTCATTGGTTTATGACTACCCGGATGGCTGGATCCAAGGGAGTAAAATATTTTGAATATGCGAAGAAAAGTAATATTACCCTATGTGATTGACGACATGTGAGTAAATACTTTATGGCTTAAAATCATATGGAGCCCTGAAACAACAGCAACATATCACTGTAGATGCAGCATTATGTGTCATTGTTTTCATCTTTTGTTTTTTCAGATGCATTCTTCGCTTCCCAAGTACCAATATCAAAATAGTATTCCATTCTCTGGTAGAAGAAACCCCTCCACCACCTACACAAAGCCCAGGGAATGCCTCTCCTAAGAAGAAGACAGCGTTGGCTCCCCTGAGGATTGACATACCGAAAGTGGAGCATGTTGCTAGCAGCCCCTGCCCCTCTCCCACAGGCACAATAAGGTAAAACACACATTATTGATATTGCAGAATATAAGGAAATAACACTTTGTGCAGTTTGCAAACAAAACTTGTTTTTTACTTCTCCAAGTTCAGCATTGTCTGTTGTACAGACGTAGCCAGAAAACCCTAGCTGTTTGTGCTGTATATTCTGTCTTGTATGTAGGCAATCAAATTATTATAAAAAATATATTTCAATTGAACTTGTAGTCTGTGGATTATTTTTTATCATTAAATAACGAGGTTGGTCAGTAAGTTTAAGAAAAGAACACTCATATTCAAATTGATATGTTACATGATTTAGTGGATATGTTTTACTGTTTATTTTTCTATATTTTTATTGTTCTATATTTTTATTGTTTTGAGTGCTTAGCCGTGTTGACTAAGAACACTAGAGGGCAAACATGAGTTTAGTCAGTTTGGGGCCTTCCTGGTGTGTGGGTCACCAAACTGCATTTGCTGTTACAGGACTTGAAAAGGACTTAAGTCGACATTTGCTTAGAACAACCTTGAAAATAAACAATACAACTTGAAAAGACCTTGAATTACACCCTAGCTAGACCATCAATATTTTAATGCAGTTTATATACGACATACAAACATGCTTGTGAGTGTCCACAAACATATATACAGTCAAGTCTAGTTAATCGGACAATCAGCTTTATCCGACCCTAATGATGGGAACCGATTAAATCAGTGCTGTTTAGACCCGTTAATCCGACAGTCTCGCACTCCGACTCTGACACACCTAATTTGCAACGAATCACCAAAATCACTCATTAATCAGTCTCGTTAAACAGACACATTGATCAGCGTACTCCGGGGTCATCTGCCCACCAGTACACAGCCCGTGTTTTGATGCGAGAAGAGTTGGCTGGTAGCTGCATATTTCAATGGCTGCAGAGATAAACTAGGTTAACAATAAACAATAAATGCTTTAAATAAAAAGAAAACAGGATAAATCACATGCTTAGATTACCTCAATCTTATTAAAATCAGATACAAGTTCTCGCTCTCGATGAGGACATCCAATTACAGATCACGTCAGAACAACCTTTGCGAACTATGACCTACCAATGAAATGACCAACAGGAAGTCGACGTTAGCCACTTAGGAAGCAGCTTTCTTAAGCTTTTAGGTACCAGTTTCAAAGTTGCGACTTCCATTCCAGACTATGCTTTTTAAAGTCATACAGTCCGTAACAGTTGTTTTGTGTTAAACTTTAAAGGTTGCATGAACAGAAAACATATTCCGCCAACAATGTAACATAACAATATGAAAATTTATTTTATAATTTATTACATGTTTGAATCCTTATATCTAGCAAGTAGTTGTCCGATTTTCGATCACAAACGTTGATACTACTTAATTTTGTTTATCCGACATACTCATTAATCCGACGTAATCATATGCAACCATCGATGTCGGATTAACGGGACTTGACTGTACAATACTGCATGATGACGCGTTATAAAACTCTGCTGATAAAATGTGTTAAATCATGAAATTTAATATCTTGTTTGTGTTATTTATTTGCATTGAATTTGACTAAAGAAGTTTTTAAAAAGCCTTGAATATGTTGAGGACATCTGTACCAACCCTGTGTAAACTTATGCTTTGTTATTGGTCATGTTTTCTGAATCTGTGAAGATCCAGGGTAGAATAGGTCTTCAGCAACCCATGCTTGCTGTAAAAGGCGACAATGCTTGTCGTAAGAGGCGACTAACGGGATCAGGTGGTCAGGCTCGCTGACTTAGTTGATGCATGCCATCGTATCCCAATTGCGTGGATCGATGCTCGTGATGCCAATCACTTGATTGTCTGGTCCAGACTCTTATTTACAGACCCCTGTCATATAGCTGGAATATTGCTGAGTACGGTGTTGACCAACAAACATCATCATCATCATCGTTATCCATTGCGTGGAATTGAGTATAAATGTTGTTGAATTTATAACTGGTTCTATATTCTTATGCCTTTGGTCTGTATGGTTTCAGTGCGGCCAACTCCTGTCCTACCAGTCCTCGAGGAGGAGCTAGTCATCGTAGTTTTGTTCCTGATTTAAATGCTGTGTTTGCTGCAGCTGATCCTAAGGACGACAAAGACGCTCAAGTAGTTTCTGCCTGTGGGGACGGGCCGAAGGATGAGTCCAAGCCACCATATTCATATGCCCAGCTAATAGTGCAAGCCATTACATCGGCAGTTGATAAGCAACTGACTCTTAGTGGAATTTATGCTTTTATTACCAAAAATTATCCATATTATAGAACAGCTGACAAGGGCTGGCAGGTGAGACTCTTCATTCATATTCAGGTTAATGGGGTTAGCTAGTATTTTAAAAGTTAAATGTTTTTTTTGTTTTTGTATTTTTATTAGTTAATAACATTGACTGTGTGCTCTTGTTAACTTTATAACAAAGCTCCAAAGCGATCATTCATTGATGCCGAAGTTGTGGAATGAGTATGTTTGGCACCTGTGTCTGTCACATGTACAGTGTTGCCATTGTTCTAAAACTTATTATTCTTGCAAATTGGTGAACTTTATTGAGCCATGCACCCAGTTAAAAATTATGTTTGGATGCTGTGTGATATTAAATTGCTTTTACTTCAATAAACAGTATGGTTCAATAATAGTATATATTTCATTATTTCAGAACTCAATCCGTCATAATCTTTCTTTGAACCGCTACTTTGTGAAAGTTCCAAGATCACAAGAAGAACCTGGTAAAGGATCGTTTTGGAGGATTGACCCAGCATCTGAAGCTAAATTAACTGCACAAGCATTTAGGAGACGGAGACAGAGGCATGTGCCTTGCTTCCGAACACCGTTTGGAGGACTCTCAACACGGTCAGTAATGCGGAACATCCCCTTCTCTTTCAGTGTTCAGTGTCTTGTAGACAGTGGTAGAAAGGACATCAGTATGTGTTTACACAATATGTCTGCTCTTGTCAAAGCCATGAAGAACCTCCATGTCTGTGGCTGGTTTCTCACTGTGACCTCATCTGTTATTGAATCACAGTTATATTTCACATGCTGGTCATGTAATTTCTCACATGTCCATGTGTTAGAGTGGTAGGGTATTCAAATGGGGAAAACTGCCCTCATGGAGAAACCCGGGTTTGATCCCACACCTAGCTCATTGATTTTCCCTGTTGTTGGAACATTGCCAAACACCATAAAACTATATGCACTCATTCCAATACAATGAATCCTCTTGATCCGGACAGTACTGGTCCAAGAGAGATCTGCTCCAGACTACTGGTCTAAGATAGATGTTCTGGTCTGGACAGTACTGGTCCCATGAGAGATCTGCTCCAGACAACACTGGTGTAAGAGATCTTCCTGTTTGGACAGTACTGTTCCCAGAGAGACCTTCCTGTCTGGATAGTACTGGTCCTAGAGAGATCTTCTAGTTCAGACAGTACTGGTTCCAGGGAGATCTTGTTCAGACAGTACTGGTTCCAGGGAGATCTTCTGGTTCAGACAGTACTGGTCCTAGAGAGATCTTTTGGTTCAGACAGTACTGGTCCTAGAGAGATCTTTTGGTTAAGACAGTACTGGTTCCAGGGAGATCTTTTGGTCAAGACAGTACTGGTCCTAGAGATATCTTTTGGTTCAGACAGTACTGGTCCTAGAGATATCTTCTGGTTCAGACAGTACTGGTCCTAGAGAGATCTTCTGGTTCAGACAGTACTGGTCCCAGGGAGATCTTCTGGTTCAGACAGTACTGGTCCTAGAGAGATCTTCTGGTTCAGACAGTACTGGTTCCAGGGAGATCTTCTGGTTCAGACAGTACTGGTCCTAGAGAGATTTTCTAGTTCAAACAGTACTGGTTCCAGGGAGATCTGCTCCAGACAACACTGGTGTAAGAGATCTTCCTGTTTGGACAGTACTGTTCCCAGAGAGATCTTCTTCCTGTCTGGACAGTACTGGCCCCAGTGAGATCTGCTACAGACAAGACTGGTCCAAGAGAGATATTCAGGTTAAGACAGTACTGGTCCTAGAGAGATCTTCTAGTTCAGACATTAGTGGTTCCAGGGAGATCTTCTAGTTCAGACAGTACTGGTGCCAGAGAGATCTTCTGGTTCAGACAGTACTGGTGCCAGAGAGATCTTCTGGTTCAGACAGTACTGGTCCCAGAGCAATCTTCTAGTTCAGACAGTACTGGTCCCAGAGCAATCTTCTAGTTCAGACAGTACTGGTCCCAAAGCAATCTTCTAGTTCAGACAGTACTGGTCCCAGAGCAATCTTCTAGTTCAGACAGTACCGGTCCCAGAGAGATCTGCTACAGACAGTACTGGTCCAAGAGAGAGCTACCAAATTGGTAAATTTTAATTATGATAATGTCACGTTATGGCTGTTGCTGTTGAATCTGAGCTAGGAGTTCATTTGACATTAAGAGTGTGCATTGTAACAAGTAAAACTTTTGGAAATTGGAAATTATTATAGAGGAGAAATTATGGAGAAATAAAAGATCAACCATAGATCAACCATAACATGGTTATGGAAGACAAGGGATTCCGGAGTAACAAGGACTGAACAAACAGGATTTCACTGTATATTAATACCATTTTGTAACCTTAGAAAATCCTTTTAATTTTAAGACTAGTCCAGAGGACTAGTGTAAACCTTATGTCCACAGAGTTTGTACCTAGTCCTGCTTGAACGAGAGTGGAAATGTTTGCTGTTTCCATTATCCATCAGTTTTCAGGTCCAATTTTTAGCAAAATTGAAGTATTGAGAACTGGTTCAGAATTATAGCCTGCAAATGCTTTTAGTCAGTGGACAGATCATTGGATTTCTACTTGACCTCAGCACAATTTAGTAGTCTTGCAGACTAGCATGAATTTCAAAGGCTGTTTTGACTGTCGGAGTTGCCACATGGGAATTGTAGGTCTTGACAGTACCCGAGTGTCTCCTACTTGTTATTAGAGATGCCTAATGATGGTTGGGTGGTTACAATGTGTGGCCTGGCTGACTGTCTTCATCTCTGACAGCATGGGGTATTTCTCTCGCTGCTGACAGTGATCTGCTGCATCCAGCCTTGGTTATTTACAGAAATGAAAACTTTCTGACTGCAGAATAAACCAGCATTCGCTCACTGCCTCATTCACATTTCCAGGTCAGCACCAGCCTCGCCTAGCCACATGTCCGGTGCGTTCACACCTGACTCCATGTCTCGGGAAGGTAGTCCAATACCTGAGGCAGCATCGGAAGCAGAAGTGGCTCAGTCAAGTCATCTCCAACCACCTCATCAGCTGCAGCAGCCAAATCTTCAGTCCATCGCTGCCGAACTTAGATTTACTCAGTCAGCACCTGGCTCTCCTGCAGGTATGTACACAAGTCAGGTGTAGGATAAAAAAAATGTTTCCTAAAGTATCGACACATGACTCCCACCCACCCATCAAACTGAATTGTCCTGAGATTATCCTGCTTGATAATGATTTAGCTGGCGTTGCATCAGTGCTACCTACCTATATGTCCAGGTGACTGCTCCGTCACCCAAGTCTCCTGGGGTGGAGATGTCGCTTCAATGGAAAAGTTGTCAATGAGAGCTGTTATTGTTGGACTTAAGTAGCAAATTTCATGAAATGTTTATTTTGTCAGATGGAAACTTGCGGACCTATGCTTGTTTCCAATAAGAACTGAGTTGATACATTGAGGCCCTGTTCAATGCATACGTATGTAGGAAGATGACAAGATACAGTCTTCCCGTTGGCTTTTGAAACTGGCAACTCTAAAAACTACCAGTGCCCCCCTAATTTTTGCCAGTCCCAACTCTCAAAAATAAAAAAACCGTATGAAATTATTTGGTTTTAATTCTCTCAACATCATGTTCAGTGCAAAGATGTCATCCCTGAAGTAACTTTCTTAGATCTATGTCATTCACACAGGCTTCAGTCGCAACAAATGGATATTTAACCTAGAAATAGACAAGGGGAAACCCTGAAGTAACTTTCTTAGATCTATGTCATTCACACAGACTTCAGTCACAACAAATGGATATTTAACCTAGAAATAGACAAGGGGAAACCCTGAAGTAACTTTCTTAGATCTATGTCATTCACACAGGCTTCAGTCACAACAAATGGATATTTAACCTAGAAATAGACAAGGGGAAACCCTGAAGTAACTTTCTTAGATCTATGTCATTCACACAGGCTTCAGTCACAACAAATGGATATTTAACCTAGAAATAGACAAGGGGAAACCCTGAAGTAACTTTCTTAGATCTATGTCATTCACACAGACTTCAGTCACAACAAATGGATATTTAACCTAGAAATAGACAAGGGGAAACCCTGAAGTAACTTTCTTAGATCTATGTCATTCACACAGGCTTCAGTCACAACAAATGGATATTTAACCTAGAAATAGACAAGGGGAAACCCTGAAGTAACTTTCTTAGATCTATGTCATTCACACAGGCTTCAGTCACAACAAATGGATATTTAACCTAGAAATAGACAAGGGGAAACCCTGAAGTAACTTTCTTAGATCTATGTCATTCACACAGGCTTCAGTCACAACAAATGGATATTTAACCTAGAAATAGACAAGGGGAAACCCTGAAGTTACTTTCTTAGATCTATGTCATTCACACAGACTTCAGTCACAACAAATGGATATTTAACCTAGAAATAGACAAGGGGAAACCCTGAAGTAACTTTCTTAGATCTATGTCATTCACACAGGCTTCAGTCACAACAAATGGATATTTAACCTAGAAATAGACAAGGGGAAACCCTGAAGTAACTTTCTTAGATCTATGTCATTCACACAGGCTTCAGTCACAACAAATGGATATTTAACCTAGAAATAGACAAGGGGAAACCCTGAAGTAACTTTCTTAGATCTATGTCATTCACACAGGCTTCAGTCACAACAAATGGATATTTAACCTAGAAATAGACAAGGGAAACCCTGAAGGTAACAGACAAGCTGACTTTGTTTGAAAAATGTACTTATATGAATATCACCAATGTTTCCATCCACAACAAAGATTTATAAGGTACTTTATTTGCCGGTCCACAGGGACTGGCAGTCACATGAGTGAATGGTCCAAGCCTAATTTTACCAGTAAAAACCTGGTAATTACCGGTAAACTGGAACGCTGAAGATAGTATACAGATCATGTCAGAATTGTATTGCGAGAGCGAGGGTGGTACAGGAATATTTACACAAGTTTCATAAAATCTTCTTTAATTTTATTACCCATTATTTCTTAATCCTTATAAGCTCCCCTTTAGAAAAATGCACTGATCATGACCGATGTCTTAGGAAACCTCAATTGTTGAATGACGTCAACAGTCTTCAGCTATGACGTCATTTCTAGTGGGATGTCATTGCAACCTTACATCACAAGAAGATTCAAATGACACCAACAGTGCTGTCTTGATGACAAACAATACACTGGTGCACGACAAGTGATATTTGCACCAGTGCACACATGACTTATATGGACTTGATAATTTCTGACCCTATGGATAATAGATGAAGACACTTACCGTCATTTTGTACATGTAAAGAATCTAGCAGAGGTTCAGTCAAAACCATATTTATATAAATTTGAGTCTGAATAAGAACTATTACTTGTGAACTCATAGCTTTAACAGTTCATTTTCATGTCATTTAATAACATCTACACGTCTTTTATGAAAAGTTAAGCATGCTTGAATCGCTTTGCTTGGTATATGACCCGTGATACAGTGCTTCCATCCCAGTGCATTGTATTGCAGTGCAACAAAACCTCAGTGAATCTTTGCACCCTTGCACCTGGTACTGCTTTTGGTTGCAATTAACTTCATTGACGCCCTATGTATAAGAGATTGACGCCCTATGTATAAGAGATTGACGCCCTATGTATAAGAGATTGACGCCCTATGTATAAGAGAGTGTTTGTTTTCAGGGTCGCGGGTGCTGTCGCCAGTGACAGTGACAGCCAGCAATGGCACAGCCATTCACCAGCTGCCTCCCATCATCACCAAACCTCAGATCATTGTCTCCAACCCTGGACAAGTTATCCTTAATGGCCCTGCCATTGCAGGCACCACCTTAACAAACGGGACACACTTAGAAATCAAGAAAGAAAATGCTGACTTTTCTCAGGGTAAGTATGTCTGGTATTTGGAACATTACTCCAATAATTGTTCATAAATATATACAAACAGATGGATATTGTCAAAGTTAGAGAATGTTTTGTAAGTGTTAGATAAGTTATGAGTTTTGGACTTTATGACATGATCAATTATAGGCTAGAAAGTCATGAGGGAAGCCCATTTGTCCATTTGCACTTATACCTGGAATTGTCAGTGAAGTGTTAAGGTCTATTCATGGTATATCCAACCATTATGTATTTTGGGGATTTTGATTAGAGAAATAATCTTTTGTGAAAAGTTTCACTGGTAAAGAGGAAATTCAACATTGACGCCCTATTATAGTATGTCAGTGTTCCTGCTCTTGTCAAAGAGGCATGGCATGGTCCTATGTTCACTTCACGATTTCTTCCTACTTCCCAGGTGCAACAAAGGCAGCATCGCTGGTGACACCCCAGTACGCAGCTGCTCTGAAACCCGTGAAGGTAATGGCTGGTCAGGTGGTCACAACTGGTCAGTCTGGGGTGGCCATAGCACCAGTGTCTCAGGCTACGTCGGCAGCCACGTTGATGTCCACTCAGCCACTCACCCTGATATCCCAGCCCGCAGTGCAGCTGGTTCAACCAGTCACAATGCAGGCCATGCAGGCACAGGGCAACTACGCAGCGGGGGCACTCGCCACCGAGGTCAAACCGGGACAATATGTGGTAGGTTGCAAACAGGCTGCTAGTGCAGGCTAGATAGTTTGTTGAAAGCTTTTTAGCTCACCTGACTTACTTACTGAGGCACCTGGACAATATGTGGTAGGTTGCAAACAGCCTGCTAGTGCAGGCTAGATATTTTGTTGATAGCTTTTTAGCTAACCTGACTTACTTAATGAGGCACCTGGACAATATGTGGTAGGTTGCAAACAGCCTGCTAGTGCAGGCTAGATATTTTGTTGATAGCTTTTTAGCTAACCTGACTTACTTAATGAGGCACCTGGACAATATGTGGTAGGTTGCAAACAGCCTGCTAGTGCAGGCTAGATATTTTGTTGATAGCTTTTTAGCTCACCTGACTTACTTAATAAGGCACCTGGACAATATGTGGTAGGTTGCAAACAGCCTGCTAGTGCAGGCTAGATAGTTTGTTGATAGCTTTTTAGCTAACCTGACTTACTTACTGAGGCACCTGGACAATATGTGGTAGGTTGCAAACAGCCTGCTAGTGCAGGCTAGATATTTTGTTGATAGCTTTTTAGCTCACCTGACTTAATGAGGCAAGTGAGCTCACACTGTATACGCTGTAATGTAGAATGTGCCTATGGCCTATGCTAAGATTATTGCCTTATGGCATGTCTGCCTTCCAGTGAGTGAGTGAGTGAGTGAGTTTGTTTTTACATTGCTTTTAGCAATATTCCAGACATATCCCAACTTGGGACACCAGAAATGGGCTTCACACATTGTACCAGTGTGGGGTATCAAACTCAGGTCTTCTTTGTGGCAAGCGAATGCTTTGACCACTAGACTGCCCCTCTGCCATCCATCTTGTCCCTCCATCGTTTACTGTTGCACTTTCAACTTCCCCTTTGGAACTTCCAGGTGTATGAAGCTGGAACTTTGCATCAGTCCTCCCAGCTATGGTATCTCTAAAAACACAGAAAATTGCAATCAGATTAGGAATATAGCTGTTGTTGCAGCAGCATTTTTTCCCGTTAATGCACTTCTCCATGTATCATTATGAAAATTGATATGCAACTAATGTGTAGAATGCAAAGTGACATGTTGTTTTTGTTGTTACATGTTTCGATTTTTTTATGCCATCTACGACCTATCCGACTGTTTCTCAAGTGTTTGTTTCCCTGCAATTGTTGGGCGGTCGGGTAGCCTAGTGGTTAGAGTGTTTGCTTCTTATGCCGAAGACCCGGGTTAGATTCCCGACATGGGTACAATGTGTGAAGCCCGTTTCTGGTGTCCCCCACCGTTATATTGCTGTAATATTGCAAAAAGCGGCATAAAATCAAACTCACTCACTCACTCTGTAATTGTCAATTATTAATTCTCTCTTTTATCAAACTCTCTCACTCACTCTATAATTATTAATTATTAATTCTCTCTTTTATCAAACTCACTCACTCTGTAATTGTTAATTATTAATTCTCTTTTTTATCAAACTTACTCACTCTGTAATTGTTAATTATTAATTCTCTCTTTTTTCCAGGTAACTAATGTTGCCCAAGGAGCTCGAGCTGTGAAGCGAGAATCAGAATCAGCTGACGGGAAATCTGAAGATAATGAAATTAAACGAGTTAAGATTGAGACCAGCGAAGCAAGCTAATAGAATAATCACAGCTGTTGATTGAACTGTTTTACTGCTGGAAGTGGTGTTGAGGGAAATAGGATGAAAGCGATGCCATAGTTGAAGTTGTGCTTTTTGTTGGACTTGTGATCGGGACACTGGTTGAACTGTGCAGTCATGACTAGACAGTGTCCTTTAAACAAACGTTTAGGCTAGGACAGGTTTTACTGTTGGGAAAGTCCACATCTTAATGAGATATGACTGAGAGGCTATTTTAATATGTTGAACAAGTTTGTAGGAATCAAGTGTTTAATAAGAAGAAGACGACAGTATGATGACTGACTAGATTATCATCCAATCATGAAAACTACGCCAAGAGTGGACAATAAAGTTGAAATATTGGACAATCATAGTAATAAAGATCCAAAAGCTCCTACTAGAAAAAGACAATTTGGTTGTGTACAGGGCTTGAAATTAGTGGTAGCAAAAATGCCATCGCAAAGTATGTTTTGCTGCTGGATAGATAGGGTGACCATTGAGGCAAATTCCTGCTAGCATTTCTTTGACTCAACTGATATTTGTTAAGATTTGATTTTATTTGTACTACACACTTATCCATAGCTTTATTTTATCAAACTTGTTATGGCATGTTGGGGTTTTGGCACCAGAGAAATAAAAATGCCCTCTGGAGCAAGTTATTGCTTATTTACAAAAAAGAATAATTTTTTGCCCTGGTACAATTTGAGGCTCTACAGTCAAGGTTGCTCAGAAGTAGTCAGTCATTAACCATGCATTAGTTATGGTATATATAGCTTTTGAAGCTGTGATAATGCTTTAATACTAAGTTGAAATGGCATTTATGATTTGTTAGTTTGTTGTTAGGACTGTTGAGAATAAGGTGTAGTAATAAACAGGTGTTTTGCCATTACCGCCATCACCCATCTGCATTGGTCATGTATCATGAGAACTATATAAATATATACATACATATATATATATATATCATACCATGTGTGAACACATAATCCGTGTACTCATCTCTCAACATTATTTTCAGTTGACAGGGAAATGCTCTTCTTGTTAAAGGATCAAGACGGAGATGTTATCCTAAACAAATCTAAGACAAAACACTTAGTTGGACTAGCAATGTAGTTGGAGAGTGAGTTGAAGAGAGCTCTGCCTTCCCAAGTATTCCATAACTTAATTCTATTAATGTCTTTGTTGCCTGTTGATATTTGTTTTAGTGTCATTTTCTCCTTCCAGAAATGTCACTTTAAATTGTAAATTTTTTATCCTTAATCTCACTTTTGGTTGTTGTTTGCGCATGTAGTTTTTGTAAATAAGACATATTACATGACAAATAACAACTAATTGTTTTCTGTGAATTTATGACTAGACGTATGTATTGGTTTTGTTACCCACTGGTCAGTGCCTGGTGTTGAAGGAGCATTATTTTATAGTGAATTTCAGTTATGAAGCTACTGACGATAGGTATTTTAATGAATTTAAGATGGAAATAAACCAGTAAACTGACAAATGTCCTATTTTGTCAATAGTCTGTCAGCAACCAGCATCAGGCCCCCTTGTCATGGGGATGTTAGTGTTACAACTATCGTAGCTCATGTAAAAACAGAAACTTACAATAGTCGTAGCACCAACATCACCTTGTGCAGGTGGATCCAGAAAAGAATGATGACAGCAAAGATTAACGATTTGTCTTGCCTGAAAGAAATGAGCGATAACAATATGTCAAGATGATATTGGATATGGTTACACATTTTTCATTCAGCTCTCATTTCACTTATTTCATGTTCATGTTGCAAGTCGTACACACACATCACAGTTCATTGTGGAACTGTGTTGAGAATTAGAATAATCAATTCATTATTGGGCGTCACTCATTCCCACTGTCCATGAGACTAGTGGCCCCCATGACGTGTCAGTTCTCAACTGAAAGTCCTTATTGTTTGGCCTTGCGTCAAATGATTTTGTGAAGTGCTATTATGGTGTTAGAACTATTGTAGTTATATGTAGTGTAGAATTTCCTTTGTTTATATTTGCCACTTAATTACCTGTCCAAGAACCTGGTATCACAAGCACCTGTTGTTGTGACCTGTGTAGACAGCAACGTCTAACAAGCTTCTGTAGTTTCCTGCTTTAAACAGAAAGTTCAGTGTAGCTGTTGACCATTGAAAACAGCAAAATGTATGTGCCATTCTGTGAGAACATTTTTTAGAACATGGCTACTAACAACTTCTGTTACGTCATCTACTGTACTAAGGTTTGATGTTAGCAATAAGAGAAAAATACCAAGTTTATTTCTTAGGGGAATTCTGTTTTAATTGTTTTGGGTTTTTTAAAGACTAATAAAGATGAATAAGAGTCATGTCTGACATTGTGTTTGTTAGTGCATGGTTTTTGTATGGGGTTTGTATCAGTTGTACCTGAAATAGTGTGAGATGATATTTCCACACTGTTCTTTGGAGAATTTTAACTTGTCCCGTAGATATTTCAACATCAATCATACATGTGCTCAAAATCAGCATGTGTTTTTCTTTGGTGATCGAATTTGTGTTTTGGAAATATCAACAGTTTTTGCTTTGTTTTCTCAGGAAATTATTAATCCTTGAAATGGTTTGTCTCATTTTAAATGAAGTTCTGTCTTATCTGATTCAAAATTGATGTGAAATAAACAGATTGTCAGCTGTATTTTTTACGAAATCCTAACATGTTCCAGAATTAGTGTTTTATTGTATTTTCATTATATTGTTACCTGATGTGACATTCATGTGTCTCAGATCAAAATTGTCCACACCTGTCAAGTATGGTTTTAGTACGAACTATATGTGTATTTATGTAGACACGATGTACCTGCTTATACAGTGGAACCTAGTTATCTGGACACCTGTTATGTGCAAGTCTGTAATTAAATATCCAGTTGTCATGTAAGTTGACGGTTATTACAAGACAATTGATGACATTCTCTCAATGTTAATTCCATGGCATGGCTTTAGTTAGCATTAACTTCAACTGACTTCATTTATATTAAATTTAGTTAAATATGACAGTCCAAATACTCTCTCTCAACCCAGTAGATTAATGAATAACTGTTCCTCCTTTGTGGGGTGCCTTGTTTTGGCCTATACAATCATCAATATGCATATGATTGTCCCGGTTATTTTATACAAATTTTATGTATATTAAGCCAATTTGGTCGGTCTTTAGACTGGATTTTCTGATTATGAAAATTTTCATATACAATAGTATATGTAATGTTAGGTAAAATAATTTGTAAACAAAGATTGTCCAGAATGGGAGTTTCTGGATAAGTAAGGTCTCACTGTATTAAGCATCTCCATGTTGTATTCACACCTGAGTACATGTTTTAACATGTGTTTTCTACCTGGTAGAGGCAGTATCCAACCAATAATGAAGTAGCTAGTAGTCTTCAGATTAAGTCATCGTGGGTAAATTGTTAGGTATAGATCTGCATTAGGGATTTCTTCATATCCTTTGGTAACCCAGTATTTTAGAACCATGAAAAACTTTATTGGTATTCAGACATTGTTCATCAAAAAAGGCCTGGTATGATGAAATTGTATTTGACAGAGTAACCAAATAAAAAACAGTTCTTACAACAGGCATGTTCTTTATTGAGGAAGGTTAACGTAAGCTGTGTATGATGCTAGAAGATATATATTCAAATGTGAGGAGTCTAGGAGAGGGTCGATCATTGTGTGAAAGAGGACATCTTTTTGTTACAACCCTGCTGGTGTGTAAAATCTGAAACTTTGTTATTGACTGTTGAGTGTGTAACCCCTTGTTGAATATATGGCATAATATTACTGGTCATCTGTGTCACCGTCATTGTGTACAATTTAAAATGACTTCGTCACATGGTGAGTTGAGAGATTCCTTACTGGATTAATTCTAAGCGTCCGTCTCCTTTTTATGATGGTGATCGTAGGGACACTCCTGGGCGGCTTTCAACAACCCAATCTTGGCGCTAAGACTGTGGTTCTCCCATGCTTAATATGGACTTCCAACTGTCGTAGTACTAAGATGGGCTTGTGGAGCTTGGCATTGGTATTGTAACTACAGATCGAAGCTGCAAAACGTTTTGTTTCATGTTCGTATGTCAGTATGATTGGAAACATTCATCCACAGAACACAACACATCCATTATTATTCTGTTGAAACTGGTGAAGTAACTCGGTGTTTAATGTCAGGCAATATATTTATTTCATGCTTTTAGAACACTGACTTTTTTTCTATTTGAAATATGGACAAACTAGGAAGATTGGGGTTTGCTCAGAATTTGGCATAATTGCAGTGATAAGAATGTGTATGCAACTGTGCTTTGTTTTCAATTTACATATATTACAAGCACTAACACACGCACCAGAACTGTTTACAGGAATTACAAGCATTAACACACCCACCAGAACTGTTTACATATATTACAAGCATTAACACACCCACCAGAACTGTTTACATATATTACAAGCATTAACACACGCACCAGAACTGTTTACAGGAATAACACACACTTACACACATACCGGAACAGTTTACAGGAATTACACACATTTACACACGTACCAGAACTGTATACATATATTACAAGCATTAACACCCCCACCAGAACTGTTTACATATATTACAAGCATTAACACACGCACCAGAACTGTTTACATATATTACAAGCATTAACACACGCACCAGAACTGTTTACAGGAATAACACACACTTACACACATACCGGAACAGTTTACAGGAATTACACACATTTACACACGTACCAGAACTGTATACATATATTACAAGCATTAACACACTCACTAGAACTGTTTACAGGAATAACACACATTTACACGCGTACCAGAACTGTTTACGTATATTACAAGCATTAACACTCACTAGAACTGTTTACAGGAATTACAAGCATTTACCCATACAAGAACTGTTTACAGGAATTACACACATTTACACACGTACCAGAACTGTTTACGTATATTACAAGCATTAACACACTCACTAGAACTGTTTACAGGAATTACAAGCATTTACCCATACAAGAACTGTTTACAGGAATTACACACATTTACACACGTACCAGAACTGTTTACGTATATTACAAGCATTAACACACGCACCAGAACTGTTTACAGGAATTACAAGCATTTACCCATACAAGAACTGTTTACAGGAATTACATTTACACACACACACCAGAACTGTTTATAGGAATTACACACCCATCAGAACTGTTTACAGGCATTACACACATTTACATGCACACCAGAACTGTTTACATGCACACCGGAACTGTTTACAGGAATTACACACATTTACATGCACACCAGAACTGTTTACAGGAATTACACACATTTACATGCACACCAGAACTGTTTACAGGAATTACACACATTTACATGCACACCAGAACTGTTTACAGGAATTACACACATTTACATGCACACCAGAACTGTTTACAGGAATTACACACATTTACATGCACACCAGAACTGTTTACAGGAATTACACACATTTACATGCACACCAGAACTGTTTACAGGAATTACACACATTTACATGCACACCAGAACTGTTTACAGGAATTACACACACACACCAGAACTATTTACATAATTACACACATTTCCTCACACATCAGAACTGTTTTAGACTCCTTGTTTGTTGGGTGTGTATTATCTATGAAATTTGTTGATACATTGTGTAACTCATCCTGTCTCGTTCAGTGTAGTATGGTGGCCTTCCAAGCACAGTTCTTGTGGAGTTACAATTGTTGCAGTTTTTGTTGTTGCATTATGAACCAAATGCAATAGATAATTGGATAGATACAATTGTCTTTGATGTTGTCTCGCAAACCCTTGCCTTGATGCGGTCTCAGCAGGGGAGATCACTCATGCCCCACAAGGGGAATTCATTGATTGTAGTTGCTATTATCAAAGTTCACGCTATTGCATAGAACAGCAGGTGTTACAACTGATGACAGGAGCACTTGATATATCAATGTATCTGATGTTTGGCGGAGTAGGCTTCTTTGGGATAATGTTCTGTTCAGGTAATCAGATTATGATAGAATCAAGAGCTTTTTCTTTCTTTTTTTCAAAGTGTCCAAATCAAAACAGTAGGGAAATGAATGTGTGTTTTGTAGGATGGTCTTTAAGGGGCTAGTCTTGTTTGTTCCACACTACATGTTAATAGTAGTTTGAATTCATTTTGGTATTAAAATAATATGAACAAGCTGGATAATGTGCGCCAATTATGCAAAAACATATTGCCTTTGTATTCGAGGAGTTGTTTGGAACAGAAATAGCTTTGATATTATGGTCTCTGCTTCATGAGATAGGTTTGAATGATATAAACATTAGGAGCTTGTCGCCACACACAAACAAGTTGCCATGGAGCTTTGTCTGCCATTGGGTATGTCAAGACCGCTGAGTCATGAATTGTGTTCAGTGTGTGTTGTGTTCACGTCACATGTACAAGTGATTTAGAAACAATGTTGCCCATCAGCCTCCCACTTTGTAAAGGTGAAACGTCCAGACAGTGATAGGGTCCTTACAGACAGGGAATAACTGGGAATATTGTCACCATTTGATGAATAATTTATTCAACTCTGACCATGAGAGTAGATCATGTTAATATTCCATAAGCTGATGTTTCGCTTTCAGTGGGACATTTTAATGTGATTTAATTCTCACATTGGAGTCATATGGGAATGTTTTAGATATGGAAAATGATACTTATCTGGAATCATGTACACATATTCATTATCATTTCGTTTTCACATTTTGTACGAGGTCATTACAATTGGCCTATAATGTTTTCATTTATTATTTTCTGTCAATCTGTGATTTAGTGGCTGCGAATGGTTATTGATCACAAAAATGACCTTGTTGAATGTTGTAAGTGTTAACCAGCTGCCTGCCCTCAGTTTCCAATGTGTATAATGCAGATAGACTGTACATGATCTTTGTGTTCCAACTTCATGTGGGGAGATTTTGAAATTGTTCTAAATTTTCTACTACATCTGTGGCTATAATGTGTGTCAGCCATAGTCTTTCTGTAATTTGCTTTCATGTACATAGACCTAACGCAGTCTTTGCATGTAGTTCCAGAGCACCCTCATGCTGATATGTTCAATACTGTATGTGTTTTCTGTTGCAAGTATGTGGAAAGTCAACTTAGCCATTTATTCAGAGCTGCCTTCTCACAGGTGGCTTGTATAAATAAAAGTGTATTGTTTTAAAGTCCATACGCTCGTTGTGTTCTTATTTTGGAGGTGTCCATACGCTCGTTGTGTTCTTATTTTGGAGGTGTCCATACGCTCGTTGTGTTCTTATTTTGGAGGTGTATTGTTTTAAAGTCCATACGCTCGTCGTGTTCTTATTTTGGAGGTGTATTGTTTTAAAGTCCATACGCTCGTTGTGTTCTTATTTTGGAGGTGTCCATACACTCGTCGTGTTCTTATTTTGGAGGTGTATTGTTTTAAAGTCCATACGCTCGTTGTGTTCTTATTTTGGAGGTGTATTGTTTTAAAGTCCATACGCTGGTTGTGTTCTTATTTTGGAGGTGTCCATACGCTCGTTGTGTTCTTATTTTGGAGGTGTATTGTTTTAAAGTCCGTACACTCGTCGTGTTCTTATTTTGGAGGTGTATTGTTTTAAAGTTCCATACGCTCGTTGTGTTCTTATTTTGGAGGTGTATTGTTTTAAGGTCCGTACACTCGTCGTGTTCTTATTTTGGAGGTGTATTGTTTTAAAGTCCATATGCTCGTTGTGTTCTTATTTTGGAGGTGTATTGTTTTAAAGTCCATACGCTCGTTGTGTTCTTATTTTGGAGGTGTATTGTTTTAAAGTCCGTACACTCGTTGTGTTCTTATTTTGGAGGTGTATTGTTTTAAAGTCCATACGCTCGTTGTGTTCTTATTTTGGAGGTGTATTGTTTTAAAGTCCGTACACTCGTCGTGTTCTTATTTTGGAGGTGTATTGTTTTAAAGTCCGTACACTCGTCGTGTTCTTATTTTGGAGGTGTATTGTTTTAAAGTCCATACGCTTGTTGTGTTCTTATTTTGGAGGTGTATTGTTTTAAAGTCCATACACTCGTCGTGTTCTTATATTGGAGGTGTATTGTTTTAAAGTCCATTGCTCGTTGTGTTCTTATTTTAGAGGTGTATTGTTTTAAAGTCCATACACTCGTCGTGTTCTTATTTTGGAGGTGTATTGTTTTAAAGTCCATACATTCGTTGTGTTCTTATTTTGGAGGTGGATTGTTTTAAAGTCCATACACTTGTTGTGTTCTTATTTTGGAGGTGTATTGTTTTAAAGTCCATACACTTGTTGTGTTCTTATTTTGGAGGTGTGTTGTTTTAAAGTCCGTACACTCGTCGTGTTCTTATTTTGGAGGTGTATTGTTTTAAAGTCCATACACTCATCGTGTTCTTATTTTGGAGATGTCCATACACTCGTCGTGTTCTTATTTTGGAGGTGTATTGTTTTAAAGTCCATACACTCGTCGTGTTCTTATTTTGGAGATGTCCATACACTTGTCGTGTTCTTATTTTGGAGGTGTATTGTTTTAAAGTCCATACACTTGTTGTGTTCTTATTTTGGAGGTGTCCATACACTCGTCGTGTTCTTATTTTGGAGGTGTATTGTTTTAAAGTCCATACACTTGTTGTGTTCTTATTTTGGAGGTGTGTTGTTTTAAAGTCCATACACTCGTCGTGTTCTCATTTTGGAAGAACTCCATCGTGTCGTTGGAGGACTCGTGCTGATTTCTGGGATGGTTGCCATGTGACCTGGCAGATGCCGAAGAGTACCCTGATACAGCAACAAGTTCATCCTGATGGAGTGACAGCACAAGGGTTAAGTCTTAGACCAGCCTATACAACATTCTTAGGTAATGAGACAACCTGAAATATTCTGGACATGCTCTGATAATGACATCTTTGGTTGGTCATATCAAACCCATGTTAACATGCCCTTCATTCAAGGTTCCCATGGCAATCTGTTGCTGGTCGTAAGAGGCAACCAAAATAGGTAGGGTAACCAAACTCTCGTCCTTGTGTTTTGATGTTCATTGTTGCTCATGCTTGCAGTCTTTGACTTGCTTGGTCCTCCACACTGTAGTATTACAGACCACCATGACATTAAACTACAGTCACTTACTCCATTTTATGTGCCCTCGGCAGATGGTGTTTAGAATAAACCCCTTCTCCAGAAGTGCATATATATCTACCTAGACCTAGCCAATATTGTAATGTTTGTTTCATGAGGATCATCAAGGTCAGCTATTGACAACAGATCAACATCATCAGCAAACAAAACTCTTTAATCTCCCGCTAGGTTAGACTTTGTTTCATGATATGCTGTGTAGAATGCCATTGGGTCATAATACATTAGGACCCTCTGTGGTCTAGAAGTAGAGAGTCTGCCCGGAGAGCAGAAAGTCGGGGCTTCCATATCCCTGGCTGCCTCATACCAAAAGATGGTAAAACAAGACTGATTGGCTCAGGTCAGTATATTGCATCTGTGGGGTATTCATGTTAAACTGTGGCATGGTATCTCAGTGGGCTAGCACTATAAAATCAACATTAGTCTTGACAAGTACAAGCATGCCGACAGACACACATGCATACTCTTTGCTATGTAAGTGCAATAATCTTGAACGCGATGTTAAACCCCATTTCACCTCATAATGTCATCTTCCCAAAGCAAGGGAGTGAACTGACTATAAAAGTCCACCCTTGCCAAACTAAAATTTCCAGGCTCAATCATAGCACCACCAGTGGCGGGTATGAGTTATGTCCCTTCTATGTACCTACTACATCTACCCGAGGCAAGAGAGTTCACTGACTTTAAAAGTCCAGTTTTCACCCTTGCCGAACTAGACTGTAATTCCTGTGCTCGATTGTAGCGCCACCAGTGGCTATTACGAGTTATGTCCCTTCTAAGCCTCTCCTATGGACCAGTCAGATTACACCTCTTGTATCACTTGCATTTGCTTCAAACAAAATGGCTGCATCCAGTCAGAACGTTCTGATCTATAATAAAGATCTATATTGTGATAAAACGGGTCACGAAATGCACCAAATCACGTGAGCACCTTGATAAAAAACATGAAAAGATTTGGAAAATATCTGTTGACGAGTTGGCGGTGCACATGCTTTGCAAATCCTGCAATCGACTGAAATCTGCATGACAGTTTAAGAACTGGATTTCGATTTCGTCACACGATTTTCATTGGACTACACATAGACTCGTTAATCCAGCCAAAATGTAACTCTGTAATTCCAGCCTAGTTCAGCAAGAGTGGAAACTGGACTTTTATAGTGAGTTACCTCCCTTGCCTTCCCTTGTATATTGTAAGAGGCCATATGTTTTGATTTATCTGTTGTAAAATTTGGTCAGTTGGTCGAAATATTAAATCAAATGCTTCTCAATGGGATTTTTTAAGGGCTGTAAGATTAAATTGGAGCAGTAGGTGGAAATTGAAAAACAGGTGGATGTGAATTTTTGAAAAGGAGGGTTGCACATAACACCTAAGTCACACTATGACTAGGCCCAGAGCACAGTTTACATGTGAGGTGTCTGAAAATGGGGACAGTGTAGGGGTGTGAAAATGTCTGGCCTCATTGGTTGTAAAATAACATCTTGAATTTAAGAGTTTTAATTTTTTTTGTTCCTGTTCTAAAGAATTAAGAAATGTACTCCAGACAGTATTTTATAGTTGCATTTCAATTGATGCAAAATAATCTGAGCTTGGGTTTGTTAAAACAATTTTTACTGTTGGCAGCTTAAAAAATTACTTGCAATGCGCATTTCATCTCTTCACCAAGTTTATATTTTTAATCAAGTAAAAGTGATCTATTTTATCTTGCCAAGGCTCACCTGATTGTCTTCTGGTTGGCCTAGTTTGGAAAGTTAATGTGTGAAATATATCAAGTCGAATAATTTATTAATAGCCATCAAGAAGAAATGCATGCCATTGAAATGCGATATCTGCCGGTAATCTATTGAAATAAGACTGACACATGTTAAACTGATGCCGTATGCTGCTAAGTTGGCTATGTACGAAAGAGCATGTGGTTACTTCGTTGTGAACCAAGGACAAATCTACCGTTTTCGATTTCAAATTAAATGAGTTACACATAAACAATTGATTCATGATGCAGTGGAACCCATAGTATAAGAAATCATTGTTTCACAAGAACATGAGTTAATATAGGTGACCATTGCTGTGCTTGGTCTCTTGTAGTATTGCCTTATATATGTTACAGACAATGGCTAAATTTAGCCAATTTGTAAAATCAATAAAAATCTCACTCAATATATACAGGGGCACGGGTGGCCGAGTCGTCTAAGGTGCTGCAAATTGCTTTGCAGAGTTGCGTCCCTTGGGCACGCCAGAAACCTAAGATTGTGGGTTCGAATCCCTGTTTGCCCCGATTATGTTTCTAGGTTTGTCAGCACCATAGCCGTGCTCGTGGGTTTCACCGAAGTGGTAAACGTCTAAGACCTGCATCACTTCGGGCTTTCCTCCTTAAGCTGACACGCCGTGATATAACTGGACTACTGTTCAAAGCGGCAATAAACATAACTTACTCACTCACTCAATATACAAATTGCTTGATTCACAGTTACTCCTCACTACAACTGCCCATTCACCACTATCTGTAATGACTACCCCTTCCCCCCAAGTCTGTGTTCCACAAACACCCAGCATTCAGAATCTTGTCCTCTACATCTTCACCTCTGCAGCATCAACTGACAAATCAGGACAAATACATCATAAAAATAATTTATTTGAACATTGTATATAGTGTTTGATACAAAATGTATTGTTTAAAATATCTGCAGTTTGACATGCTCGACGACATCGGGACAGCCTTTCAGCCAACAAGGCGCCACCCTTTACAATTATTGGATGTTTGATATGTAAATATATCTCTTCTTGCTGTCTGGTCTAAGGAGATTCGCAAAGGATATGACACAATTGGAATAAGCTACACACATTTATATCATGAACAATATTCATTAACAGATACAAACTTCCTTACCCAGCCTTACAGTCATTGTCAACTGGCTTAACTCGTCAGCCATGTAGAAACTGTGAGGTCTATATGATTAACACTATCCTCTCATAGTAACAACAACCACTAAACAACGTCCTGCAAACACAATATCCCAAATTCCATCGGATACATCCAACAATAAAACATCCTTTGCAATGTCATACATTTATCAAAGTAAACATGCTTTCAAATCAATTTGTTAAATTTCCAAAACTTTGTAGAATGACCAATGCTTTCAATAAGTCAGATTGGTCACTTATATGCCATCAATTCTTGTTCATTATTCAGTTAACTGCATATTGTCATAGAGGAATGTAAGAGAAACATCTATACACTACAGATGATAAAGCTATGCAGTAGAACCAGGGCAGAAACAGGTTCAGCTGTGAGCCTGATCTCTACATATGTACAGGAACATCTACATGAAGTGTACTAGCATGTGCTCTTCATCATGCATGGCGATACCGTATTACCAGTAAAAAGCGGGACATACAATCATAGAAATACTAACATTAACAAAACACATTCTTAAAATGATTCTCCAAAATGTCTTAAGAAATAAAGTATGCTACCACTATGTTTGTTCCAGAATAATAACTTTTCCCGTGAACTATTACTGGGCAAGTGACTACTTCGTGTGATCGCTACCTCGACCTGGGCTGCTGGTTTGACAGTTGGCTTCTCTGTTGTCACTAAATATAATAAATATATTAATAAGTCGACGCCATGATCTGCCACAATTGTTTCAAGTGGGAAACTAGCAAAATTTGAAACAGAGAAACAGTGGTTATACTGCAAGAAGTATTTTAGAACAGCTGTTAATCTGCCCTTTAGCTATGACGACTGGCAAATGGCTACTATCTACACGGCATGTCACAACACACGACACATATGAGTTGTTAGATACTCTCGGTGTCACACAATGTTTCTCACAGCACAGCATTCTCACTCCTCACACATGGAGCAGCATAAGATTATATAGCCATGTGTTTCTTTGTTTGTTGTTTAATGCCACCAGTGATCGGTTTTCAGAGTTTAAGAGTTTAACAGCAGTATATAGGCTTATAGATGCAGTTCTTTGTTTGTTGTTTAACATCGCACTCAGCAATATCTCATCTATATGATGGCTGTCTGTAAATAATCGAGTCTGGACCAGACAATCCAGTGATTGCTATCATAAGCATTGATCCACGCAATTGGGATACAATCAACGATTTGTATCAACCAAGTCAGCAAGCATGAACATCCAATCCCGTTAGTCGCCTCTTACGACAAGCATAGTCCTCGTTTACGGCAAGCATGGGTTGCTGAAGACCTATTCTAACCCAGACCTTCACGGGTCATATAGTCATGTGACTAGGAGAGACATCACAGATTTCTTGTATTTTGATTGGACACTATTCACATTATCGCCACATCGCCAACACCAATGAGTCACTGACGTGTACAACTTGCCGGTCTGAACAGACTCAAGCTGATTCTTCAAGTCTTTCAAGTCCTATTATCTTTTCACATATTACGCATTAGATATGAGAGGTGGCTTATATTTCAAACTGTTTGTCAATAGCAACAAAAATACTTCTGATTATATCTACACTCATAACAGTTTGGGGTTAGGCCTACACCTTCACACAGTTAGTCGGTGTAGGTTGTATTGACACATGGACATGTACTTGACATATGGACACCCAGGGACCAACCCACACACATTGGGAATATCTGGACGCCGGGGCAGAATATATGAAATCATTGGACCCTCATGTAAACAAGCAAACAGTGCTATCACTATTCCCCGCCATGGGGCACATTAGAGTTTTGTTTGTTCATATGGTAGTGAATATAAACTATTAAAAGAGAGTCCTATAAAGCCTTGAGAAGAGATAGGGACATGGGTCACTTTATGTCATCAGAAAAACTTATTAAATGTGAAATTGATACACACAACAGACCCCTTCTCTGGAAAAAATGAATTTAAGACACCAATTTTCGAACTCATTTAAGATCATGACCAGTAACACCAGTAATATTAGTAGACGGACAGACGAACTCCGCTCCTATATCCCCTCCCCCGCTTGGTTGCGGGGGGTAATAATGTCGTCCTGTGTGTCCATCAGTGACACTCAGCTGCCTTCAGCCACCCGAGCTACACTCTGGGAGAGAAGCACAAAGTACCTGCAGAACACAGGTTATCAAGTGGACACATAGGAGTCATGTGAAGACAGATCAACCAGGACAGCTTCTTCATACTTCTGTACCAGCCAAACATCATCTCCACTTGTGTCATTGACACATGCACTGTTCAATGTGATAATCACGTGGGGTCATTGACACATGGACTGTTCAGTGTTATAACAGTATCTTTACTTGGGGTCACTGACACATGCACTGTTCAATGTGATAATCATGTGAGGTCATTGACACATGGACTGTTCAGTGTTATAACAGTATCTTTACTTGGGGTCACTGACACATGCACTGTTCAATGATATAATCACGTGGGGTCATTGACACATGGACTGTTCAGTGTTATAACAGTATCTTGACTTGGGGTCATTGACACATGCACTTTTCAATATTATAACTGCAACACAGCTCTATCCGCCGAGACAAATCCCTGTATCAGTACGTCCTATTTGACCGTACATATGTGGCACAGATGACAGCAAGTGTCTAGAGATGGAGGATACAAAATAGCACTGTAATGATAATATGTTTGTATGGTGCTATATGAAACAGGTCGCTCTCCTCCTCAGAGGTCGAGGTCTTCTCAACTGCATAGGGAGAGTACACAGGGATGCTATGTCCTTGCACCAGATAACTCCGATGTCCTCACCAGTAAATCATCTACATGGTATCTCTGCTGAATTGTCTCCAGCTCTTACTCATAGCTACAAATCAAGGGAAAGACTCAGTAAACTGTTGAAATGAGATGAAGGAATCCGTTGAGCTGGGTGTGCCACCGAGACACCATGTGCATCTACACTGTACCCTCTACTGGGACGGCCTGGATTCACCTCAGGAGCGGTTCCAACCGGAGTGTACGCTGCAACCGCAGTTCATCCTAGACAAAGAAACCAAGCTTCATATATAGGTAATACCAGGTAAGACAGGTGAGACAGGTAAGACAGGTACAGCAGGAAGACCGGTGAGACATGTAAGAGAGGAGAGACCGATAAGACAGGTGAGACAGGTATACAGGTGAGACAGGTGAGACATGTAAGACAAGTAACACAGGTAAGACTGGTAAGACAGGTAGACAGGTAAGACAAGTAACACAGGTAAGACTGGTAAGACAGGTGAGATAGGTAAGACAGGAGAGACGGATGACAGGTAAGACAGGTACAGCAGGTAGACCGGTGAGACATGTAAGAGAGGAGAGACAGATAAGACAGGTGAGACATGTAAGACAAGTAACACAGGTAAGACTGGTAAGACAGGTAGACAGGTAAGACAAGTAACACAGGTAAGACTGGTAAGACAGGTAACAGCAAGCGTTTTACATCCATTATTACAGTAGAACCTCAGCATTAGGGGACTTATAGATCAAGAATTATGTTACTGTTACTACAGTTCCAGCACATATGTACAATATGGAGTATCAATACACCATGACCAAGATGTAACACAGTCTAAGTATTGCCCAATGACTCCCAGTAAAGTGAGTGAGTAACAGTTTACGCCACTTTTAGCAATATTCAAGCAATAGACAGCAGGACTGACGAGAAAAGGGGCTTCACACACTGTACCAATGGGTGGAATCAAACCCAGGCCTTTGACATAATGAGTAAATGCTTTAACCACGAGGCTACCCTTCTGCCCTGTTTGTGTGTCAACACTTCCAGGATTGACTGAATCTGAGATATTGCGTAAGATGAACGTACGAGAGTGGGGTATTCATGAGAGGCCATTGTAGCATTCCTCCCCAGGCCATGCTCCGCCTCATTCAGTCGAATAGAAATGTCAGCTCGTTCCCTTCCCCAGTTCCGAGAATTTTCTGACAGCTGTAACAAAAAAACAAAAGCCAAGAATAACTCAGGACCACAGCATGGTGACTTCTTGCACTTACCGGGTATTCCAATTACTGGGACTATGAAAAAGAATGATACAGACAACATAGTAGTTAATATTTCATTTATCCTAGTTTATTAAATTAGGCTTGTATCAAGTCTGCATATTGCATCCTTCTGTACTGAAACACAATGAAAACACAAAATCAGCTCGAAATCAGAAAAGATTTCGGCGCTCAAGACCATCTCCAAACACACAGAATGAAATTCGAACGCCAACAACGACATTGTCGTGTTTGATTATCGCATGCCTAAATGTCCAGAACAACTTAATTAGATTTTTGTGGTCATATGCAAAATATTACAAAAATTGGAATATGTGTTTTCAAAGTGACTCAGTATAGGAGGATGTGACCGGGGTGCCATTGTACAAAGGGATCTTAGTGCATAGGTGATCGTATCTCCAATACTGGACAAAAGCTTACGATCATCGTAGCACTAAGGTTGTTTTGTACGACGGCACCCAGCTCTCAGCTGCAAGGCCTTACCTGCTTCTCGAGCGCCATGATGCGAGCCTCGGCCCGCTCCAGAGCCTGGTACAGCTCCAGCTTCTCCAGGTCATCCCCGCCACGCCCCGAGTTCTTCAGCTGCTCCTGGAGTAGAACACGTGCAGGGTAGACATCAATGTCTGACATGAACATCATGGGGAACTTTCTCAAGCATCCAATGTGCTTGGAACACTGGACATGTGGTTGGGGGAAGATGAAGATATCCTCACTATATACAAGATATTTCCAGCACGTTAACTATGTGTAGGATAAAGCACGTCTGAGTGTTTTTATTATATTTTAAACCTGCATCCGTGGGATAAAGGTTTTAATATCATAAAAACCCGAGGGGAAGTGTTTTATCTTACTGACCAGTCACCGTCAAGGCTCCCGCGCACGTGATTGCGAGAACTACGTGTTAACATAGAATCGTCAAACTATAACAAATATGACTTTTAACGAGTCAAAGTATGGCATTTATGATATATGTATCCGTCAACTAAAGTTCTTTTCAAGGCGTCAATAGCGGTAATCTGACCATGGTTGCTGTTAATAATGGTGAGTTGTGCGATCTTCTGATCGCTTCAGACACGATTTCGCCAAAATTAATTAAAACAATATTACAAGGAATTTTGAATAAAATTAATGAAATAAGTTACAAACATAAATCCAGATATACAAAGAACACTTTTTATAGCCAGACAGTGTAATTACATGATTAATTTGTGTACTTCAGTATGGATTTGTTGACATGGTATTTCCGGTGTTACGTGCTCACGGTAATGTCTTTCCATGGGTAAAAAACATCAAAACTCATTATTTCATGTATAATGCGCACCCCCTTCTACACAGCTGTGTTTTTTTGAAAAAAAGTGTGCACTATACTCAAGAAAATATGGTATAAACCGAAAAAAGAAACTTAAAACAACATTTATCAACACTTAAATTATCTGTTGCTATCGTACGGTTCTTGAAAAAGACCTTCTAAAAAGCATTGCGATTTATCAGCGCCTCTGGGCTACAGATACGAAGGTTGTGTGTTCGATCCTCCGGAATATAAATAAAACATTTGTCATTTGATTTTACATTTCACTACATGTTACAATCGGAACGGAAGTTGTATTAATAAAATTAATAAAATTCCCGGGATATTATATATTATAGAGGAATATGACGGAATATCCTATAAAATCCTGGGGATATTATATAATATCCCGCGGACATAACAACATCCCTGTATATCAGAATTAACTTGACTGGAGAACAATAGGATGTGTCACTGGAGGTATATAGGTTCAGGTAACCTGTAAAGTCTGGATCGGACAAACCAGCCATCACTGAGACACTTGCTTTCATCCAGGGCACGTCAGGGCTTTGCTCACCCATAAACATACCAGCCCTACTCAGCAGCCATTGTGTACACCCAATCCCCGGGACTGGCTGCAACCATGTGGTCAATAGCATGAGCATTAATACACAACATTTGATGACCCACAACCAGATCACAAGGTGTGACCTCCTCATCCCAAATGTGGTTGGCGTTTATGAAAAGCTGGGTTTACTGGGGACCTATCCTGACCTGGAATCCCCACAAGGCTTAGGCATGAGGAACATACATAGGAGTTTTGTACAAACCTGCAGATCAATGATTTGTTGTCTCAGCCTCCGATTCTCCTCCGCCATTGCACTGTTGAAGTCACCAGATACACCCTCTGGTTGGGGAAGAACAAAACAAGAGTTGGAAAGTCAAGAGTAATGTCCCTTGTTGGTTCTAGTGATCCTTTGATAATTCATCAGTTTGAAATTTCTGATGTTCCCCCAACTAGCCATGCTACTGGATTATAGCATTCAACATGAAATAGTGATCCACTGTTCAGGTTATTACAAAATATCATTGTTGAATTGTCAGAACAAAAGGTTGCATAAGGGAGACAACTCAAACATAACTAAGTTTGTCTTCAGGGAAGCATTATGGGTACCATTTTTGCCATATTAAGTGCCCCCCTGAACAACTTCGAGGCCAATTTGTAAGGAAAAATTATAAGCGCCCCCTATTAGGACTGAATATTTACATGACAGTCCATATTTTCTTTTTTTTTAACAGAAAACAGAAGTGCAGAAGAGGTATAACATTACCCAGTAGCTATTATTTAAAAATATCAGTTTCATTGACATTTGAATAAAGTTTGTTCCCTACCACTCACTCTCTGAAAGCAAATTTATCTTGTGGTTTTAATAGGTGCCCTTCTGTCAATTTTCTAAATGCTAAATGCTGGTGTTCCAAGCTCACCCAATTTAAATTACACACTGACTGTTTTAATCAGAGTTTCCATTCAAATGCTTACCAACAACTGATCATAACCTCTGGTAGCTTGTGCTAACTGATGACTACATACCTCCTTTATTGTTCTTGAGCTTGTATATGATGCGTTCCAGCTTCTCGATGACGCGTTCCTGCTTGCGAACGGTCTCCTCCAGTTTCTGCAGCTTGAGGATCTTCTCCTGCAGCCTCTGCAGCAGCTCCTGCTGCCCCGAGTGAGCCTGCGACATCCGCAAGTACTCCTTCTCTCGGTCATTTTTCTACAACACACCCAACCACGTCAAGGTTCCACCCACCATCTCAGCAATAAGGCGACTTCACTTTCAGGTTATGCTCAGGACAGGTTCATCAAAGGGATGTTTTTGTCGGGAATCTTTCACCAACATGATCTTACTATGAGGGAATATGTCAGTGATAAGGCCAAGTTAATGTTATGTGCAAGAGTCTATTTAGTCTGAGCAGTTGATTGTCATCATTTAAAAGAGCAACCATCAAAGTGATCTTAGCAGTAAGGTTCATCCTCAGTTCATGTTTTGGTTCCATTCATCTTAGTAATATGAGTGTCTGTCTTAGTGATAAGACAATAATAACTTGGTATATGTGCAGTGTCATGCTCTAACATCATCTTAGCGCTATGACATCCAATGTCTAATGTGAAGTATCGGAGTATGTAGTATGTCTTACATGATGCATCTTAGAGCTGAGTCTATCCTCACTCCAATATACATAATCATTTTGTGAAAGGGGCCCCTTGTTTCATGATACCAGTAGTGCTTAGCAGAGTTTGTGTGATGATCACAAGCTGTAGCGGAGATAAGGAGACGTTAGCCAGCTCTCAGGTTCTACTACACCAAATCAGAATCAGTCGTTTGACGAGCAGTTTTCGTAGAGAGCCTTCAGTGCAGACTGAATCATCTTGCAGCTGTGATTGGATGATTTTGTGTAAGATTTTTTTTTTTTTTTTAAAATGAACATCCATCAAGTAATTAAAACTGACCATGTTTTTCAATTTTTAGTGCTGTCTTTTTTGAACATGATGACCACAGATGCGGTCAGTTGGTGCGGAACTGGGGGTGGTGTGTTTAGCTTCCTGTACACGGAAAAGGAGCTGGCTAAGCTAGTCAGGTTTTTGGTTTTTATTGCTGCTTTAAGGCCAGACTGTGTACACATGTACATGTAATAGCTGTTGAATGCTTAGATATTTATAAAATATAACATTCCTATAGAAGCCTATGGGAAAACATTTGGTTGTGTGTAACCACCGAGTCTCAGTCACAACAAAGACCAGTCCTACAGAAGAAGACAACCACTGCGTGTGTGTGGTACAACTCACCTTGATGAGTTCGTTCTGCAGCCTCTGTACCTTGTCCTTGTAGCTCTTCACAGTGGACATCTGCGACACAAACTTCTCCCTCAGCGATGCTGCCAACATCAAACAACCCCATTCAACCAACTACACACACAATCACAACATGTTGGTTACATACAGTCAACTTTAACTTTGGAAACTCAACCTCGTGATCTTTCATAATTATTAGTCTAAAAATAAACAAACAAAATGTTTCTCGCACATAGGCGTGTCACTTAAATCATGTGCCGTCAGTTATGCCTATTGCCAATAAATATTTTTCAAATTAAATAAATTTAAAAAAATATTTTTCAAATTTCCTGCGTCATATGAAACATACTCTGTTCTCAAAAAAATAAACTTCTTGACATCCTACAATGTGATAAGGAGCCGAGTTCAAAGTGTGCTCAGTTGTGTTTGTTCATATTCTTGGTGGGAAACAAGTAAAACATCAAAATAAATGTCCTACCGCCCTTTTCACTATGCAGAATAAAATGCCTGGGAAATAATATTTTTTTTAATTCTGCCTTTAAACTATAGGTGTCACTTGTTGAGCACATTCAAATACAAAAGTCTTGTTGGTATGAACGATAGTTGTTTGAGCATGTGGTCAGATGAGCAGTTACTGACACCCTCGCAGCACTGGGCGGAAATAAACATATCACTGATAAATCGAGGCATTTTCTTATCCGAATTTTAGAGAAGGCTGAACCCTAAAAATTGATTTGGCCTAAATTAGCAAATAATCCACAAGCTAGCCACATCACTGTCAACAACTTAGAAATATCAGTACTTGAAGGAGTTGTTTTGAAAGAGTGACAATGAGTATTTATTATTTATTTAAGTCCGCTCCACCAAGATCCCCCTCACCATATCGCGATGCAAGGTCAGTTTTGCTGAGGCTTTCCGTCTCCGTGGAGTCGATGATGAGGGCTGTGGCGTCATTGTAGCCCCTGCCACGGAGCTGACTGTTCTCATTCTCAAGAGACCGCACGGTGTTCCGTAGAGTCACAATGTCGTGCCCCATGCGTGTCACTGCGGACCGATAGTTGTCCGTCTCCCGCATCTGTGCATCTATCACCATCACAGATGGGTCATAGTCATTGCGCCTATTTCAAAGAGAGAAAAGGGACATTTACACATTATATCGCTCCAATTATTTATCCTTATACCCAATTTACAAATACTTGGGAATTGTTTTTATACAAAATGTCTTTGAACAATGAAAAATATGGCATAAAACAACAATTACTGGTAGGCCAGATTAAAAAAAATATTTGGGTTGAAGATATTTGCTTATTGTAAGCTTGATAAACAAAAACGTATCTCAATATTTTCCATATCTTTTTTAACTGATCAGTCAGTTAGAAAAGTTGCTTCTACAAAGCATGGCAACATGAATTCAAAATATGATGGGGAAGGAAATTTGTTGAGTAAGCAGGGTTTCCACACTAACAGGGTTTGACTGTAGGCAGGGTTTCCACACTTACAGGGTTGACTGTAGGCAGGGTTTCCACACTAGCAGGGTTTGCCTTTAGGCAGGGTTTCCACAATTACAGGGTTTGACTGTAGGCAGGGTTTCCACACTAACATGGTTTGACTGTAGGCAGGGTTTACAAACTAACAGGGTTTGACTGTAGGCAGGGTTTACATACTAACAGGGATGACTGTAGGCAGGGTTTCCACACTAGCAGGGTTTGACTGTAGGCAGGGTTGCCACACTAACAGTGTTGACTGTAGGCAGGGTTTCCACACTAGCAGGGTTTGGATGTAGACAGAGTGTCCACACTAACAGAGTTTGACCGTAGACAGGGGGTCCACACTAACAGGGTTTGAGTGTAGGCAGGGTGTCCACACTAACAGGGTTTGAGTGTAGGCATGGTTTCCACACTAGCAGGGTTTGAGTGTAGGCAGGGTTTCCACACTAACAGGGTTTGTCTGTAGGCAGGGTTTCCACACTAGCAGGGTTTGACTTTTGGAAGGGTTTCCACAATTACAGGGTTTGACTGTAGGCAGGGTTTCCACACTTACATGGTTTGAGTGTAGGCAGAGTTTACACACTTACAGGGTTTGAATGTAGACAGGGTGTCTACACTAACAGGGTTTTAGTGTAGGCAGGGTGTCCACACTAACAGGGTTTGACTGTAGGCAGGGTGTCTACAATAACAAGGTTTGAGTGTAGACAGGGTGTCCACACTAACAGGGTTTGACTGTAGACAGGGTGTCTACAATAACAGGGTTTGAGTGTAGGCAGGGTGTCCACACTAACAGGGTTTTAGTGTAGGCAGGGTGTCCACACTAACAGGGTTTTAGTGTAGGCAGGGTGTCCACACTAACAGGGTTTGAGTGTAGACAGGGTGTCTACAATAACAAGGTTTGAGTGTAGACAGGGTGTCCACACTAACAGGGTTTGTCTGTAGACAGGGTGTCTACAATAACAGGGTTTTAGCGTAGACAGGGTGTCTACAATAACAGGGTTTGAGTGTAGGCAGGGTGTCCACACTAACAGGGTTTGAGTGTAGACAGGGTGTCTACAATAACAGGGTTTGAGTGTAAGCAGACACACACCTGCTGGGTCCCACAGTTACTGTTGTGCGCTGAGTGTGATGCTGGGTCCGATTAGACTGCGGATCTTTGCGATATGTACGGGATGTCTTCTCAGTAGTCTCACCCTCCTTGAAGATATATTCATACTCTGGCAGAATGGTTTCCATGGCTTCATAGGGGGGCAACTCACCATCACGGATTGGCTGGCAGGAAATAGAAAGCACCTTATGTTCACTTTGTATTAGTGGCAGTGAAGAATGATGTGATGTGACTACAAACAGCAGTAATTACTTTCTGCACTATTACTCCACACTGCCTCATTACTAGTACCACTTTAAGAAATAGTGCCTAGATTCCCGCTAAAAGTGCCTAGGTTCCCGCTAGAAGTGTCCATGTTCCTGCAATAGAGCCTCGGCTCCTGCTAATAGTGCCAAGTAGCCTACTAATTGTGCAGTACTCCCATTAATAGTGCCTTATTTCCTTCGCATAGTGCCCATGTTCCAGCAATAGAGCCTTGATTCCTGCAAATAGCAATAGAGCATTGATTCCTGCTAATAGTGCCTAGATTCCTGCTAATAGTGCCTAGATTCCTGCTATTAATGCACATGGTTCCTGCTAGAAGTGTCCTTCATCATTAGATACATGTTACTGCTACTTGATGTGCGTCTTAGTGCCAACACATTAACCTGTGATCTCTGCTGTGGTTTAATCCACAGCCCCATAAACTACCTATGTCCCTGATACACGATACAGAGTAGATACATAACCTACCCAGATAACACTGTAGGGAGAGGACAAACGGAAGAGGTTCACATTCAATAAGCAATTTAATCTCTTCATGCATCCACAGACAACATAAATCTATTTCTCCATTCATATTCTCCAATATGGGGACTGTGGGAGCCTAATATGCCTTTGTTCTTTCCATGAAGTCCCCTCCAATGAGGTGATACATCAAGTGTTGCAATAACACCTGGCACCTACCCACAATACCCTATCAGCAGCAGCAGCATAACTTGTGTTTATTCCCTACTTCTCCAGCAGTGAGTGGCTGGGTGTGATATGATCAATATCTCCCTGGTGTAACAGAGCTCGTAATTCCCCACTGCCCTGCCAAGTCATGTGTTTCCAATCATGGTGAGGCTTATTGCAGCTACATTGCGTGATGTACCGCTTCAGGCACAATAGAGCAGTCACTAGGAATGTTATTAGAAATCTTATTGCCAGTGTTAACGAGCTAATCAATGACGCTAGCTGATGTGCATAATTAATCTTTCATTAACACTTTATTACTTGAAGAACTGTGTCTTGAAATTGTTCTCTGAGAGCACATTAACTTGTGTTTTCTAAAAATAACCTTCAGAAAATAAAAAATAATTGTGGAATGTATCTCGAACTGTTTCCGGGATGAAAGCATGTTGATATTTCAGATTCAGAACTTTGGAAGTTTATTAAATGGACATAGGTTATTTATATAAACTTTATTGAAAGTTGATATTTTGCCATCTATCAATGCCTCTCTGAATTAATCAATTCATCAATTAAAAAGAATTCACTGAAAAGTAATACCAATTGTCAACAGCTTCATGTTTGTTATAACTGTCTATATAAGTGATAACGCTAGTCTTACTGCATGATCTTACATGTAATACACACAGGTGCTGGAACTACCTGTGTAATAAATGGTATAATAATTCCTTTTCAGCAAAGTAAACTGAACACCACTTGAAACAGAAGAGTCATTTTGTAATCCTAATCTACCCAAACAACTCATTTAATCTATTGTACAAACACTTTAAACTGTCATGTCCATGAACTTCCTCTTAATTGTATAACATCAGTCTTGTTGTAACTGGCTTTACTTATGTAAATCTAATTATAACTGTGTTCAATCGTATGTATATGTCATGTTTCCCTTCCTGTCGTCCACCTGATGAAGGGGCAGGAAGTCCCCCTCAAACATTGTGTGTGTAATACAGAAGTTACAGAATATCAAGAATACTCCTTGTCATGATCACATCCAGCTTCTAAATGCCTGCTATGACTCTCATTATTTGACATACTTACACATGTAATACTGCTATAAAATAATTAAGAGGATGATAAAAGGTTTGCAATATCACTTTGTTTGTTTCTTGTTTAACGCGGCACTCAGCAATATTCCAGCTATATGATGGCGGTCTGTAAATAATCAAATCTGGACCAGACAATCCAGGGATTGATATCATGAGCATCGATCAACGCACTTGGGATATGATGACAAGCATCAACCAAGTCAGCGAGTCTGACCACCTGATCCTGTTAGTCGCCTCTTACAACAAGCATAGTTGCCTATTATGGCAAGCATGAGTTGCTGGAGACCTATTTTGACCCGGATCTTCACGGGTGCTTACACATGACCAAGTAATATTGTAACATGATTAATCCCCTTATCAGCTTAATACTGTTTCTTACAGTATCCGGTATGTAGGCCATCACCAGCATGTTTACACCACACACACAGCCACCTACTGCTCCTCATAGGGCTGGCATAACATTATGGGTTTTTATGTTGATACATATTTCAAGTGGTTTGGACTGAAGCTGAATCTAAGTTGGTAAATTGTCCATGCAATAGAAACAAAACCATGTAATGATGGCACTTTGCCCCGACTACAGAAGCACAGCAATTTGATAGCAGATATTCATGATAAACATTAGATGTGGTAGAGTGCTTTGAAACAAAAACAGCTTCATATGGTTTTATTCCTTAAAGAGAATCACCAAATAGATAGACATCTTTTCATTTTCTTTTAACAAGACTGTAGAAATATATTCAGGGCATATTTTTATCTGTCAATATGGAAATTCTGCACATAAATATGTAAAGACATGTTTAAAAGCAGGCTGCTTAGAATGCAATAGAAATAGACCTACAACTTCAGCCTAAAAGTTTCAAACAGCATTCTTAAAGGAACAAATCTCTAGAACAGTTTAAGGTGAAAACCATCTCATATGTTTCCAGAATGATAGATAAGCGGTGGACAAGAACACTCCTGGAGAGACTTACCTCTGCTGTGTACGGTCTATAATACATGGTAGCCATATTGCCTACGGTTGGTTACTGTCACTACACAAACACAACCCCCGTCTCCCTCCCTCTCTGCTGCCGGATCGCTGTTTTACTGTTTTACTGTCACAGTAGCAGAGGAACACAATGGTGGAAACACTACCTCACATGTTGCTCTACACTACAATACCTGCTTTCCACAAACAATTCATTGATTGCAGCGCAGTTCGCCTAATCTTTAATTAGATCTCTTCATGACCCATGAACTCTGGATTTGTTTATCCATTGCCCCTGACAACCACCAGCCCCCACTACCCATGCAACAGGTCGCGTGTTGGCTCAGTTCTGACTGAGTACAATGGAGGAGGGTAGGACACTGACTGGGTTGTTAGTACAGGGGGTACATGGTGACAGCTATAGGCAGTAACCAGAGGGAGCTTTGTTGGGGGACAAGGAATGCGTGTTTGTGGGTCGTGAAAACACTCAGGTGGAGTACAACGTGTACTCATTCATGCATCCGAGTGCCAGTGTATTCATTTAATATCAATGTTACAATCCTGGAACAGAAATGTTTATTACATAAAGGTTTTGTCATGAACCTGTCAGTCATGGAGTATCATATAATAAACAGTATCTGTGGGCACATTAAGCTCTATGTGTTAATGAATAATAAGTGCCTGACAAAAGATTTGCAATGTCACTTACTGCTATGCAAGTATCAATGTCATAATCCTGGATTAAAAATGTTTATTACATAAATGTTTTGTCATGAATTTGTCGAGCATGAGTATTATATACTAGCAGAAAAAAATTAATCACTGACCATAATGGCAAGTGTATAATTATATGCAAAAAAAGAACGATTTTACATCAGACCTACATATTGATGTCCATGAAACATGAATTCATCATGACAGTGTCAACAGATGTCCTCTTTAAATGTCATCTCAGGCTGAAGGTGTCAGTTCTGAAGTCAGTATCGAGTATGACCACCATTAGCTAGACACAGCACTTCATTGACGACACAAGATGGTTGAGGAAGTTGTGAGATGTCAATCCAGATCTGGACCAACATTGCCTGTTGGTTTTGAGGTCGGTGTTAACACCGCTTCATTTCATCAAACAATATTCAATCGGCGGTAAATCTGTCCAAACAGCAGGCCAAGGGACACTCTCCTACCCAGAGTTCCACCTGGCCAGTATAGTACCTCTGCCACACGCCAGCACCATGTGACAATTCGTCACATCTTACACAGTCCATTAAAGATATTGCATCTGTTTTTCATCTGTTTTATTTTTGACAAGTCTACACTAGATAAATGATGTTATAGAATGGTTAACTTTTATTGAGAAAATATCCTAAAATGTGAAAAACTATTTCCATTTGCGTAGTTATCCTTTGTTTACATTGGTTGTGTGGCTACACATGCTGTCATCGAAGCCCTATGGAGAGCCAGCCATACGTCCACTTTGGTGTATAAAGATATGCTCTCATGCACCTCAATGTCGCAGTGGTAGTAGCATATCTATAAAATTACATGTAAAACGCCCTAAAAGGCTAGAATAAGGCCAATCAAGAGAAAAGTCTGGTCACATGATATGCAGATTAGCCTGTGGCAGTGGGTGTTATGCTAAGTCACCAATGCATGGGAGTGTGGCCAAGGGAGTGAGGGGATGTTATGTGGCCATGAAGTCTGCGACCACACATGCAGTATGAGCGTGCGCATTTGCCTGCTGTAGGTGATGTGACGTCCATACGTCTGAAGGAAGATGAGGACAGATAACTTCCATCACGGTATCATACATGTGTCAAAATGCCATCGATGACCACAAGAGGGGTCCTGTAATGTACAGTGATGCCTCCCCACACTATTACACTCCCACCACCGAATGCAGAACGTTGAACAACACAGACGTAAGCATAAGGTTCAACCAATATTCACAAACACGCCAACGGCTATCACTGCTGTCAAGATGAAACCTGGACTCATCTGTGAGGAGGACGAACCTCCAGTCCTGGAACCTCAACCTCAGATGTCTGTCAAAGCTGCAGTTTCAAACCCATTTTGCAGGTGATCCAGACGGATATGACTATCTTGTCAACGTGACGTTACTTGTGTTTGGTCAGTCCCTGGGGTTGCCAGTCTGTAGCTACAGACCCCAAAGTGACTGTATGGTGTTACAAGGAACACCAAAAGACCCAGCAACAATGTCTTGTGCCATTCTGGTCTCAAGCATTCCAGTTACATGCAACCGCTTATTTTCTGAAAGGTTTGACCATCAACAAAGTTGTTTTTCACAGTTTAAACACTTCAATGATTTACTCTATGTTTGAATTGCCTCGGTCCCACATGTCTTGTGAATGTGTGATGAATTTCTTACTCATGGGATTTTTAGCATACAATGACAGGGATGCACCTTTAGATTCAGGGTCATCAGGACAATGTGTTTGTACATGTGATTATCATGCATGATTCTGAAAAATCCATGGCAATTATTATATTTTAATGTGATGTTTTTCCTCCTAGTATATAATAAACAGTACAGGAATCTGTGCAACATAACAGATTTATGTGTTATTAGACAACAAGTGAATGATAAATTTTTTGCAGTATCACTAATTGCTGCGCTAATATCAATGTTTTGATCCTGGAATAAACATGTTTATTAAATAAATTATATTATCATTATATATATTATATGATGAACAATACCGTTATAGTGAGTGAGTGAGTTGGGTTTAACGCCGTTTTTAACTGTATTCCAGTTATGTTGCGGCGTGTCAGCTTAATGAGGGAGGAAAACCCAAAGTGGTCTCAGACCTTTACCACTTCGGTGAAACCCACAAGCAGGGGTATGGTGCTGACAAACCTAGAAACATAATCGGGTTAACCAGGGGATTCGAACCCACAATCATAGGTTTTTGGCGTGCCCAAGGGATGCAACTCTGCACAGCGAATCGCGGCTCCTTAGACGATTGGGCTACCCGTGCCCCCCAACACCGCCATAAAATAATAAAGAAGTTGATAAAAGGTTTGCAATATCACTGTGTTTGTTTGTTTGTTTGTTGTTTAATGCCGAACTCCGTAATATTCCAGCTATATGACTGCGGTCTGTAAATAATCAAGGCTGGACCAGACAATCCAGTGATTAACATCATGAGCATCGATCTATACACAATTGGGATACGATGACATGCATCAACCAAGCCAGTGAGTCTGACCACCCGATCCCGTTAGTCGCTTCTTACGACAAGCAAAGTCGCCTTTTACGGCAAGCATGGGTTGCTGAAGACTAATATCACTGTGAAGTTGGAAAGGTCTTGCATACATAAACTGTGGTTATTATTAACTGACAAAGTCTGTGGTTTGATGCTTACCCTGCCGTATTTAAAACCCTTTCGAAAACATTACAAATACAACTATAAAATTCAAGCAGACAATATCACGTGAAAGTAACCAGACATGCAGAGGGTAGTCAATAAAATCAGTAAAACACACTTTTCAAGTTAATCAACTCCTTGTACAGATACACCTGACACATCAAGGTCATACGGGTAGCCTGATTGTTACTGTCTCGAACACACCTATATTCTCTATACACAAGAAGTGTAGTCAACACATCTCACGAGAAAGCCAGCTGGTAAAGAACATTTCTGTTTCAGCGGTGATTGTTTTTTCCCTGTACTGGCAGCTGTGTGCAGTGAGTTAGCTATTCACATGAACAGCCGAGTACAAAGCCTGCACGGATTGTGTTTTAGGTTGTTAATCATCTAGACCTTTCTCATATCCTGGGATCACTGCAGGATACTAAAATGTTCAGTTTGAACAGGTACTACCAGGGTCTGTGATTATCAATAAATATCTTGCAGTGTCTGAAGGCACTGTGGTGGATAGAGGTTCAGTGCAGTGTATTGCAGTGACAGGCATACAAGGTTGTGTGGTAGGTTATGTGATAGGCAAAGTTGTATGGTGAGTTATGTGATAGACAAAGTTGTGTGGTGAGTTATGTGAAGGACAAAGTTGTATGGTGAGATATGTGATAGAAAAAGTTGTGTGGTGAGTTATGTGATAGACAAAGTTGTGTGGTAAGTTATGTGATAGACAATGTTGTGTGGTGAGTTATGTGATAGACAAAGTTGTGTGGTGAGTTATGTGATAGACACAAAGTTGTGTGGTGAGGTATGTGATAGACAACATTGTGTGGTGAGTTATGTGATAGACACAAAGTTGTGTGGTGAGTTATGTGATAGACACAAAGTTTAGTGGTGAGTTATGTGATAGACACAAAGTTGTGTAGTGAGTTATGTGATAAACAAAGTTGTGTGGTGAGTTATGTGATAGACAAAGTTGTCTTTTGAGTTATGTGATAGACAACGTTGTGTAATGAGTTATAATAACAAAGTTGTGTGGTGAGTTATGTGATAGACAACGTTGTGTGGTGAGTTATGTGATAGACAAAGTTGTGTGGTGAGTTATGTGATAGACAAAGTTGTGTAGTGAGTTATGTGATAGACAACGTTGTGTGGTGAGTTATGTGATAGACAAAGTTGTGTGGTGAGTTATGTGATAGACAACGTTGTGTGGTGAGTTATGTGATAGACAAAGTTGTGTGGTGAGTTATGCGATAGACAAAGTTGTGTGGTGAGTTATGGGATAGACACCGAGTTGTGAGAGTGACAAGTGATTGACAGACATAGCACCACTCTGTGACAAATGATTGACAGACATACCACCACACTGTGACAAGTGATTGACAGACATACCACCACCCTCTGTGACAAGTGATTGACAGACATACCACCACACCGTGACAAGTGATTGACAGACATACCACCACACCGTGACAAGTGATTGACAGACATACCACCACCACCTTTCCTTGACAAGTGATTGACAGACAGACCACTACACTGTGACAAGTGATTGACAGACATACTACAACCCTCTGTGACAAGTGATTGACAGACATACCACCACCCTCTGTGACAAGTGATTGACAGACATACCACCACCCTCTGTGACAAGTGATTGACAGACATACCACCACACCGTGACAAGTGATTGACAGACATACCACCACACCATGACAAGTGATTGACAGACAGACCACCACACCGTGACAAGTGATTGACAGACATACCACCACACAGCGACAAGTGATTGACAGACATACTACCACCCTCTGTGACAAGTGATTGACAGACATACCACCACCCTCTGTGACAAGTGATTGACAGACATACCACCACACCGTGACAAGTGATTGACAGACATACCACCACACCGTGACAAGTGATTGACAGACATACCACCACCACCTTCTGTGACAAGTGATTGACAGACATACCACCACACCGTGACAAGTGATTGACAGACATACCACCACACCGTGACAAGTGATTGACAGACAGACCACCACACCGTGACAAGTGATTGACAGACATACCACCACACAGCGACAATGATTGACAGACATACCACCAGCCTCTGTGACAAGTGATTGACAGACATACCACCACACCGTGACAAGTGATTGACAGACATACCACCACACAGCGACAAGTGATTGACAGACAGACCACCACCATCCAGTGTGACACGTGATTGACAGACATACCACCACTTTCTGTGACAAGTGATTCACAGACATACCGCCCCCCTCTTTGACAAGTAATCGACAGACATACCACCACCCTCTGCGTCAAGTGATTCACAGACATACCACCACCATCCAGTGTGACAAGTGACTGACAGATAACCACCACACCGTGACAAGTGACTGACAGATAACCACTACACCATGACAAGTGACTGACAGACATACCACCACCATCCAGTATGACAAGTGACTGACAGACATACCACCACCCTCTGTGACAAGTGACTGACAGACATACAACCACCCTCTGTGACAAGTGACTGACAGACATACCACCACCCTCTGTGACAAGTGATTGACAGACATACCACCACACCGTGACAAGTGACTGACAGACATACCACCACCATCCAGTGTGACAAGTGACTGACAGACATACCACCACCATCCAGTGTGACAAGTGACTGACAGACATACCACCACACCGTGACAAGTGATTGACAGACATACCACCACCCTCTGTGACAAGTGATTGACAGACATACCACCACCATCCAGTGTGACAAGTGACTGACAGACATACCACCACATCGTGACAAATGACGGACAGACATACCACCACACCGTGACAAGTGACTGACAGACATACCACCACCATCCAGTGTGACAAAAGATTGACAGACATACCACCACCATCCAGTGTGACAAGTGATTGACAGACATACCACCACCCTCTGTGACAAGTGACTGACAGACATACCACCACACCGTGACAAATGACGGACAGACATACCACCACACCGTGACAAGTGACTGACAGACATACCACCACCATCCAGTGTGACAAGTGATTGACAGACATACCACCACCATCCAGTGTGACAAGTGACTGACAGACATACCACCACACCGTGACAAGTGATTGACAGACATACCACCACCCTCTGTGACAAGTGACTGACAGACATACCACCACACCATGACAAGTGATTGACAGACATACCACCACCATCCAGTGTGACAAGTGACTGACAGACAGACCACTACCATCCAGTGTGATAAGTCTTGACAGAAATATCACCATGTAATGGGATTAATCTTGTGTCAGAGATACAGAATTATACTTACAAGTGTTTTGATTGTTTTACCACCTTCCTTTTTCACCTTCTACAGACACATTATCGATGTCAACAATGAAATTGCTACATTAAACAGAACTCAAGACGAGAAGCCGACATCCATATTTACGTAGACAATGAACCAAACTCCCAGTGTGCACTGGGGCTTTCAGACATGTTGAAGAACATGTTGCTTGATAAAACAAATTGTAATATATATGTAGAGACTGTATATCAACTTCAACTCGAAAGATTAGAAAACAATTTTATAAATATTTAGTAAATATTTACTTGCATGACAAAAAAAAATGACTGTTTGACAAAATGACCTTGTTGTGTATGATTGTCTCATGCCTTAATACACAGAACAACTTAATTTTATTCTTGTGGCTATTTTGTCAAATATTTAAAAAAATTGAATACCGTATTTGACGTAATAAGCGCCCCACTCTAATAAGCGCCCACGGCGATATTTGCTAACATATTGGCTAGTAAACAATCCCAATTAGCACCCCTTCCGATTGATCAATGTACACAAAACATATTTATTCGCATATAATACGCACTCGTGTGTTATATGCACCCTTAATCATGGGCAATTAAATTCTTGAAAAATATATCTGTCGTGTATAAACATTTCAGGCTGTCAGCATAAACCACGAAATTTATCCTTTAACTCTGATTTTTTCACCAAAATAATATTCTCATAAGAGCTCCCTATTTCTAATTTTGAGAGCGCCCTGGGCGCTTATTACGTCGAATACGGTATGCTTTTTCAAAGTATTTCGGTATACATGCAGGTCGTCCAGTTATAACATTAGTAATACATTTGAGCAAGAAACTAGAAAATTGAAAACAATTATTGAATATTTATGTTTCACAATATTGTTTTTGTACCTTTTAAAAAAAGCAAGCGAAACACCAAAATCAGTCATGAGTGAGTGAGCTGGGTTTAACACCGCTTTTAACATTATTCCAGTTATATCACGGCGTGTCAGCTTAATGTGGGAGGAAAGCCCGAAGTGATGCAGGTCTCAGATGTTTACCACTTCGGTGAAACCCATGAGCACAGGTATGGTGCTGACAAACCTAGAAACATAATCAGAGCGAACCGGGATTTGAACCCACAATCATAGGTTTTCTGGCGTGCCCAAGGGACGCAACTATGCAGCAAATCGCGGTGCCTTGGACGACTGGGCCACTCGTGCCCCAAAGTCAGTCATGAACTGACCAGCTTAAGTTCCTTGTCATATGACCCATAACACTGGTCATCACATGACCCTCAGTACTGGTCATCACATGACCCTCAGTACTGGTCATCACATGGCCTTCAGCACTGGTCATCACATGACCCTCAGTACTGGTCATCACATGGTCTTCAGTACTGGTCATCACATGGCCTTCAGTACTGGTCATCACATGGCCTTCAGTACTGGTCATCACATGACCCTCAGTACAGGTCATCACATGGCCTTCAGCACTGGTCATCACATGACCCTCAGTACTGGTCATCACATGGCCTTCAGAACTGGTCATCACATGGCCTTCAGTACTGGTCATCACATGTCCTCAGTCCTGGTCATCACTTGGCCTTCAGTACTGGTCATAAGATAACCCTCAGTACTGGTCATCACATGGCCTTCAGTACTGGTCAACTCATGACCTTCAGTACTGGTCATCACATTACCCTCAGTCCTGGTCATCACATGGCCTTCAGTACTGGTCAACACATGGCCATCAGTACTTGTCAACACATGGCCTTCAGTGCTGGTCATCACCTGACCCTGACTACTGGTCAACACATGGCCTTCAGTACTGGTCATCACATGGCTTTCAGTACTGGTCATCACCTGACCCTAAGTACTGGTCAACACATGGCCTCCAGTACTGGTCATCACATGACCCTCAGTACTGGTCATCACATGACCCTCAGTACTGGTCATCACATGACCCTCAGTACTGGTCAACACATGGCCTTCAGTACTGGTCATCACTTGGCCTTCAGTACTGGTAAACACATGACCCTCAGTACTGGTCAACACATGGCCCTCAGTACTGGTCAACACATGGCCCTCAGTACTGGTCATCACATGGCCCTCAGTATTGGTCATCAGAAGGTTTCAGTACTTCAAGTGCCATGCTACCTGCTGTAATGGGCCTTGTCACATGGTATCTGTATCTGGGACTTACCAGTATAGACTTGAGAGGCCTCCGCCGCAGCACCCACTCGCCATTAGGCCCCCTTTCCTCCTCCTCCTCCTCGTCATCCATGTTGTCAGGGGATTCTGGGAGGTCCAGCTTCAGCTCATCGGGGGAGTGTCGGTAGTAGGTCATGGTCTCCGTGGGATGCAGGTCAATCTCCGGCAGAGTGTTGATGTTGCTGTATGACCCCATGGAGTCAGGATGCTGCAGGGACATATTGTCATCATATCATCACCAAGGTGGAGAATATATTTCCAAGGCATTACTGTTGCTGTCATCTGACACTATTTTGGCAGATAAGAGTCACATGGCTCTCAGTACTGTTCATGTTTGTTTGTTGTTTAACGCCGCACTCAGCAATATTCAAGCTATATGACGGCGGTCTGTAAATAATCAAATCTGGACCAGACAATCCAGTGATTGACGTCATGATCATCGGTCTACGCAATTGGGATACAATGACATGCATCAACCAAGTCAGGGAGTCTGACCATTGATCCAATTAGTCGCCTCTTACCACAAGTATAGTCACCTTTTACAGCAAGCATGGGTTGCTGAAGACCAATTCTAACCCAGATCTTCACGGGACGTACTGTTTATGGCCTTCAGTACTGGTCATGACACAACCTCTTTATTATATCATCACCATGGTGAAGAATACACTTACAAAGGATTACTGTTGTTCTCAACTGACACTGTTTTGGCAGATAAGTTTTCCAATACATGCCAACTATATCTAAAGAAAAGAAATTAAATACTTTAATGTGATGCAAATAATTTTAATGCCTGGTTCTGATCACCACAAGACATGTTAATCCACTGGTTACTGCCCAAGGAGTGGGACACCTACTCCTGCTTGCCTCCCATCAGCTATGCACTTACATCAGTTGTAATCAGCTTCAGGATAAGGCCGACAGTTGGCGCTCTTCCATCTTCTGTTAACATGTCAGTGCCCTGGAAATAAACGGAAAAAATATATAATTTCTTTGCCAGTTAAGTCTCAGGCAATCAGATGTGAAAATTGGAGATTGTTTTTCCCTGTAGATGTGTTCCATCTGAGGGTTCTTTTTTTCTTGGTTTAAATACAAGTTGGTCCTAAACTGAATTATTATTTAAAGGACAAGAACAAGTTACTATTGTTGCTAGTTTGCCTGTATGTATTAATTATTTAGTGCTGCCATGGTTGCAGGGTAACATGAGCACCTGTATTGGGAGTCCTTCTATGCGAAGCCCGTTCTTGGCCCGGTCTGCAGTGAGGTGTGTGTACATCTGCTGGTCCAGCAGCAGAGAGGAAAAGCCGATTGGTGACTGAATCTTCCAGTAGTCATCATTCATAGCTGGAATACAAACACACTGTCGTGAAGACTCATCACTCAACACACTGTCGTGAAGACACATCACTCAACACACTGTCGTCAAGACACATCACTGAACACACTGTCGTCAAGACACATCACTCAACACACTGTCGTCAAGACACATCACTCAACACACTGTCGTCAAGACACATCACTCAACACACTGTCGTCAAGACACATCACTCAACACACTGTCGTCAAGACACATCACTCAACACACTGTCGTCAAGACACATCACTCAACACACTGTCGTCAAGCCACATCACTCAGCACACTGTCGTCAAGACACATCACTCAACACACTGTCGTCAAGACACATCACTCAGCACACTGTCGTCAAGACACATCACTCAACACACTGTCGTCAAGACACATCACTCAACACACTGTCGTCAAGACACATCACTCAACACACTGTCGTCAAGACACATCACTCAACACACTGTCGTCAAGACACACTGTCGTGAAGACACATCACTCAACACACTGTCGTGAAGACACATCACTCAACACACTGTCGTCAAGACACATCACTCAACACACTGTCGTCAAGACACATCACTCAACACACTGTCGTCAAGACACATCACTCAACACACTGTCGTCAAGACACATCACTGAACACACTGTCGTCAAGACACATCACTCAACACACTGTCGTCAAGACACATCACTCAACACACTGTCGTAAAGACACATCACTCAGCACACTGTCGTCAAGACACATCACTCAACACACTGTCGTCAAGACACATCACTCAACACACTGTCGTCAAGACACATCACTCAACACACTGTCGTCAAGACACATCACTCAACACACTGTCGTGAAGACACATCACTCAACACACTGTCGTCAAGACACATCACTCAACACACTGTCGTGAAGACACATCACTCAGCACACTGTCGTCAAGACACATCACTCAGCACACTGTCGTGAAGACACATCACTCAACACACTGTCGTGAAGACACATCACTCAACACACTGTCGCAAGGACACATCACTCAACACACTGTCGTGAAGACACATCACTCAACACACTGTCGTGAAGACACATCACTCAACACACTGTCGTCAAGACACATCACTCAACACACTGTCGTCAAGACACATCACTCAACACACTGTTGTGAAGACACATCACTCAACACACTGTCGTCAAGACACATCACTCAACACACTGTCGTCAAGACACATCACTCAACACACTGTCGTCAAGACACATCACTCAACACACTGTCGTCAAGACACACTGTCTTGAAGACACATCACTCAACACACTGTCGTCAAGACACATCACTCAACACACTGTCGTCAAGACACATCACTCAACACACTGTCGTCAAGACACATCACTCAACACACTGTCGTGAAGACACATCACTCAACACACTGTCGTCAAGACACATCACTCAACACACTGTCGTCAAGACACATCACTCAACACACTGTCGTCAAGACACATCACTCAACACACTGTCGTAAAGACACATCACTCAGCACACTGTCGTCAAGACACATCACTCAACACACTGTCGTCAAGACACATCACTCAACACACTGTCGTCAAGACACATCACTCAACACACTGTCGTCAAGACAATTCACTCAACACACTGTCGTGAAGACACATCACTCAACACACTGTCGTCAAGACACATCACTCAGCACACTGTCGTGAAGACACATCACTCAGCACACTGTCGTCAAGACACATCACTCAGCACACTGTCGTGAAGACACATCACTCAACACACTGTCGTGAAGACACATCACTCAAAACACTGTCGTCAAGACACATCACTCAACACACTGTCGTCAAGACACATCACTCAACACACTGTCGTCAAGACACATCACTCAACACACTGTCGTCAAGACACATCACTCAACACACTGTCGTCAAGCCACATCACTCAGCACACTGTCGTCAAGACACATCACTCAACACACTGTCGTCAAGACACATCACTCAGCACACTGTCGTCAAGACACACTGTCGTCAAGACACATCACTCAACACACTGTCGTGGAGACACATCACTCAACACACTGTCGTCAAGACACATCACTCAACACACTGTCGCGAAGACACATCACTCAACACACTGTCGTGAAGACACATCACTCAACACACTGTCATGAAGACAGATCACTCAACACACTATTCATCATTCTGTACACACCATAAACAGTCTGCAAATCATATGAAAAAATAAGAGTATCATCATATGGTCTTCAGTACTCATAGAGTGATCGGGAGGGTTTTGTAAAAAACACTCCCTACTTCACAGAAACTCACATCCCGATCATGATCAGAGCCAAGTGTACCAAACACACCCTGCCTCGCAGAAAGCACATGCTTTCCGTGACGACCTTGTTAATGATTGGGACATGGGAGTTTCTGAGAGTGAGTTAGACAAGTGAGTGAGTGAGTGAGTTTGGTATCACGCCACTTTTAACAGTATTCCAGTTATATCGCGGCGTGTCAGCTTAATGTGGGAGGAAAGCCCAAAGTGATGCAGGTCACAGACGTTTACCACTTCGGTGAAACCCACGGGCACGGGTATGGTGCTGACAAACCTAGAAACATAATCGGGGCAAACCGGGATTCGAACCCACAATCATAGATTTCTGGCGTGCCCAAGGGACGCAACTCTGCACAGCGAATCGCGGCGCCTAAGACGACTGGGCCACCCGTGCCCCCAGTTAGACAAGTGAGTTTGGACAGTAAACAGGTGTCGTTGGATACTCTCACAATAAGAGTACATCTTATATTACATTGTTTGCAGTTCATTGTGCAACCTGCACATGAGAAATGTAATGTAACAGTAGTTTGTGTTATTTATACAAAGTTTGGGTAAAATAAATGGGCTGAATTTCCATTGTTGGTTTTTCGTTCAATATTTTGGATTTTCCTTAATATCATAGAGGATATGGACATATAAAACTATACATCACATTCAACCTTGAATTTTCATGGTCATGCACATTATAACAAAACTATTTCAATAACAATGACTTTGACCTTTCAGTCAGCTATTCATATTAAGGATGACAGAAAAATTACATCTAAAAGATGTCCAACCATCAGATGCAGATTTGAGGTCGAGGTCTAGGCTTTATTATTACTGCCATTGACATTTTTTAACGTAATTATGAAAATAATTAATTTTTAGATTGATAAACATCATAATGATAAAGTTGTAATCAGATCAAAAGTTGCTATCAGATCAAAAGTTGTAATTAGATCAAAATGCTCAACTCAGTGACCAACACAAAGAATCAGTGAGTGGAGAAGAAAACACAGATGACAACTCACTTGTGTCAGCAACGTAGTATTCTATGACAACTCACTTGTGTCAGCAACGTAGTATTCTATGACAACTCACTTGTGTCAGCAACGTAGTATTCTATGACAACTCACTTGTGTCAGCAACGTAGTATTCTATGACAACTCACTTGTGTCAGCAACGTAGTATTCTATGACAACTCACTTGTGTCAGCAACGTAGTATTCTATGACAACTCACTTGTGTCAGCAACGTAGTATTCTATGACAAGAGCAGCAGATGGTGTAAACATGGTGGCTTTGTCCTTCTCGGCAGAGAACAAGTAGGGCTGGTTCCACGTCGGTTGTTTCTCCGGGTGCCCCGGGAGGCTCACCTGAAGCAAGGTCAAGAATCATCCTGCTGGTGACTAGAAAGTTTTTAAATGCCCAAGTGAAAGTGCATGATAATCACACGCTCCGTAATCTGCTTCACAACCTCTTTGGGGCCATGGCCTTAGGGTACCGGGACAGTGGTGACAACTGTTTTCATTGGTTGTTACGTTTGCCGCGTTTATCTATCTCGTGATTCTTAGCCGTTACACATATATTGTTTCTGCTATTTCTGTTAATCCTACAAAAATATCAAATATTGCGTACATTGTTGAATGTGTGAAACGACCCTTGATCTTGACATTGTGAACATTTAAGATAACAATTAACAATCAGTAACTCGCATTTTATTAATAACATCCTGCAAAGATGCTATGTTGACTTCAAGGTCCAAAACACAACCATGATGCCCGTACTAAATACCATCACCATCGAATAACCATTTCTTCTTTGTTTCATTATTAGCCATCATTAAACATGGGTTCCCAGCAGTTCATACTGGAACCATTCTGATGTATTTATAGCCGATACTTGAGTTGGGAGAGCACTTGCCTTTAACTTTCAATATCATCATCACACAGTGCAGCGTAATTCATAGCTTGAAGTTGAATTTGATTATCCAAATCAAGTAGAGCTCGGATACAAAAACAAAATTTAAAACCAAGAACACCTGCAGCTCACCTGACCTGACCGTCTGCTGTGACAAGCAAAGACAATCAGACACTGTAACTATGTGACAGAAATGGCCAAGTGACCTGAGCTGACCTGTGGGTATCCATGCTTGGACCTGGGGACCACGCTGAAGGACGACGGATGAGGAGACGGAAAGGTCACGCTCGTCATAGTCACGCCAGCCGTCCGAGGGTGGGACATCAAGTTGTCAGCTCTGGAAACCAATCAAAACTAATATCTATGAGAAACATTCACCAATGCCAAATTCTAAAATGTTCAGTGTTCTTATTTAGTAAAGTTATGATAGTCACAGACAAGTTACAAATAGGGTCATTAAAGTAACATTTTGCATTACCTGGAGAAATAAAGGCCTGCATTTCTGTTTGGAAGGAAAAATACTTATATTCATTAGGGAAGCCGTTCATTTATTTAACCATGTTCATCTGTAGCTCTTGTACAGTGTAAGGGCTGGACCAATAGCAACAGACCATGCTGTTTTAACCCACATTTCAGGAGCAGATGTTTCCATGTGATTATCCCAGCAAACAATACTGACATCATGCTAGGGGTCTAGTTCCTCCCTGTTTAACTATGGAAGCTGAGACTCACTTGTAGTTATAGTAGTCAGGCACAATCCGGGCCACCGCGACCAGGGGACCGGGGGGGTTCTGCAGTGACCTCTGAACTGATCGCAGATACACCTGTAATAAATATACCACATACCATGTAGAATCCAGTATACAGCCAAAATGAATACATTAAATAATCAATCATTGAAATAAATCTCATCAAAAGCAGAAGCGATATCTATGATTACAGAATTGACTATATCCTGTATCATATTACTGACTTTTGCTACAGACTTTGGACCCAATATTGGCCTCTCAGCAGGTATAGGTAGATCCCTGTGAGGGGATTGTTTCAGGCCTATTCCCTCAAGCTTTATCTGACAGGATGTTGTGAGTGTGCTGCTGCCCTCCCTCCCCTCACCTCCAGGCCGTGGTAGTTGGGGGACGACATCTCCTTGGGCAGTTTACTCAGTTTCCTCATCACAGACGCATACATCCTCACACCACTCGGGCTGTCTTTAGATGGCTGGAAGAGGGAATCATAGATTGCATTGTGTGAGTACAAGAAAACTGTAGAAGATCTGAGCTCATGCTGATTACCTGATATGATGAATGTATCTACATTTTTTTCCAAGGGTTATAGACATTGAGATACTGAGGTGGGCTCATGCTAGGCCCACATACACAGCGTTGCAGTCCTGTACATCTGGGATAGGTATGGGACAGGTGTGGGACAGGGTTCTCTCAAACTCAGGCTCATGTCTTAGTCTCCTAGGGCAGGGACAGACTGTGCATCCCCATGGCCTGTCCACTGGGCTCGATTTAAGGAACTTGATTTAACTTGCACCCCAAGACAAAACCAGATTGCACCCTGATCCCAAACATATATTAAAGTTGAACCATAGGCCACTCTGCTGCCAGTGTCACATAGATTAATGATGTATTGCTGTGAAGTATAACAGGAATATGTGCACATAATCTAATGTCAAGCCCACGAAAGCATTACAAATTACCCATACACAGAGGTTATTGATATAGAATGGTAAATAAACCCCAGATGTATTGAATGTGTTCAAGATGTTTGATGACAAGCAAGGGTTAGGCAGACACAATTTTTTTAAAAATTTTAACATGCACTTAGCGGGTTCAATTTTCAATAATAGGTTGCACTGGTACTTGTCTTATACAGCTAAATCGAGCCCCGGTGTCAGAAGTCATAATGTGTCGCGTTACAATTATAGATGACAATGGCACTGACAACAATGAGTGATTGAATGCTGTTTTAACACTGCAGTGATCAATATTCTAGATACATGGCAGTGGCCTGTAGATAATGGAGTCTGGCCCAGGCAAACCAGTGACTACGTTTATGAACAATGATCTGTTACATGACATGCAGTCATCCATTATTGTCAACTACTACAAGCACAGGTTACAGGGGAGCAATTCTACCCTGGAGTTCCCACAGTGGAATGAAGTGGAATCAATGGTTAGGTGCACTGAGTGGAGGGATGAGTGAGTGAGTGAGTTGGGTTTAACGCCGCTTTTAACAGTATTCCAGTTATATCGAGGCGTGTGGGAGGAAAGCCCGAAGTGATGCAGGTCTCAGACGTTTACCACTTCGGTGAAACCCACGAGCACGGGTATGGTGCTGACAAACCTAGAAACATAATCGGGGCAAACCGGGATTTGAACCCACAATCATAGATTTCTGGCGTGCCCAAGGGATGCAACTCTACACAGCGAATCGCGGCGCCTTAGACGACTTGGCCACCCGTGCCCCCAGTGGAGGGATGAGACATGGAAACGGTGCTCGCTACTGCCACTCACCACCACCATCTCCATGTGGTACTGATGGAAGGGCTGCAGGTGACCCACGGGGATCTTGTAGTTGACCAGGGTCTGCTTGCTGACACTGTCGCCCACCGTCAACACCATGGCTAAAACAAACCACAACAGTCAGCCTCGGTCATGTCAACTAACTGTGTTGAGGAAAAGTAAACACCAAGTATTGTAGTCTTCATTGACCAGTAGCATCTGAGGGCTAAAATTCTGAACCAGTTCTCACTCCTTCAATTTTCCAGATAATTGAAATTGAATAAAACATTGTAAACATTTTCGTCTTGTTCAAGCAGGACTAGCTACAATCTCTGAGGACAAGTGAAATAAGGTTTACACTAGTACTGTGGAATAGCATAAATAATAATGTCTAAGGATGTCTACTGACAGTAACTTGAGAAAATGGTGCATTCTTGTCAAATCAGCATAACAGGAGTTGTGTAAGCCCTGGCATAGAGATTTATGTATGTTTACATATATCACAGCAGGCTGTAAATAATCAAGTCTGGGACAGACAAAGCAGGGACTGTTGTTATGGGCGGCATGCCACGTTGTCAGGATATGATGACTAAAATATAACCAAATCATTGAGAACACCCAATCATATTTGTGGCCTCTCAGGGTTGGTTAGTTGGTTTGTTTGTTGTTTAACGCCGCACTCAGCAATATTCCAGCTATATGACGGCGGTCTGTAAATAATCGAGTCTGGACCAGACAATCAAGTGATTAATGTCATGAGCATCAATCCATGCAATTGAGATCGATGACATGCATCAACAAAGTTGGCGAACCTGACCACCCAATCCCGTTAGTCGCCTCTTACGATAAGCATAGTCGCCTTTTACGGCAAGCATGGATTCTGAAGACCTATTCTATCCCTGATCTTCACGGGTCGGCCTGTAAGGGCAAGCACAGTTCACACGGCACCTATTCTAACCAAGAATCCTGACGGGGGAAAAAGGTATCAGTTCAAGAGGCATCCCAGCCTCTTCACCCTGCACTTCATGGACCTACTTTCATCTGGAGCCTTGTTCTCATCCAGCTCTAGAGAGAGACGTTCCTCCCATGTTGGGGCACTGGTGGGACGGATGGTGGCATGGGTTCTGCCCTGGCCTCGGACATGACGGTCATCTTCAGATTTGGTCTTACTGGAAAACAAGTACATCATTGTGGCTTGCAAGGTGTTTCTGGACATGCACATGGACATCCACACAAGAATAGACAAATCAGTACATTTATAAGGAAACATGAGAGATGGTATTCTAAGGGAGCGGCCAATTTATTTAAGCATTTAAGCACAAATATTCTGCAGCCATATTGGCTATTTTCATTTTCTTCAAAAACTGGAATAACTCCAGCTTGATAATGGTGTATGAATCTACATTGAAACGTTGCTTTATGCAATAAACCAGAAGTTGTTGTCCATAAAGTTGTGTGTTTTCTTACTCTAACTGGTATGGGACTCTAGAGGCCAACATTGCCTATTATGCCACAGAAAGTCTACAATAAAAGCACATTGAGGCACAAGGCTGTACTCACATTGAGACACAAGGCACAACACAGCTGTACTCACATTGAGACATAAGGCACAACATGGCTGTACTCACATTGAGACATAAGACACAACACAGCTGTACTCACATTGAGACATAAGGCACACCATGGCTGTACTCACATTGAGACATAATATGCAACACAGCTATACTCACATTGAGACAAGGCACATCATGGCTGTACTCACATTGAGACATAAGGCACATCATGGCTGTACTCACAATGAGACATAAGGCACAACACAGCTATACTCACATTGAGACATAAGGCACCGGCCGGTTGCCCTTGTTTGTTGGGGGGACACTGGAAGCCCCATGGAGGATTACATCAATCTGCTCCTTGCCGGTCTGAGACACGTGGCGCCACCCTGGTCCCATGCTAAACGTACTCTGGTCTCGGTTAGGCAGGGGGGATTCAGCCATCTGGGGAGTATTAGCTGTTGTCAATATTTGTACTTCACACCAAATATGCTTTATAGTTTGGGTGCCCTGTGAAATCTGGCAATATTTTCTATGGAAGCTAATATATACATTCAATTCCAGTACTGCAACATTCTTTAGACCATTGAAAAATAGATTGCTGAAAATAAATTCAGTCTCATGAAAACCCATGATCTACTCATTCACGTTAATGTATCCAAACACAATCAGTAATGTTGTCATTACATTCTTAGATTTAGTCATCACCTTATTCAAGGACAGTCAAAGTACACTGTGTATGTAACTATGTACCTGTTACAGTACTACAGTACTAACAGTTAAAGAAAATGGTCAATAGCAAAACAGTTTGGGATACAAGCAATTGTTTGACAGGTATTACTTAGAAGTTGACGGATGACAAAGTAGACACAATTTATGGATAAAAACTTCTTCATTACTGTAAAAGCGACGTTTCGGTATAGATCCTTGTACCTCTGTCAAGCAAGACAGTGAAGACAGTAAATAAAGAAGTTGTTATCCAGAAATTGTGTCTACTTTGTTGAGACATCCAGGCTAACATGTTCCACTTCTTCAGTGACTGGATTTGTTACATCTTGGAATGGGTTTAAATACAAAATAATTCAAACTCAAACAAGCAACGCACTTGGACAGTCAATCAGTAGATATAGTACAACATAATTACCACCCTCCCCTAATAACCAGCCAAAATACTTCAATATCAAAATATGAGCACTATCCCCTACACTCATACCCAAGCAGAAACTAGTGTTGATGTGGATACTCTTTGACAACTGAATTCTATACTGAATGCCATGTAAATGTGTTTTTGCATAAGGTAGTCCTCCAGCACTAAAACTCAGGAGTTTTTCTGATGTATAACCCTGTAAAAAAGTTGTCAGTATTGGAGACAAATTGGCAATGTGGAAATTGTGTTGGTAATAATCATTGTAGAAGGTATCTCAATAAGAGGCTGTTTGTCATCAATAATGCCAGTTATAGTAATTTATTACCTGCTGTTAACCGTGACTAAGTGAAACTCACCTGTCTTCCATCAGAGAGAGGTGGGGGAGGAGGAGACGCGGGTAGTGTGATGTTGAGAGATAGATTGTCCCCCCAGGAACTGACAGGGGAGGCACGACGTGGAGGGGGTGGGGGCGGTGTTTCAACTTTCACTGGTCGAGGAGAAGGTCTGACTACAGGTTGGGGGCGAGGGGTAGGCCGGGGTGTGGGGGTAGGTTCCGGCGACGGTCGTCTATCTTCTCTTTTTGGTGTCGTCACCGACTCCTTCAGTGCAAATGTGCATCGTAATCTTCCACAATGCATCTGTATATTGTCTGTTTTGACGGTTCGGAGGAGTGACACAATATCTGTATAATTGTACATATCCTGACCAGTTTTGACATTGAGATTGATCCGAGGAGCATTAGTTCGAGGGTAGATGGCAAACTTTCCCTCCCCAACCTTCTTTCCCATGTCATTGTCTTTCTCGGGTAGACTGAACGCCTCAATGAGCAGATACACATCATGGTTCTTATCATTCTTACAGAAACCTAAAGAAATGAAAATAAGAGAAGTGAATTAAAAATTAATAGCATAACTTAACAATCATACATGAACTTCTGAAATGTTATTGAGTTAAAGAAACATTTATGACTCTCTTCTAGAAAAGAGCAGGGTTAATTTTGGACTGGTTCCATCATAATGTTTTATCAAATTTATTATATTTAGGAAAAAATAACCCTGAGATGGGAAACTAGTACTGGTATTTGGCTTGTGGCTTACACAATGCGGGGTTTTGTGTTATTGGAAGTGAGGATAATAAAACTTGATGTTAATATTTGAATTATACCATATGAACTGACGGACAAAAGAAAGTATACTCTTGAAAATTGGATTCAACAAAACAATTACAAACATGATCAAAACATTACAAGGCTGAAAACAATCTCTAAAAACACTGCAAACTTCAGGTTCAAAACACAACTATGATACCTGTATCAACTACATCACCATTGAATAACCATTTCTTGCAACTATGATACCTGTATCAACTACAACACCATTGAATAACCATTTCTTTCTTGTAAAAATTTTAACAACTATTAAAACCATGGAGGTATGAATGAAGTTTCATTAATACAATGTAAGACAGAAAAGATCTTTCCAATTGAATAACACATACAAAATATAATGTAGTTGTCTTATCTAAACTACATCCAGACAAGGAGAATGGAGTTATAAGTGTTTTTATTAACTTCAGTAGTCAGCGATTCAAATTCCCTTTGACCACACAGTAACTAACAATGAAGCTCTCAAACACCATAACTCATGATGTTTACCTGGCTCTCAAGCTGTTCAACTGAATGCCTTTTGTGATCTATCACTGGGTGGATGTCAAGAGTATATCCAACTCACACAGTCAAATACAAGCACAGCTTTAAGTCAATATTTATTGCCAATAGCTCCCAGCATAAAGAGGAATGATAACCACTCATGGCCATACTTTGTTTCAGAGGTGCTCACAACACTCATGAACAGCATTTATTTCATAGATTGTAAACTTATACAGAAATTACCCTTTTTCAAAAACATATTAAAAAAAATATGTTCTGCATGTGATTGTCTATGAACTTGATTATATATGAGACTTTAAGATAATTCAACAAGTGCATTGTTTTTCTTCTCTGTATTTTAAAGTAAACAAATGTAATTGCCTAGTCTCAGTTACACTTTTAACAAAGGATGTCTTAAAAATCAAACCATGGGTGATAAATATGCTCAAAACACCCCAACACATTAACAATTCTTTCCAAAAAGATTGTATCAAAATATTTTGTAAAAATATAATCTAAGATGTATTATAACACCATGGCTCCTATATCACTGTATATGTTTAGGCTGGCGAATAGGAAATGTTTCTTCTGTTGGTCAAAAGGATATAACAGAGGTCTTTCACTATATTATAACTGTATTGTATGACTATTCAGAGAACATAACACTCACCTTTAGGAAGTTTGAATGAGAAGAATCTGTCATGGAATGTACAGAGTTCTGCATCTGCCGTCTGCTGGACCACATCTGTTAAACCTTCGTTATCATAAGCATAGTCATCATATGGTGGCTTCTTGATACGGATCTGGCTAAAGTTATGTGTATGAAGACTCTGAATTCTCAACTTGAGGAAATATTTGCCCATATGATTGAACTGGGCATCATGAATCTCCACATCAAATGTCAACTTCTTCTGCTCAATAGTTGCCATCTTGTTCCTTGTTTTCACTATCCAATATTCAGAACTCAGCACTCGTCATTGTACTAGAAATGATAACAAAAGCGATGGTAAAAGACGTCGACCTTCCCTATGTCAAACCGAGGCATGACGAACTCGAACCCGTCTCTATGCACATACATATTCCGTCATAAACACAGACTGGCCTATGTAAACGTCAGTGAAGAACGCTCGTTTTTCAAACAGATACCATTGAATGGTTCGGTAGGTCTAGCCCCTACTCTGGCATACAAATATAGTTATCAGTTCGACTGCCTTATAATTCACATATATTGCAACGAGCCTATCAGATTGGGTTTCTCAACACCATAGAAAGTTAAGTGAATGCAGACAATAGCTGGTGCTCAATAGCAGCCTGTTGTAGGCATGGAGCCCAATCATTCAGATCACTGTCAATATAGCCCCACCTATTCATCAGAAAAAATAAACCATAAAACATATTGTAGGGTTTGTAGGGCCTTCTTCATGGTTCAATGTTTATCTCCACAAGGCGCGTATTGAATCTTCAATCAAAGTCAACAACGTTATCGACAGTGATCCATAGGCACAGCACGTCCCCCGTAACTTCGATCGTGAAAGGGAAGCTCAGTCATTCTCGGACTGACGACAAGACGACACGCTTGGTTCCGGATATAATGCCATCATCATACAACAAACTCATTTATCAACTAATTCGGTTATGGTGACATGAGGCTCATTAAAACAAATATATTTTGTATCAACAAATCAATATACAATTCGTGTACATATTAACCCGAAAACACTTACCAAATAGTGTTGTTCACTCCATACAAATCAAGTTTTCAGCAGTGCACATAGACGTCATTGTGACATATTCTTCGATTTGCGGTTTACATGCGTTTAGTTTTCCATGAAACTGTGCAAAGCCAGCAGGAGTTTCTGAAAATACAGACTTTTTCTAATTTCAAAGATGAAATATGTCAATGTATATTACTTTCAAACATATAAAGATCACGGGACATGAGTAACGTCAACGGACAGAGTTGACGCCCCAAAACAAAAGTTCGGTGGCGCGCCATTTTGAATAAGTCAGGTGACTATCACGTGTTACTACCGTCATAGGGAAAGCTCATCTGACATTGTTCTTACTGTTTTCATAGGCAAGATAAGATGTGAAGTAAAGTGAAATGGAGTCCATGTATGTGTGTGCGTGCGTGCGTGCGTGCGTGCGTGTGTGCCTACTTGTCTGCTGGTACTAGTCAGGACTAATGCCGGTTTTGTGTGTGGGTGTGCGTGCGTGCGTGCGTGCGTGCGTGTGTGTGGCTGATTGTACAAGTCAGGACTAATGCCGGTTTTATATTGCTAGTCCACTGAGATACCATACCGCAGTTTAACATGAATACCCAACTCAGACACAGTATACCGACTCCGAGCCTACCAGCTCTTTTTACGTCTTTCGGTATGACGTGTCCCGTGTCGAACCACCGACCTTCCGCTCTCCGGACAGACGCCCCATCTGTACTAGAGCGTGGGGGCGGTCGGAAAAGTAACAGTTACACTGGGAGTAACATGTTCTTCTCTTGATCTGGCCTGCTGTGCACCATATGATAAAGAAATACATCGTCTACTGACCTAATTGTCTCACGACTAAAGTATGCTTAACGTGTTTAAAGAGGGAGGCAGAAGGTGATGAAAATGCATGTTGAAACCTAACCATAACTCTCAACAAGGAAATGGCGATGCAGAGCATCAACATCTAGCCGCAACTAGGCTCCCGTATATTTATGATGTCAAAAATGTTTGGAACACAGCACGATGTCCCATTATTTTCCACTACTCTGTACCTCCAGCTGGTTAATGACGCTCCACACTTATACAAGAGGGTGTCTAAATCGTAGCGAAATGATGAAGGCGATTTGAATTGGCCAACATTACCAAAACAATGATAGGCACTCTACTAGTTTGAAGTCGAGTCTGAAACTGGGGGAATCATCAAAACCCAATACATACATGTTTGAGAACAATACTCTTGAAACAAAACCTTTCTCGCGTTTACACTTTTCCCCAGCTCTCAAAGTGTGAAGGTATACACTAACTGAGCTCACATATCTTAAAGAAGTACTAATAGGTTTATATAAAATCTGTCACTGGACACAAACCCCGACTTCAGTTGAAATATCTCCCATGCAGGGAAAAGCGGAAAACGAACGTTTTTCTTCAGCTATATTACTTCCAACCCATGCTAGCCGTAAATGGCGACTATGCTTGTCGTAAGAGGCGACTAACGGGATCGGGTGGTCAGGCTCGCTGACTTGGTTGATGCATGTCATCGATCCCCATTGCGTGGATCGATGCTCATGATATTAATCACTGGATTGTCTGGTCCAGACTCGATTATTTACAGACCGCCGTCATATAGCTGGAATATTGCTGAGTGCGGCGTTAAATAACAAACCAAACCAAACCAAACCAAATCCTGTATAGGAAAGGCACAAGTTCTGCAGTTGCCTGATTTATATGCAAAGTTCTTTGAACAGAACCGTTTATATGATTTATGTTCCGGAAAGGAACCCTGCCTACATTTGAACGAAGTCCAATTCATATGGGAGGAAACACACAATTTCAAAATATATTTAAAATAGAACGAATAACAAGTCACAAGGTCAATATGTGTCTGATTTTTATGCAAACTTCCTCAATGACACTGTACATCTTATGAGGTAAGCGAACCAGGGAACGAACCCTGCCTTGTTTAACCTACTGAATCTTGGAATACACGCCGGTTCACCCAACGCAACGTAGAGACACCTAGGAGCGACATTTGAGACAATATTTGAGAAGAAAAGGTTGATTTATTTGTTTGTTGTTTAAACGCCGCGCACTCAGCAATATTCCAGCTATATCTGGACCAGACAATCCAGTGATTGACATCATGACATTACGGCAGGCATGGGTTGCTGACAATCTCATTAAAATCAGATCTTTGTTCTCGCTATCGCAAAACAACGGCAGCGAAAACTAAGATCTGATTTTAATGAGATTGGGGTTGCTGAAGACCTATTCTAGATGTACACGGGTCCAAAACAGCGAATTATCGTTGGGTCAAAGGACCTCCCGACATACATAGTCCTGTAGTTTCAGGACCAAAACGCAGTGTGGAGTCTGGACAACATTTGGTCAACCTAGGAGAGACAGAGTGAGAAATTCCATAGAGAGTCCGTGTTCGTCGCGAAGCATATCCTAGGGGCTGTTCCACAAAGCGATCTTAGTGCTATGATTGTCGTAAGCCTATGTTAAAGTATGGGGGTTACGATCATCTTAGCGCTAAGATCGCTTTGTGGAACGGGGCCCAGGTATCCCCTGTGGTGGTTTTACGAGAATATTGACAAGAGAGTGAAAACCATACTCACTCACTAACTCCCCTTCAATAGTCACTAAAGCGTTTGTAAAATATACTCAAGAATTCTTTTGCAAGAAGTGGCTGTAAGAAGGCATGTTTTCCTCTCATTATTGTAGCGAAATGTCTTCGAGAAATACTGGCGTCTATAAAACTTCAAGATGTATTTATACATCCACTTGAAGGTTTTCTTTAATAGACGTCACGTTAAATGAACAGATAAGAAAAAACAACACATTTTGATCATGACTGCATGTATTTATTTCCCAGTCCATTACCGGTAAGTCCAGTAGTCCCAAATTATCATCACCAACTATCGGCCCTCTTCAGACGCCTAGTGAATCAGCATACCGCATGAAGCAACACTTAGATTACTGGAATTTGCAAATAAGTTATCTTCAAATAGCATGCACGATGCAGTATACGGGACACTTTCCGCCACTTTGGTATCCTACCCCATTTTTGTCGCCCGCTTAAATAACAGGGCTTTGCGGGGCTTTGATATTCAATTTCAAGGTGTAATCATAATAAATTTTACCAATGCAAGAGGGGTATTTTTTCCGGTTATCGCCCTATTTTTCAATTAGTAATGCTGTCGCGTTCCAAAATCCAAATAGGTGCAGCGGGTGTTTACGTTGAGACACTGAATGGGGAGAAGTTAATCTTTGTTGCTTCACTGCTCTCAAACCGACACCATGAGTCCTACGTTCACACCTGATAGGGATACTGTGCTGGCTCACACTCTTACGAAAGCGGGAGACAACAATGTCTATACATGCCTACTTATTTTTATAATTAAATGAAGCTGAACATGCATCAGTTCCATGTCCATTTCAAATCCTATTCGTACATCTCCCAGATTTATCCCCAACCTGGACACTCAAATAGTTGTAGTTTATTTCTGGAAGAAGAATGCTCTTAACCTTGAAGACAGATGCTTAGTGTTGAATATTCTTGATCTTGATTAACAGGATCTTGTATTCGACCCTCCCTGAGACTGGTAACGAAAGGAGGCAAATCAAGACTGGTGAGAAGTGGGAGTTTTGCTGTTCTGTTGATTGTATTTCCGAAAAGACTTTTACAGTCGTCAAATGGAACAGCACCATTGATCTCATATTGATGGGTTGCCTCAGATGTCCAGAAGTGGGCACATTAGTGATGTTCCTCACATAACATGTTCTACATGGATTGATTACATCGGTTCCCACTGAAAGGCTTGGATCCATGTACTCTCCTATACGTTTCACTCACAGGAACTCGTTATTGGTCAGTAAATAAAAATATATATACCCCCTATATGTAAGTAGAGAATTACATATTGAGGGTATATATTTTATTTACTGACCGATAACGAATTCCTGTGGTTTCACTGTAGCCCTGAAAGCGTCCACATTAACTTTAACTTGATTTGCAGATGAACCAGCCAACAAAATGTCAGTCTTCTCGTCATTCAGTTCGAATTTGCTTACACATCTATACACAAAATTCCAATTTGAATTTCTATTACTAGTTACACAACATTGTATGGTGCATACTTCATGGTGTGGTGGGATTAGTCCCAGATTCATACCAAACAAGTCCAGTGCAATGATAGTAACACACACATTACTTCGGATCTAACCGAGGCTTCAGAACTACTTGCTGGGAGTAATCAATAGCAATACCTCACAGTATCATGATAACATTTATTAACAAATAGGGTTTCGTACATGACGTCAATACCACAAGAATGTTTTATCATGTTGCAGCGCATCCTATATCATATGACATCACCCTGGTCAACCAATCATAGAGCCACGTGGTACAGGCACACATTCTTATTTCCCAGGTCAACCACCCATGTACAGACACACATTCTCTAGGGTTGTCCCCAGGGCCAGCATCCCTTCTGAAACATCCACTTTCTCCATATGTCCACCATGACAACCTGTCTGAACTCAGGTATCCAGGACAACTGTTTCCCACAAACATCAAGTGTACACCCAAGCTGCCCCTAGCTACATTTAACCTGTTTATCCCTAGCTACGTGTAACCTGTTTATCCCTAGCTCCATGTAACCTGTTTATCCCTAGCTATGTGTAACCTGTTTATCCCTAGCTACGTGTAACCTGTTTATCCCTAGCTCCATGTAACCTGTTTATCCCTAGCTATGTGTAACCTGTTTATCCCTAGCTACATGTAACCTGTTTATCTCTAGCTACATGTAACCTGTCTATCCATAACTACATGTAACCTGTTTATCCCTAGCTCCATGTAACCTGTTTATCCCTAGCTATGTGTAACCTGTTTATCCCTAGCTACATGTAACCTGTTTATCTCTAGCTACATGTAACCTGTCTATCCATAACTACATGTAACCTGTTTATCACTAGCTACGTGTAACCTCTTTATCTCTAGCTACCTGTAACCTGTCTATCCATAACTACATGTAAACTGTTTATCCCTAGCTACGTGTAACCTGTTTATCCCTAGCTACGTGTAACCTGTTTATCCTTAACTACATGTAACCTGTTTATCCCTAGCTACGTGTAACCTGTTTATCCCTACATACTTCCCACTTGCCCCCCAAAATAACCTAGTTTCCCCAAAGTAGTATTTAGACGCCCCAATATAGCCTTGCTGCCCCTGTCCTAACTTTCCCCTACATATACCTAGTCCACATAAAACGTTACCCCAAAGTATATTAACTCCTGTGTATAATCCCTAGGTATAACCCAGATACATCTATACACAATCTCATTAAAATCAGATCTTAGTTCTCGCTACTGCCAAACAAAGATCTGAGGACATCCCATTACGGGTCACGACAGACCGACTTTTCGCGAACTTTGATTGACCAATGGAATGACTGATAAGAAGTCAACATTAGCCAATCAGAAGGCAGATTAATCAAGCTTTACAGCACGAGGTTCAAACTGGCGACTACGCTTTGAAACATATTTTGCCATATACTTGCTTAAAAAATTAAAAACTGAACAAAAGAACATTCTGGAATGGCTAATAGATGGTCTAGATTGTATGAATACAGTCATAAAGCCCATACCCCTGCTCGTGGGTGCTTACAGTGGTAAACATCTGACACCTGCATCACTTTGGGCTTTCCTCCCACATTAAGCTGACAGGCTGTGATATAACTGGAACCCAACTCACTCAATTACTTGATGTAATGAAATCTGCTGAAAATCTATTTATATCATTACCAAAGGTCAGACTTTATTCACATCTTCACATCATACTAGAATTGTTGCAAATGATATTTTCAAAGGAAACTTAAAAGTTTGTTATTCTTATTCATTGAGGCTTCTTATCAAATTATTTTAACTCAAATCAAATTATTTAAACACATCTCCTGCAACCAATAACAGGCTATCCACATGCTGGTTAATTAAAACCTGTTACACTTGTGTACTACCTCCATGTTGAAATGGGAAGCTATTATCTGAATACCTTTTCATTAAGGAATGTCATGATGGCCGACTTGGAACATTATCATGCAGTTGGTGATTAGGTAAGTTCCATATGCAGCATGCCATATATGAGCACCTGTTTTACCAAAACCATGGTAAACATCTTTGTCATGAGAATCACAAAACGCTAAGCGATAGCAGAAAGGTACCTTTCTCAAGAATTGACTTCAATATTTGTTTGCATTTATGGAGTTATATACATAAACACCAGTGTGGACATGGAGTAAACCCGGATAGCAGTCTGCACACCAGCTTCTATATTTATACCTTAATAAACGCAAACATATATTAAAATAAATTCTTATAAATCAATCAAAAGTAACAATGTTTCTCACTGCTTATTACGGCATTACAATCTGTAGACAGCACACAAAATCAGTAACATCGTTCAGCACAATAATGCAACACGAGCCCCACCCACTCTATTATGAGCACATAAGGAAACAGTGGTCTGGTAGTGGGCGTGACCTTTGTTTTTTCAGTTTATGGAAACATAAATACAAAAAATATTGCTTGTTTGGCCAATCAAATGCCTTGGAATCACTTGCATTTTATTCATACTGAAATGATGTGCATCATATTATGGTTGAAAATGGAAGCTTCTGAACTCGTTCAAATATTCTGCAATATCACATAAAGCATATGGTGACTGTCAAAAGTCTACTGCAAAACAACAGTCTGGAACAAGGCATCATACACGGTACGATTTACTGCAGTGTTTCACGGAACTGATGATATAGCACTGTGTCCAGCATGGTTGAGGTGACCCCCAATGTAAGCACTGACGTCACAGACAGGAGAATCTGTAACCATCACAGACTGTAGACAGGATGGAGGCATGGCAACTATTACCATGGTTACTTCTTGCCTGGAACACAAAATGTTACTTTGTTACCAAACACTGTATGAAGTTCTAATCAAATTAATTAATACGAAATTTTCAAGTGTCATTTGACATTCATACAAAACATGATGACATCATGTTACACACGCTAAGAACATCAGCTCAAAGTGAGTGACTGAGTATGGTTTTACACCGCTTTCAGAAATATTCCAGCAATATCACGGCAGGGGACACCAGAAATGGGCTTCACACATTGTACCCATGTCGGGAATCGAACCAGGGTCTTCGGCATGATGGCGAACGCTTTAACCACTAGGCTACCTGACCGCCCCCACCCCACATCAGCATAAAGGTGAATACTGAAGACCAAAATGGAACAACTTGTCCTGATCCTCTTTCCACCCTCACCGAAGTGAGTGAGTGAGTGAGTGAGTGAGTGAGTGAGTATGGTTTTACACCGCTTTTAGCAATATTCCAGCAATATCACGGCGGGGGACACCAGAAATTAGCTTCACACATTGTACCCATGTCGGGAATCAAACCGGGGTCTTCGGCTAACGAGCGAACACTCTAACCACTAGGCTACCTGACCGCCCCTTCCAAAGTCATTGTCACAATAGTTCAGTAGTTGAACACATTGAATCAACAGCCTGTTAATCATCAGTGGGAATCACTCTATAACCAACAGCAGTGTTGACCAGTGCCACTGACCAAGTTTGAGCCACTTGGGTGCTTTCCCTCCGGACTGTGCCCCCGACGATGACCCTGCTCTTGATGACTCCGTCCTTGATGTTGATGCCGCTGACTCTGGTCCTGCTGTTTCCGAGGAACTTGACTCGACGCTTGGAAGGCTGAAACAGGATAAGGACAACCATGTCTTGTCATGTTCTTAGCTGTCCCATTTTGGTACCACCATTTCTTCTTATCTTATTTCCGTACCTCACAAACATTGTACACTCCCATCCTTTATCTCAAAGCTAAATCAAACGTAAACTACAACAGGATATCACTTTGTATCTATCATCAACATTTCAAACCCACTCTAAACAACCTCTTTTGGAAATCACACTTTCATTGTTGCTTTATTCATTTTTAAATTTAGAAATTACAATGTTGTCCCATGTCCCTTCATTCCAGGTACTTGGAGCTGAACAGAGTTATCTGCCCATTTTACCTCTTGAATGCCAGTTGTTCTGCCTGTGTTCGTGTGGAGATCTCAGCCCTCACAGCTTCAGAGAGATGGTGGTCTACAGACAGTACATACCCCTGATCACACATCTAATATCATCAGTAGCATACATGTAGTAGTATTAGAAATCCAGGGATTTATCTAGATCTGCTCAAGAGCCCCCAAGTCAGCAGTTATATAAATATCAGAAACAAATCCCAAATTGGAAATACAAATTTCCAAATCATGTTATTAAAGTTATAACTAATGACTCTTGTCATGTGACTTGTATTTCACCATTAACCGGACCAATAAAGAAGAACAGGCTTGAATGTTCAGTTTGGCATTACTGCATTCAATGCTTGAGAAAATACTTGTGAATTTAAGAAAATAAGAATCTCAAAAATAATCCAAAATCAAACAAAATAAATTTCTACATGTATTCACAATTTCAACTTTCTTTGAAGATAAATCCCTGCTGACACAACATTAATTCTGTTTATATCCGATGTTAATCAAATCATATTTACCTAGCCACTATACTCTAGTATAGAAATATTTGCCCTTTTCAAGTTGTAGTTATAATGGTTCAAGAGCTTAAAACAAATAGTTTATCCCTTTCCAGATGTCAAACATATATTAAATATGTACCTTTGGCAACCTCACAGCCGAAGTAGATACGTGTAGCGGGGACTAGATGAGCCTGCAGGAACAGAGCATGCAGTGACCAGATAGAGAGGCATTACACAGTTCTCTCCCCTGACCTCGCGTCTACGTAATAATCATAGTAATCGTGGCTGGCTTGACAATTAAAGATGGGTATACAATATCAAGCATGATGACACATTTATTTTCTTAATGTAGAATTTTGATTCCAACAAATCTGACAAAGCATACACATAGATCTGTATACAGTAAAAGCAGGCCCTGTGTCCAGCTACTCTGCTTTCTGATCAGTTACTGTTTGGAATGTCTATATAGAATCTAAATTTACCAGATACTTATGACTTGCCAATCCAGAAATTTGTATACTTTAATGATTTTACTTGGAATTTTATTTGCCGAGGTCCCAATACTTTAAAACAGACTTACAACAATGGTCGCACTAACATAGCTTCATGGAACAGACCCCAGATCAACGGGGTTCAATCTGTTACATCATTACCCATGCTGCAAGGCTATCCCTACGTGATACCTCACCTCAATGAGAGTGGAGCTCCTGTCTTTGAGAACACACTTGGGTGGTGTGGTATCTGTAAACAATGTCACATGATCATAATGATGAAAGAAATAGTTCAAATTTTGCATCCCCCCCTAATTTGGCTGTGTCTACCACCCCAATACCCAATACCAAATGATCAGTCCCTCATTATAAACAATGTCACATGATCATAATGATAGAAATAGTTCATGTCATAAAACACTGATGATTGTGTAGTTTGTTCATCGCCCTCCCCTAAACGTGTAGTTACACAAGAAGATAATGATCAGCATTACACAAGTATCAATAACATTTCAACCATGACACAACTGTATATGTTGTTGATTTTTACACATAATTGTGAAGTTATTTTCAACATGTTCCAGACAAAAGAAATTGTCATGTGTGGAGTTATCGTCCTCATGATCCCCAGACAAACTAAGTCATTTTCAGGGTGCTTCAATCAACTTCTATCATAAGAGGCTTGTTTTTTTTATGGTTGTAATTAACATAGTGAAATAAATTATTATTTCAATAAAGATGAACTTATTGATGTTATTTGGCAAGTGCGTGCGTGCGTGCGTGCATGCATGCGTGCATGTCTGTCTGTGTCTGTGTGTCTGTGTGTGAAAGAGATTGGTCTTAGGACTGTATCATATCTTCATGACGCCCATATTTTACTTAACAGTGTTCATGTTCACATTTAATAAATGACCAGTCCCTCAAGATTTTGTGATGGTGAAGGAGCACCTGTTATGGTGTTCACTTACAGAGGTAGAACGGGGTTGTCTTGTCCTGTAGATGTTCTTTAACAAACTTCTGAACAGCAAACACTGCAAGAACATAAAACATGTCACAACGTACAACAAGTCTAGGGTTGTGGATCCTGTATCAGGGGTTGTTTGGTTGGTTGGTTGTTGTTGTTTAACGCCACACTCAGCAGTATTCCAGAGGTCTATAAATAATCTAATCTGGACCAGACAATCCAGTGATTGGCATCAAAAGCATTGTTCCAATCAATTGGGATATGATGACATGCATCAAACCAAGTCAGCGAGTCTGATCACCCGATCTCGACAAGCATAGTCGCCTTTTACGGCTGTGTTGCTGAAGACCTATTCTACCACGGATGTACACGGGCCCAAAACAGCGAATTATTGCTGGGTCAAAGGACTTTTCAACATAAACAATCCTGTAGTTTCAGGACCAAAACGCAGTGTGGAGTCCAATAATGTTGTGTTCCTGACAGTTACCAACCTTACACTCCCACCAGGACATCTACAGACATACTGCAAAGAACGTCAGTGCTTGATTTATCACCATGGTGATATGAAATGAACATGACATTAATTTTTCGCGTCATTCCAATATAGATTCCACAATAGCAGATATTCAAGGGTTACAGGAACCAAAACAGCAAGCGAAGTGTGAATGTTAAACATTTCTATGATAACTCTGAACAACCCCTGGCCAACAGACAAGTCCTTTCCAACCAACTGATCCCCAAGTCCTATCCAACCAACTGATCCCCAAGTCCTATCCAACCAACTGACCACCAAGTCCTATCCAACCAACTGATCCCCAAGTCCTATCCACCCAACTGACCACCAAGTCCTATCCAACCAACTGACCACCAAGTCCTATCCAACCAACTGACCACCCAGTCCTATCCACCCAACTGACCACCAAGTCCTATCCAACCAACTGACCACCAAGTCCTATCTAAACAACTGATCCCCAAGTCCTATCCAACCAACTGACCACCAAGTCCCATCCAACCAACTGACCACCAAGTCCTATCCAACCAACTGACCCCCCAGTCCTATCCACCCAACTGACCACCAAGTCCTATCCAACCAACTGACCCCCAAGTCCTATCCACCCAACTGACCACCAAGTCCTATCCAACCAACTGACCACCAAGTCCTATCTAAACAACTGATCCCCAAGTCCTATCCAACCAACTGACCACCAAGTCCTATCCAACCAACTGACCACCAAGTCCTATCTAAACAACTGATCCCCAAGTCCTATCCACCCAACTGACCACCAAGTCCTATCCACCCAACTGACCACCAAGTCCTATCCACCCAACTGACCACCAAGTCCTATCCAACCAACTGACCACTAAGTCCTATCCACCCAACTGACCCCCAAGTCCTATCCAACCAACTGACCACCAAGTCCTATCTAACCAACTGACCACCAAGTCCTATCCAACCAACTGACCACCAAGTCCTATCCAACCAACTGACCACCAAGTCCTATCTAAACAACTGATCCCCAAGTCCTATCCAACCAACTGGCCACAGGTCCTATCCAACCAACTGACCCCCAAGTCCTATCCACCCAACTGACCACCAAGTCCTATCCAACCAACTGACCACCAAGTCCTATCTAAACAACTGATCCCCAAGTCCTATCCAACCAACTGGCCACAAGTCCTATCCACCCAACTGACCACCAAGTCCCATCCAACCAACTGACCACCAAGTCCTATCCAACCAACTGACCCCCAAATCCTATCCACCCAACTGACCACCAAGTCCTATCCAACCAACTGACCACCAAGTCCTATCTAAACAACTGATCCCCAAGTCCTATCCAACCAACTGGCCACAAGTCCTATCCACCCAACTGACCACCAAGTCCCATCCAACCAACTGACCACCAAGTCCTATCCACCCAACTGACCACCAAGTCCTATCCAACCAACTGATCCCCAAGTCATATCTAAACAACTGATCCCCAAGTCCTATCCACCCAACTGACCACCAAGTCCTATCCACCCAACTGACCACCAAGTCCTATCTAAACAACTGATCCCCAAGTCCTATCCAACCAACTGATCCCCAAGTCCTATCCAACCAACTGATCCCCAAGTCCTATCCAACCAACTGACCACCAAGTCCTATCTAAACAACTGATCCCCAAGTCCTATCCAACCAACTGATCCCCAAGTCCTATCCAACCAACTGACCACAAAGTCCTATCCAACCAACTGACCACCAAGTCCTATCCAACCAACTGACCACCAAGTCCTATCCAACCAACTGACCACCAAGTCCTATCCAACCAACTGATCCCCAAGTCCTATCTAAACAACTGACCACCAAGTCCTATCTAAACAACTGACCACCAAGTCCTATCCAACCAACTGACCACCAAGTCCTATCCAACCAACTGACCACCAAGTCCTATCTAAACAACTGATCCCCAAGTCCTATCCAACCAACTGACCACCAAGTCCTATCTAAACAACTGACCACCAAGTCCTATCCAACCAACTGATCCCCAAGTCCTATCCAACCAACTGATCCCCAAGTCCTATCCAACCAACTGACCACCAAGTCCTATCCACCCAACTGACCACCAAGTCCTATCTAAACAACTGATCCCCAAGTCCTATCCAACCAACTGGCCACAAGTCCTATCCAACCAACTGATCCCCAAGTCCTATCCAACCAACTGACCACCAAGTCCTATCCACCCAACTGACCACCAAGTCCTATCTAAACAACTGATCCCCAAGTCCTATCCAACCAACTGACCACCAAGTCCTATCCAACCAACTGACCACCAAGTCCTATCCAACCAACTGACCACCAAGTCCTAGCCAACCAACTGACCACCAAGTCCTATCCAACCAACTGACCACCAAGTCCTATCCAACCAACTGACCACCAAGTCCTATCCAACCAACTGACCAGTTTCCCTGGGTCTGAACATCCCCTGAAGCACCAGTTTGTCCGGAAACTGGACCCGGATGACCACCTTCTTGTACTTGCTGTATCTCTCCTCCAGCCTGGCCTGCCGCATGGCCTGTGTCATCAGGGGGGCGTCGGCCTGGCAGTCCCTGCAACACAGGATCATCTGATGAACAATCTCATCTCAATCCAAAACCACAGGAGGTATTTCTTTCATGGTTACTTGGCATGACATTACCGACAATATCTTATGCAACAACCTGTTAAGTATATGGCCAGAACTACAAGTAGTCGATCAAACCATACGCTAAAAGTTACACAAAGGGGTTGTTTGTAATGCATTGGTATATATACTTCTCAACTCCTTCACAAAACTGAGTGAGTGAATGTTGTTTCATGCCACAGTCAGTTTTATTCCAGCTACAGATTTATTACTGTGTCCAAGACCACCACATTCATAGTCCAGGCAGGACACAGCAAACGTGGTGAATCCAAGTCTGCTCTTACAGGCATGAGGAAACCTACCCGGGACAGGGAACCCCACAATCCTAAATTTGGCCTCTTAAGGAGGAACTGTAGAAGAACAAGAGTTTGCAACTAACGTGGCTATATCCCCCACCCCTGTTGCAGAATTTATGACATAATTAAGTCTAAACAAACCCTAACCTTTTTTAACCGAGGTGGAACTTGTCATGGACATTGTAAAAAAAAGAAGAATTTGGAACCTAAGTCCATCTTGTTGCCATGGAAACGTAAAAAATAAAAATTTCTAAAATTTCTAAATAGCAAACGGCACCAGTTCAGCATGTACTTGACAGACCTGCAAAGTTTCATGAAAAAATATTGAACGGTTTCTGAGTTATGCTCCGGAAACGAAACGTGACGGACGGACGGACGGATGGACGGACGGATGGAGCCCGTTACTATATCCCCCACCAACTTTGTTGGGCGGGGGATAATTAGGAAACATTATTGGATTGTCACTGATTATAGTCATGTAGTCAAAGTTTGATGGGCTCTTGAGAGGGCCTGGGGTCTACGGCCTGGTGCCTGTCTCCAGTCTAGTTCAAGATGCTGTAGTACCATGTGTAGAACGGAGACAATTTTTATAATTATGGTGATCATTAACTGTTACATTGATTTATCATCTAAAACTGGTCCCAACAGGAGGTATTGCTTCAGTGAAATTGCATCACAATGCTTTGCAGACCATTGGGACATCATCGGTTACCATTTCATCACAATGAAATGACATCACTATAATCTCTCTGCAACAGAAGCTGGTTAGCAGTACTTTTTACACTTAGGTACTACATATTACGGTTTACAACCTGAAACATGACGAAGAATGTTGGATGGTAAAAAGACTCTCACGCTCTTGTCTTTTGATATCAACACTTTAACAGTTCAAACTCTTCTGCAACCTCAGAGTTTTCCAAATTTTTATTGATCTGTGTAGATATATTTGATATCAAAAGACACTAGGGTGACATTTTCTATTTACAAAATAGGAGTCAGAATATACTCTGAGATGCTGTTAGGCTAGCCACACTAAAGAAAACTGACATCAATAAAACTTGCCAAGCAAAGAGCCAGGTAAAAAACATTTCATTTCACAATATATTTATTACTCAAGAGAAGTTAGAGAACACCTTGATTCTTTCATATTACAATACAGTGGTCCCTCGCTATTGTGCTCTTCAATATAGCGATAACATGGTTATAGCCCGCAGTAATGCATCATGATGCATGGCTCCTAATATTTACTTACATTTTTAATAAATTCAAGTTTTCCAATGACACAGAGTTTTCCCCTTCTCAAAAAACATCATCAGCTGATCACAACAATCATGTAACACCGGAAATACCTGTCACAAATCTAAACTGAATTACGTAATTTAATCCCATTATTATACTATCTGGTTATAAAAAGGTGTTCATTTTTTATCTGGACTTATGTTTGTAATGTATTACATTAATTTTAGTCAAAATTTCATTGTAGTTAATTGGGTGTTCTTTGACATCTTTTGAGTAGCACAGATGCAGTAATACATAAACGACAGAATGAATAGATTAGCACACAGGCCAACACAAATTACTTTGAATTCCATTCCAGAACGTAAACGTTCACAGCAACAATTCTGCAAAAATATACAAAGGCATTTTCTTGACTTTAGATAACAATAGACAGTAACTTACACATTTTTCTGGAGGTCGACCATCATTTTCCGAACATCTGCATCGGTGACATCAAAGAAGTCATCAGGCAGATCAGCTGTGAAAGGAGTCTAATTTCTGTAACTTGTTACCATGGCAACATCACCAACAGTCAACTCTTCAATTCCTTAGTTATTGTTGCACATGCCAATTAGCATTTGATAGGCTTAAAATGGACGACAAGCCAGGTTTTTGACAACAAGGTTGTTAATTAGATTGTTTTGACAACAAATCTGTTGGATTATCTTGGTTTGACAACACATATTCTTGTTGGCATTTATACACTACAAACATGTCGATTAACAAGACAAAGAAGTCTCTACCAATGTCAAAGACAATCTGTTATATCAGCCATTGTAATTAGTAGTTTTCAGCCACTGTATTGTTTTCTAATACATCATACTGAACATTTTTGGCTGCAAATGCCTGAGTCTTGCAGAAGATTTTTTAGGGTGTTTGTTTTAAAGACAATTATTTGTCAAAATTACTACAGAACACCAACAATAAGTTTATGTTTACACAGATACAGAGCCCCACGTACCATCTGTCCCAGGCTGAGAACTAGCAACAGGCACATCCAAGTCAAACAACACAGTTTCTCTGTCACAAGGCTGAAACACATCAGCAGAAAGTTGATGCTGGTTGAGAAAACAAATACTCTTCTGTCCATATCCTTTCATGTTTTCGTGTATTAATAAAATATGCATATAGGAGTTCAGATGCATCCACAACCATCTAGTGTATCATATTTCCATTCTAAAGAGGGATGGGGAGACTGAGGTATGCATTGAGGCGAGGCATAAGTTCTTATTTCCACGTGTAATGTCATTCGAAAAAGGTTTAAAACATTTATAGGGTGGGAAATAGGTCTACAGTGTTCCGATGAATACAGCAAAACTCGTTTCTCTATGTACATAACAAATATATAACCTTCTTATCCACTACACATTTATTAGACATTTCAAATATCTTTCCTTTGTCACAATTTCCTGATACGACCTACAACTTAAAAATTTCAAGACAAATCAAAAGATATCCATGACCGTTATCAAAATGTGGACAACATTTACGTGAAGAATGTGAACATACCTTGAATTCCTCTCGGTTCACATCACTGAAAGATAAAATATAACAATCTTTGTCACAAACAGCCTAGTCTTTGATTAGCATCAGCTAGCCTCAGAATAGATGGAAGTACAGCGATCTTCACATTTCCAAGGTTTGTTAGCATTATTATATACAGAGTCAGCATAGACATGCTAAAAAACATGACTGAGTTTTTTTCTAAGATTTGAAACGCATGATACACCTGACAATACCTTAGTTCATTGGAGTAGACAGATTTCCCCTTGGAAGACTCTGGGAACTGGAATTATACCACATTGAAAAAGGATGAATACAGTCAAAATGTGATACCCCTGTCATCCAATTCTGAAATTATGCTAGATATTAAGATCACATACCGTATTCGACGTAATAAGTGCCCAGGGCGCTCTCAAAATTAGAAATAGGGGGCTCTAATTAGATTATTATTTTGGGGAAAAAATCAGAGTTATAAGATAGTAGATTTCGTGGTTTATGCTGACAGCCTGAAATGTTTATATACGACAGATAGATTTTTCCAGGACTTAAATGCCCATAATTAAGGGTACATATAACACACGAGTGCGTATTATACACGAATAAATAAGTCTTGTGTACATTGATCAATCGGAAGGGGTGCTAATTGAGATTGTTCACTAGCCAATATATTAGCAAATATCGCCATGGGCGCTTATTACGTCGAATACGGTATATGATATATATACAGGAAAAGCAGTGGAAGACTCTGCAAGTTATTCTGAGTAACTGGGTAACTGATCTGATGTTGATCGTTATTGTAAAGAGGGACAAATGACAATAGATGGGTGACCTTGAAGTCTGTGAATTGTGGTTGTGGCAGTGCTTGTCTGGGTCTTGCGGCTGCAGCATTCTGACTGGACGGCATCTGTACTGACCCCCCAATGAGACGCTGCATCATCCGCTGAGCAAGGGCGCGGGCCAACTGGAGAGAAACATGTAGCCATGCTGTATACACTATCAAACTGCAGCTGGTAGAATTGTAGTTGAAGTGAGCGAGTTTTGTTTTACGCTGCTTTTAGCAATATTCCAGCAATATCATGGCGGGGACACCAGAAATAGACTTCAAACATTGTACCCAAGTGGAGAATCAAACCCGGGTCTTCGGCGTGACAAGCCAGCGCTTTAACCACTAGGCTACCTGACCTCCCCAATTGTAGTTGAAGACATTCACACAAGATGCAACATGTTACATGCAGTCAGCATTATATTACTACTAGAATTATCACAGCACAAGCCCGTAATAAAGTGTGCATGTGTCTGGTGTACTAGTTCGTACCAATGACCAGTCCTTGTTTTATCCCCTTAATGCCGAGTGTCAGGCAGGGTAAAAATAAGTAAAATCTTTAAGGCTAAAAAAAATAATTGTCTTGGTTCTCAGGCACCACCTGCATCATCATAAAGTCTGCCGCATGTTTTGTTTTGTTTCCATTTTTAAATTTTTTTAAAAAGTCCTTAATCTTAATCACAATGAAAACAAAAAATTGAAAATGGACACAAAAAGGAAACGTGCAATGAACTTTATGATGATGTGGGCAGTGCCTGAAAACCAAGACTATTATTTTTTTTAGCCTTAATGTCTTTTGGTATGACGCAGCCAGGGATCAAACCCAACCTTCCAATCCAATCATACATACCTTATTGTTGTCCTGCAACTGGCATTAGCATAATGATTATGATATATTCAAAATCACATTTCACACACAAAATTCTGCTGTCTAAGATACTTGAAACTTGAACAATTATGGACCATATGAATGTGTCCATTTCTTGAATAAGAAACAGTGAGTATAACTGTCAACATGATTTACCCGTTGTTGATCTGGTGGCAGATCATTGAAATCATCCGGTGTGAAGATCTCCACACCTGGTATGTTCATACTCCGCAGCTGCTCAATGCTACTCTGTCCATTGGCAGGTACTTGATTCTGGCTCCGTACACTGCTCTGTCCACTGTTACATATCGCATTGGAATCACTAGCATCCCCAGTGGACACAGACATCACAGATGCAGCAGTGTCTACCTCCATTGCTTCCTGACCAGACAAACTTGTTTCACTCCTTGTCTCCTTGTTATCACAAATGTCTGCCTCCATATTGGTTTCCAGTCTCTCTGGGATCACCCTGCTACTGCCACCAGATGGCGCTGCTGCCTGACTCTCCAATGATGAACTTTCCTGCATTTCAGCATGTTTCCTTGCTGCAATTTCTCTAAGACGAGCCTCCTTTACTTTCTCCTTGTCTGCTTTGGCTATTAATCCTGCTATAACAGAGTCTTCAACTGGGCGATGGACAAGTCTACAAAAGTAACGTTCCAAAGTCAAGTGACCGGTCACTTAAGGGACTGGTTATTTATTATAGGGGTGGGTGGGCGGCTGGGATTGGTCTTTTGACCATATCATATTTTGCTGACACCCCCCGCTCCCTCCCAATTCACCCCATTTAATATTTCATGTAACATTTATATTTCCTCCACCCCCCAATCCCTAATCTCACACCATCACCCCCAATAATAAATGTCCAGTCCCTAAACAGTCTTGCATTTTCTTTCAAAGATGCGTTGAATAAACCCACACCAATGCAGAAAACCCATACAGAATATTAATGTCTTTATCATCCCCAACAGTGTTTGTTCCACACAACACCCACTGCCAGAACTCCAGGTAATTTGTCTCAGTCTTTTACATATACTTAATTTTCAGTACAACAATTTGGTTTGAATCATTACCCCACCTTATGACAGCCTTGCCTCCTGTAAGTCCAAGTTTGCGTAACGTTGTGGATTGCAGAGCGCACTCACCAATCACCTAGATCAGAAAAATAGCATCATAACGCAAACCACAAAAGGATACCCCTGGTTCCATCTACTCAACAGAAAGACTTTTTTTAAGTATATGTGCTACCTGTAACAATTATGGACAAAAAATCCTTGGGTTCCACTCATGTTTCTTAGCAACATGGGTTATTATGAGCACTATCATAACAATAGTGCAGAAAAAGAGAGCATTTTTGACAATTTCCCAACTTTGTGTGGATGAACAGAGGATCAGATACCATATATCTGTATGAGTTTTAAGTTCATACCAACCTCATCTCTCCTTTTATCAAGAATTCACTTTGTATAACATTTTTTATGATAAACAGCTGTACTGACCTCTTCCGTCATGTAGATACACACTGGATGAGTTGGTGGTGTCTGACTAGTGTCAACAACTGTCAGCTTGCCTGCATGCTCTCTGAAATCGTGGATAGTTAACCAAATAATAAATTTCAAGCGAAGTACCCAGACATCAATATCTGCAACATTTGCATATTTTCATACTTTTATGTAGTCATAATCATAAATGTTTATTTTATCAAAAAAATGTACAACCTAAACACACTTACCCACATATACAAAATAACCTAACTTTGATCATTGACTTAATAACAATAGATAATTTCTTTTACTGAGACTGATACTACTGAGATCGCTCCATTACTGAACTTTCCCTATCCTGCATCGTCCAGTCTCCAACAAAGCAACCTTACGGCTATAATTATCAAAAGTCTGTGTTAAAGTATGGGAATCACAAAAGTTGTAACTCAATTATCACTTCATAGAATGATGTTAAGGACAACTCGACGAAACAAGCACTGCGTCACACCCAGCGTCTTCAAGTTGTTAGCCCTCCATGTCATCTACTCACCCAGACTGTGCCTCCCAGTGCTGAAGAATATCCCACAGGCTTGTACCGGGAAGAAACGAATGCTGCAGCCTCTGACCTGATTTAAGCTGAAGAGCAATTCCAACATTTTCCTCTGCCCTAGACTTTTCCAGTTTTTGAAGTTCCAACTTTGCGTTGTTTGGAAGGTTTGCATATCGAAAAGAGAGGCTCAAATCAAGATCCTTCCTGCCATGGCTGTCAAAGAAGTTATCAAAATGTGAAAATGTCACATTGCATACAAACATATGCAAATTGATAACAAACTAACACTATGTTTCACTATATCCATCTTTGTAACTTAAAGAATGTTAATTTCCTAAAGTGATTGTATGATGATATATGTGTGTTTTGTCAGCTGTGATATTTCCACAGACCATTTTACATAAAAATTGATATATATCAACTACTTTTTCCACAATCAGGTGACCAAGTACAATCTACTGGGGAAATAGTTTGTGTTCCTTGTGTGAATTATTATTTTGTCTTCAATCAACAGGAAACGATTGCTTTTTTGACAAGATGTAATCAAACTGGAGTCATATATATCCAATTGTTTAAAACAAGTTATGCTATGAACTTACACAAGTTTATAGTCTTCTGCTGGAATGAAGCCTTGCTTCTTGCACACTTCTTCAAGTACCTTGTGTTGGCAAAAATCTTATTAATGTGTTATCAATAGATATTGTACGATTCGTCACAAATATATTCAATATAATTAATTTAATTGCATATTATTGTGTAATAAAACAATGACCAATACAGTTGTGTTTTGACTGCATACATTTGAATACATGACAAAATATGGTAATTTAAAAAATCATGTCATCAGTTAACATTCCTGTTTTTGAGCATATACTCTGTACCAGTGATGTTCTGCTACGTCTTTCTGCTACGTTTGACATTTCTTCCGGAAATTTACATAAGTAAAAGTAATTTATTTTCAAAATCATCTCCGGGTCCAATCTTTGTTGTTCTAAAATCACGGAAACGTGACTTTGCAGAAATAAACTTTGACAGGGTTTGTTGATTATGTCGCTTAGACAACAGTGGTGTGTGTGGTCAGAAAATTTTAGACTACGGTGTTTAACTCACTTGTAAAAGTTTTGAATTAGGTGTTATTTTAACATTTTGACGTCGCCCATTCGGGCAAAGCACTTGCACCGTCGCCATTACTTTTCTTAGAGTTATCTGCCCTTCCTCCTGGTTTGTTACACGTACATTTATTGGCCAATCGATTTATCAGACCCAATGAAATGTCTCGAGTTATAAAGCTTTAAACAAATCGTAAACACGACAGAAGCGGTAGAGTTCGAGTTTGTGACCACAGACTTCTGCATGTTTTTTGTTGGAAAAGTGCTATTTTCGTGAACCATCGAACGCATTTAGATTGAACGCCCACCTTTGGAAGAGGGTAATTGAACAGATATGCTTATAGGATAACTCTGTGGAAGGATTAAGTAAATACCGTTTTCGTTTAGTCCTCGACATGTGTCGACTTGCTAACTAACCATGATTTTCAGTGTATCCAACGTCGTTCGATGACGCTTCCGTGCTCGCCTCGTGGATTAAACTAAACAGTTTGCTTTGAATTACGTATTCACATGGTAATACCATCTTCTGGCTTTTATCATCAGTAAGACAATATATTCCAAGAAGTATTTCATTTTGATATCGACATTGAAACAGTTTTTTAGAATACCTTTCCCACATCAACAACTTCAATAGACCCGTGAGCGGCTTTGATTGCTTGACATGAGCTACATGCCTGGGGACGAACAGCCATTTCATATGCCATTGTAGAGTTGAATTTGTACCTGTAATTTGTTTAATAATGTGATGTAGCAATTAGGATGCATGCTGTTCTAGCCTAGTCATATGGTTCTTGACATTGAATGCTTCTACCGAGCAGCTCTTGACTGATGTTGTCATTAGAATTAACCATCTACATGGAGCCTTTGATTCGAACCATACCTTGATTTGTTTATATGTTTCAGTGAACCAAAGCTATGGACAGCTTTCGAGGTTCTCCCAGTGAATTGACGGAAGCAGGTACCGGTATGTATTATATATCTATACTCGTAGTAACATTAACAAGTCTTCACTTTCATGTTCAAACACACATTTACATAATCTATGGGACCACCTCCATGGTCTGTGGTAGAGCGTCTGTCCAGAGAGCAGAAGATCCCCGTCCGGGTCATGTCAAAAGACGTTAAAAGATTCTACTTGTTACCCTGCCTGGCACTAGACCTTTAAGGAGTAAAAAACAAGGAGTGGTCATCTCAGAGTCAGTATACTGTGTCTGAGTGGGGTATCCATGTTAAACTGAAGCATGGTATCTCAATGGGCTAGCACTATAAAATCGGCATTAGCCCGGACTAGTACAAGCAGCCCCACACACAGATGTATGCACTTCGCAATATAAGTGCAACAATCTTGAACACGGCGTTAAACACCATTTCACCACACCTTACATAATCTATGCATTAAAATATGTAATACATATACATGGTACAGGAGGTACCTTGCTGCTGTATGCTAGGTTGGAGGTAAAAGTATTGAAGACTTGACCATGTTGATTATATGTTTCTAGTTGGATAGCTTTATGACATGTCAGAATGTTTCTTTTTCAGTGTCTCTTGCCAACAGGCTGCTTAGGCAGTGTAACAGTTCAAGGGTAGTTAGATGTGTGGAAGACATTACTTCGTCAGTCCTGGTTGATCTGTTCACAGGGTTCCTTGCGGAATCACCCAAAGGTAAATGTGCTGTCTGGTCCCAGCTTTATAAACCATAACATAAACATGATAAATATGATAAGAAGGGTTGAACAGCAAGAGTCGTAAGTTCTATAGTTGCCGTGAATGAAGAATAAAATAACAGCTGTATTTGAGGCTTGTATTAAGCATGTTAAGTGACTACCAACATCTGTTTCCAATTGGAGTTTTCTAGTTTTGTCCTTAAGGCAATGTCAGGAAGAATGTTTAAAAATTCTTCAAATTTTCAGGATATTACAATGCTGCCCCTCTAACACTAGTAACATCATGATATAGTATCATAAATGGTAAACAGCATTTGCATTTCAGCCGTTGGAAGTAAATGAAATAAATGGTAGATAATTTGTTTTACTTTTAGTCATAGTGAGAACCAGCATCATTATTTATTAGCATGTGATCAGGAGTATTTTAGTTTTGTATTTCCACAGCTGGTAAAACATCTCAAGATGAAAGTTTTCAGATTCTTAAAATTGTCAGCATTGTACAATTGGCGCTGAATTAGACATTTACTTCTTATGTAGGGCTCATCACCAGCCCCATCACTCAAGAAGATGAGACCCACAACTGTCAGGTGATCATTGATCAGCTGGCTGTCAACCTCCACACCTCACTGTCACACATCCGCGGACGCAGCATTGTGGACGGGGATGCGGTTGTCATACAGAATCTCCTGGAGATCATCGCGATGCTCGCAGACATCATTCTCAACAAAATAGACAGCGACTTCTCCACTGACCTGGATGGTAAACACCATTATCCTCTCCATTCCCATCATTCATTGAACATAACTGTTTCAAGAGGGACAAGACCCTGACTGTTTGATTCAGGTCACTTAAACCCCACTTTGTGTGTCTGCTGATCTTATGTTTTATTAAATGGATTCAGCTGTTAATGATTTCCATCACTCTACACAGATGCAGTGTCTCAAGTCAGACATGGCACTAATTACATCTAGCCTAAGATTGTATGAGCAGTGAGCACAGGGCCATAGAATTCCCCCTAATTAAATGTAAGAACTTAGGTTTCATGTGTCACTGTCAGTCCACGTTTATGATTACTATTAGCATTCTACCTCATTTACTATCTTTTCGACAATTGTAACTGGATTTATCATGATAAGTGTTCCTTTCCATCATTCCTGAGGAAGTTGTACTTATACAACGAAGTGCATGCATGTGTGTGTGTGTGGTCAGTGTACTTGTACTAGTTCGGACTAATGCCGACTCTATAGTGCTAGCCCACTGAGATACCATGTTGCAGTTTAACATGAATACCCAACTCAGACGCAGTATACTGACTGAGACGACCAGTCCTTTTAGCCCCTTAGGGCTGAGCGCCGTGCATGGTATTAATGTAATGTTTGTTGTTGACAGATACACGCAACTCTGGCCTCTTTGTGCCCTCCCATGATGTGACTGATGAGCTATCAAGTCGTGAAGTGAGATGGGATAGGCCCTACGGCCCCACAAATGGAAACCTACCTACAGATAAGCCAGCAAAAATAACAGACTTTTATTCAAGGTAAATTTGTTTTCATAATGAACTTAACAATAGTGGTTTTCTATTAATTTTGATAAACACTATTTGACAATCCAATCATAATAAAAAGATGAAGACAGAAACAAGTATATTTTTAAAATTATCCTGTGCTTTTCTTCTTCTTTTGATCCTGGTGTGGAAACGTCTACCACTGTTACTGTACATGGCTTGCATTAGTACATCACGCTTAATCCACATGATATTTCTACAAGAGTACTATCGCCCTAACCAGTGTATTGTTCAGCCTACGTTAAGTGAGTGAGTGAGTTGGGTTTAACGCCGTTTTTAACAGTATTCCAGTTATATCGCGGTGTGTCAGCTTCATGTGGGAGGAAAGCCCGAAGTGATGCAGGTCTCAGACGTTTACTACTTGGGTGAAACCCATGAGCACGGGTATGGTGCTGACAAACCTAGAAACATAATTGGAGCCAACCCGGGTTCGAACCCACAGTCAAAGGTTTCTGGTGTACCCAAGGGACGCAACTCTGCACAGCAAATCGCAGCACCTTAAACGACTGGGCCACCCGTGCCCCTCAGCCTACGTTAAACCTAGAAGGATTTGTGGGAGCTTTCGTTGAACCCTCACCATGAGGTTCGACAGAGATGCAACTTTTATGAACAGGATTATCACCGGTCTTAAGATTGACAGACACCCTTGTCTTAGCAGGGAAGATCACATCAACATAAGAATGGTCATTAGAGGATCGACAGAGTCATCATGGGTTACCCAGATCGCGCTGGATTGTCACATTATGGGTATTTGTGTGTGTGGAGCATTGACAATGTGTTCAGCAAGACTGCTGTATTTCCTGTTCCTTTGCAAGGGTGATCAACATATAATGTGTCAAGATTTCTCAGTTTTGTAAACAAGACCGATTATGCTGGAATGTACAGTAGTACTTCTATGACTGCACGTGGAGTCATTCACACCTACTTTCGTCGTCACCTTGATACAAGAATGGGGAGCACATCTATACGGCACACAGGGGATGGAATCCATCGCCTCTTCCACCAGAACTACACATCGGCATACAGACGATCAACTTGGATAGACAAGTCATCCCACACTTATTGACGATTGGTAGTTGGTGAATATAGACATATTGATTTGACATTTGCTCCCAATGATCTCTACGTTCCTTCAAGGCACAGTTTCTGGTGACACTGCAGCACTTCCGCATGGTCTCGATCACCCTGCTTCGTGGATCATTTGACTGGAGAATTATAAATTAAGCCTCAATCTACAAGATGCAGCTTTGATTTTTTTTAAACTTTCCACGAAGATTCCGTCAATGCCACACAATTGGTTGGGGAGCTCACTTATGAGATCTACGTGTGATCGGGCGTTGGTGTGCAGACAAAGTCATCTACATGTCAACAAATCAAAGATCAAAAGCAGCTGTGTTAGTGATTACATATTAAACGACCTCTTCACAACCCAATTCAACCCGTCAGCAGACATGCTTCATCTTTGCGTTTGGCACATCTGCAGAAATCACTTATTGCCAAGGGTTATTCTCGGAATGTGGCTCAAACTATCATTCAAGCGCACAGCACTTCCACTATACCTCTGTACAGTTACAAGTGGAAGACGTTTGAAGGCTATTGTTCACCTCGAGATGTATCACCTCTGTGTCACCTCCACAAATAGCTGAATACTTCAACATTTACATACTACTTCCTCTAAATCATCATATGACAACAAGTGGAAAACCTTGGAAGTATATTGTAAAGCCATCACTATCCCGAGTCTGACCACTCCGTCACCTTAACAAATTGCTGAGTATCTTCAGCACTTGCATTCTACAAGGAAGCTCAAGGGATCGGCATTGGCTACTTATCTAGCAGCTATTAACTCATTGCTACCACTACGGTTTCTTATATTTCCACGGTAGCTGAAATTGCAGGCTTTCTCTGGATCTAAAAAACTTGCTGATCAATCTTCCCAATTTTGACCTCTCAATGTCAACAGAGTCCAGTGCGAGAAGCAACGTCATAGGAAAGTCATTCCCAGCTACACCAGCCTCGCCACTGGCAGGGTATGTCGGTGATCAGGTCGCTTTAGGTCGGATTGCACAGGAATGCAGTGGTGCATGACCCATTGTTTAGGTGGTGACCAGGGGAAGGCTGTGATGTGTTCGGGTGAAATGTCTTTTGAAGCTGGTAACTTTGTTTCAGGATGTTCGAAAAAAGAAGGAAGAAATGCTTAGTGTGAGATAGGATAGGCATTTAAATATACAATTTATTGTAAAATTTTCAATTTAGTATAAGTAAGCTTGAGCAAATGTTGAACACCTATATTACTTTGTCATTTATATGTTATGATCATGATGATGGATAGCCAGGAAATAGTTGTGAATAATACAAGATGTATCCAATGTTTGTCTGTATACACTGTTAATGTCACCTCTTCAGACACTCACCTACGGATGATGAGATTGCTTCCATTCCGACAAGATCTCCCAAACCCCTGGTCTCACAGGGTACAGGTGAGGATTGTAGAGTAGATGAATCTCACATAGGAGAATAAGCCACTGGCACGCCCTGCATAGTTGTCTGCTTTGTCTTCTTGAATAAATAAGAATGGGAAAAGAATGTTTCTGTTACACCAGGTGTTACACTGAAGGCATGGGGGTCAAGGGAAAAGAATGTTTCTGTTACCCCAGATGTTACACTGAAGGCATGGGGGTCAAGGGAAAAGAATGTTTCTGTTACACCAGGTGTTACACTGAAGGCATGGGGGTCAAGGGAAAAGAATGTTTCTGTTACACCAGGTGTTACACTGAAGGCATGGGGGTCAAGGGGGGTCAAGGGAAAAGAGTGTTTCTGTTACACCAATGTTACACTGAAGGCATGGGGGTCAAGGGAAAAGAATGTTTCTGTTACACCAATGTTACACTGAAGGCATGGGGGTCAAGGGAAAAGAATGTTTCTGTTACACCAGGTGTTACACTGAAGGCATGGGGGTCAAGGGGGGTCAAGGGAAAAGAGTGTTTCTGTTACACCAATGTTACACTGAAGGCATGGGGGTCAAGGGAAAAGAATGTTTCTGTTACACCAATGTTACACTGAAGGCATGGGGGTCAAGGGGGGTCAAGGGAAAAGAGTGTTTCTGTTACACCAATGTTACACTGAAGGCATGGGGGTCAAGGGGGGTCAAGGGAAAAGAATGTTTCTGTTACACCAATGTTACACTGAAGGCATGGGGGTCAAGGGAAAAGAGTGTTTCTGTTACACCAATGTTACACTGAAGAAGGGGGGTCAAGGGAAAAGAGTGTTTCTGTTACACCAATGTTACACTGAAGGCATGGGGGTCAAGGGGGGTCAAGGGAAAAGAATGTTTCTGTTACACCAATGTTACACTGAAGGCATGGGGGTCAAGGGAAAAGAGTGTTTCTGTTACACCAATGTTACACTGAAGAATGGGGGTCAAGGGGGGTCAAGGGAAAAGAATGTTTCTGTTACACCAATGTTACACTGAAGGCATGGGGGTCAAGGGGGGTCAAGGGAAAAGAATGTTTCTGTTACACCAATGTTACACTGAAGGCATGGGGGTCAAGGGAAAAGAGTGTTTCTGTTACACCAATGTTACACTGAAGAATGGGGGTCAAGGGGGGCCAAGGGAATTTTTATTTCTGTTACACCAGATGTTACACTGAAGGCATGGGGGTCAAGGGAAGTCAAGGGAAAAGAGTGTTTCTGTTACACCAATGTTACACTGAAGGCATGGGGGTCAAGGGGAAATACCAAAGTAGGCACAACTTATGGATAACAACTTCTGTAATTACTGTAAAGGTGACATTTTGGTATAGATCCTTGTACCCTTGTCAAGCAAGGCTGAGACAACTCAGTCCTTATTGACAACAGTATAAAGATCTATACCGATACATCGCCTTTACAGTACTAAAGAAGTTGTTATCCATAAATTGTGCCTACTTTGTCGACATCAGTCAACCTAAGAAATGCCTTTCAAACAATTAGCCCAGTACTCTACATCATTTCTTACATTGTGTACAATGAATTCTCCTTCCTTCTGTCATATCATGTTACTTTTGTAGATATAAAAGCTTGCTTGTTTTGCTATAATTGTTGTTCCTGCACCATAGCATGTATTCGCTTGACAGCCCTAGAAAGTAGATAGCATAGACTAGAATCCTTGCACTGTGCAGCATGTATTCGCTTGACAGCCCTAGAAAGTAGATAGCATAGACTAGAATCCTTGCACTGTGCAGCATGTATTCGCTTGACAGCCCTGAAAGTAGATAGCATAGACTAGAATCCTTGCACTGTGCAGCATGTATTTGCTTGACAGCCCTAGAAAGTAGATAGCATAGACTAGAATCCTTGCACTGTGCAGCATGTATTCTGTGATGTGCAACTGTACATGAAGGCGCCTGATTACAACAAATACGGTTACAGTGTGAAGTATTCTCTTGTCAGGGCCAATGTCTAAGAAGCTGTATGACAAAACCTCTGACCTTCTAGAGAGAGCAAACAATTTACTGCTACGAAGTCAGGAGCTGAACCTAGCCCACGGAGCCTCATCCCGCCGACTGTCCCCACCTCCTACCCATGTCAAGCAGAACACATGGGTATCGCCAGGTCAGTACCACTGGTGTCTGTGGCTGTCTAGAAGTTGCGTTTGTAACTCTATCTAAATTCTGGATACCAGTATGTGACGAGATTAAACTTGAGAGTATCACATCTGAAGTAGACATGTTAAAAACATTGTAAAATGGATCATCCAGTCGTATCATAACTGCATTAAACATGGTAAGGAATTAAGAATGTTGTAATATTGTGTCAGCCAGTCACAGATCTACTTGTATCTGGCTGTTTCCAGACCAAACTGTGAAGAATGTCTGTGGTCTCAGTGTTCCTCCTGTATGTTCGGTTACCAAATCTAAGGCAGTAAGGAAGCTAAGCAATCATTTCACAATGATTGACATTCAAAATATTTCATCACTGTTCATGTGTTCATTGTTTAGGCCGACTTGATTCGACTGAGGAGCTTGTGCAAGATGCACACAGAATACAACAGCGTCTTGATGATACAGATGGACCATTGCACAAGCTGTATTCTGTAAGTCATCATGTAAGACTTCAAGTTGAATTGCAGTTCCTCTAGGAGTTCTGGCTTCCTAGGGGGCAGTAGGTTAGCCTAGTGGCTAAGGCGTTCGCTTGTCACACCGGAGACCCGGGTTATCCTCATGGGTGTCCCCTGCTGGGATATTTCTGGAATAATGCTAAAAGCTGTATAAAACCATGCTCACTCACACTGGCTTCCCAGACTTTTCAAACAAATGCCGTCTTTCAGGCACATCAATGTATTTGACGCTTTGTATATTGTGTTCTGTTTGCTCCTGGCCATGTTAGTGACAGACCATGGCTGACTGTTTCTGTTGATCCACAGAGGCCACATGCTGACCTTGCATCCAGCAGCACCACCGGCACCTTCGACCACCTCGGGGTGCGTCCCAAGAGGAGGCAGGATGGCCCCAGCACGACAGTGGAGGCGTCTAAAGATAAATCCAGTGGTACTGTGGCTCAGCATCGTACCATCACGCATCATTTGTACCATCATTACCCATCTTATGTGTCAGGTGTGCTCAACATGTCTCGCTTTTGTGGATGTCCTTTATCGTTGCTTTTCCGTCTTGTGTTGTGTCTCCTTTTGTGTCCTATTCTTTAGTGAGTCAATGTCTCATGCTCAAGACCTGGGTTAGATTACACATAGGGACTCATCGGGAAACGGTTTATATCACAGGCATAAGTTTGTGTACCTCTTGACTGTAAATGTGTCATGTGACAAGGAAACCCAGGTCTTTAGTGTGCCAGGGAAATGATAAAACTATTAGAAACTATTGATGTTATAATGTCCAGATAATATTTATTTATTTACTAAATTGTGACCATCCGTTAGGATTCCCGGTAAGAATTGGTCCCTCGTGACTTAACGGACTTGGTTGATCGTACCCCAGTGGCATGGAATTTTGCTCACGCTATCAATCACTGGCTTGTCTTGTCCGGACTCGGTTATTTACAAGAGGCCATCATACAACTGGAATATAACTGATTGCAGCATTAAACAGCACACACTCAAACAAACAAACAAAACTGTGACCATGTATGTATGTTTCCTGCAGAAATTCTGTAAATATCTGGTTGCTGTGATCATGTCAGTTTCTTTACATATTTTAATAATATCTCAACATCTTCATACAACTCTCGTACCTGTCTGAGCTGATATTTGACTGTCGCTGGGACAAAAGTTTGAAACAAGATTTCAGCTGTTACCCATGATCCTCTCTGTGTAGATTTCTCTGCGTCTGCTCCACTGCCAAGTAAGCACCAGACTCCAGAGAAAGATCGGCTCCGGGCAACAGTTGGACCTGTGGATTACACAGACAGGCAAACACAAGCCAGGGCGACGTCAGGTGTGACAAAAACGACAACTACATCTTCGTCAGCTACTGCTGGAACACTCAGGTCAGGAACATACTTACTGTTACTTCAGCAATTTTCAAAAAATATATCGTATCAGTAGGGCATGGTTGACTTTGTTTCACTATTTTGACCGAGTTAGGATTCCAAGATAGAATAGGTCTCCAGTTTCCCTTGCTTGGTGACCACAACTGCTGCTGAGGGCCAATATGAATGTACCTGACAACCAGAGAAGATTTACTCTCTGCATAATAATACCCCACCAGCATTGCCGACCATGGTTTGTCTGGTCCAGACCTGACTACTCATATACTGTCCTGGTATGTTGCACCATGCTCTCACTCCCTCACAGTGGAAGGTTGACATAGGCCAGAGAAGGACTTCAAATCGGCGGTCTGTCATTGAAAAGGCTTTAAATATTAATTTGCGTTGAAAAGGCCTTGAATTTGACAACAATGTTTTCATACCAACCTGCCCAACAAGTGCTTTAGGAGAAGGCTGTAATAAGTGCTGCACTTGTGCCCAATCCCTTTGTCTTTTTGGACAATAAAATATGTTTAATAATAAGTGCTTCAACCCCTCCTTTTCTGACTGGGGGTCAAGCGTTCGTGAGGACCAATCAGACATAGCCCCCGCCCCTGCCTCCTGTGTCAGGGTGTGTAAACCCCCTCCCCCTGGTAGATTGCAGCCATCCAGAACTTTGAGGGCATCATCTGTATAAACAGCTTGACGGGGACCTGCCCCAGATTCCCCCTTTTGTTGGGACCATGAGTGTGTTATTTGCTGATCTCTGAGCCCCCTCCCCAGCTCGGCCATCTCACAGTTTTCTGAAATAAGAAATAGTGTTGTGTAAGAATATCTCAAATATTTTACCTCAGTCCTTTGTCATGTGTATACATTGTCTCCTCCAGTTCCCGTCCTCTGGCTGCCAAGGGTCTAGCCTCCTCCTATACAGACCTCCACAGTCTGGTGTCGCAGACGGCAGCTTACGTCCGTGCTGCAGTTCGAACCAGCCCGATCAGATCCAGATTAGAGCGAGATGCTCTTACAGACTACCAGACACCCCTAGATAGAGACTTGGTTCGAGACTATCCTACAACTAGCAGACTTGGCTATGGGTACGTATCAATATGGTAATCATAGTATATGTTGACACATTTTTCCCACTGATATGTCAATGTACATTTCACTGTGACACGTTATGAATTGTTTCCTTCAGGGACCCAATTACGTCGACAGCCCCAGAAGCAGAGGACCGTCACCTTGCACACGACCTTAATGCTGCTCCTAAAGATGTCGCTGCAACAAGACGAACAGAAGATGTCATTCGCTCAAGGCTGGACTACAGTGCAGTGAGTCACATTGGCTAGATTCCCACTAGTGAACTTGTTACAGCATGCTGACAGTTGGCTAGATTCCCACTAGTGAACTTGTTACAGCATGCTGACAGTTGGCTCGATTCCCACTAGTGAACTTGTTACAGCATGCTGACAGTTGGCTAGATTCCCACTAGTGAGCGTGTTACAGCATGCTAAACAGTTGTCTAGATTCCCACTAGTGAGCGTGTTACAGCATGCTGACAGTTGGCTAGATTCCCACTAGTGAGCGTGTTACAGCATGCTGACAGTTGGCTAGATTTCCACTAGTGAACTTGTTACAGCATGCTGACAGTTGGCTAGATTCCCACTAGTGAACTTGTTACAGCATGCTGACAGTTGGCTAGATTCCCACTAGTGAACTTGTTACAGCATGCTGACAGTTGTCTAGATTCCCACTAGTGAGCGTGTTACAGCATGCTGACAGTTGGCTAGATTCCCACTAGTGAGTGTGTTACAGCATGCTGACAGTTGGCTAGATTCCCACTAGTCAACTTGTTACAGCATGCTGACAGTTGGCTAGATTCCCACTAGTGAGCGTGTTACAGCATGCTGACAGTTGGCTAGATTCCCACTAGTGAACTTGTTACAGCATGCTGACAGTTGGCTAGATTCCCACTAGTGAACTTGTTACAGCATGCTGACAGTTGGCTAGATTCCCACTAGTGAACTTGTTACAGCATGCTGACAGTTGTCTAGATTCCCACTAGTCAACTTGTTACAGCATGCTGACAGTTGGCTAGATTCCCACTAGTGAGTGTGTTACAGCATGCTGACAGTTGGCTAGATTCCCACTAGTCAACTTGTTACAGCATGCTGACAGTTGTCTAGATTCCCACTAGTGAGTGTGTTACAGCATGCTGACAGTTGGCTAGATTCCCACTAGTGAACTTGTTACAGCATGCTGACAGTTGGCTAGATTCCCACTAGTGAACTTGTTACAGCATGCTGACAGTTGGCTAGATTCCCACTAGTGAGCGTGTTACAGCATGCTGACAGTTGGCTAGATTCCCACTAGTGAGCGTGTTACAGCATGCTGATAGTCGGCTAGATTCCCACTAGTGAACTTGTTACAGCATGCTGACAGTTGGCTAGATTCCCACTAGTGAGCGTGTTACAGCATGCTGAAAGTTGGCTAGATTCCCACTAGTGAGCGTGTTACAGCATGCTGACAGTTGGCTAGATTCCCACTAGTGAACTTGTTACAGCATGCTGACAGTTGGCTAGATTCCCACTAGTGAGCGTGTTACAGCATGCTGACAGTTGGCTAGATTCCCACTAGTGAACTTGTTACAGCATGCTGACAGTTGGCTAGATTCCCACTAGTGAACTTGTTACAGCATGCTGACAGTTGGCTAGATTCCCACTAGCGAGCGTGTTACAGCATGCTGACAGTTGGCTAGATTCCCACTAGTGAACTTGTTACAGCATGCTGACAGTTGGCTAGATTCCCACTAGTGAGCGTGTTACAGCATGCTGACAGTTGGCTAGATTCCCACTAGTGAACTTGTTACAGCATGCTGACAGTTGGCTAGATTCCCACTAGTGAGCGTGTTACAGCATGCTGACAGTTGGCTAGATTCCCTCTAGTGAACTTGTTACAGCATGCTGACAGTTGGCTAGATTCCCACTAGTGAGCGTGTTACAGCATGCTGACAGTTGGCTAGATTCCCACTAGTGAACTTGTTACAGCATGCTGACAGTTGGCTAGATTCCCACTTGTGAACTTGTTACAGCATGCTGACAGTTGGCTAGATTCCCACTAGTGAGCGTGTTACAGCATGCTGACAGTTGGCTAGTTTCCCACTAGTGAACTTGTTACAGCATGCTGACAGTTGGCTAGATTCCCACTAGTGAGCGTGTTACAGCATGCTGACAGTTGGCTAGATTCCCACTAGTGAACTTGTTACAGCATGCTGACAGTTGGCTAGATTCCCACTAGTGAACTTGTTACAGCATGCTGACAGTTGTCTAGATTCCCACTAGTGAACTTGTTACAGCATGCTGACAGTTGGCTAGATTCCCACTAGTGAGTGTGTTACAGCATGCTGACAGTTGGCTAGATTCCCACTAGTCAACTTGTTACAGCATGCTGACAGTTGGCTAGATTCCCACTAGTGAGCGTGTTACAGCATGCTGACAGTTGGCTAGATTCCCACTAGTGAACTTGTTACAGCATGCTGACAGTTGGCTAGATTCCCACTAGTGAACTTGTTACAGCATGCTGACAGTTGGCTAGATTCCCACTAGTGAACTTGTTACAGCATGCTGACAGTTGTCTAGATTCCCACTAGTGAACTTGTTACAGCATGCTGACAGTTGGCTAGATTCCCACTAGTGAGTGTGTTACAGCATGCTGACAGTTGGCTAGATTCCCACTAGTCAACTTGTTACAGCATGCTGACAGTTGGCTAGATTCCCACTAGTGAGTGTGTTACAGCATGCTGACAGTTGGCTAGATTCCCACTAGTGAACTTGTTACAGCATGCTGACAGTTGGCTAGATTCCCACTAGTGAACTTGTTACAGCATGCTGACAGTTGGCTAGATTCCCACTAGTGAGCGTGTTACAGCATGCTGACAGTTGGCTAGATTCCCACTAGTGAGCGTGTTACAGCATGCTGATAGTCGGCTAGATTCCCACTAGTGAACTTGTTACAGCATACTGACAGTTGGCTAGATTCCCACTAGTGAGCGTGTTACAGCATGCTGAAAGTTGGCTAGATTCCCACTAGTGAGCGTGTTACAGCATGCTGACAGTTGGCTAGATTCCCACTAGTGAACTTGTTACAGCATGCTGACAGTTGGCTAGATTCCCACTAGTCAACTTGTTACAGCATGCTGACAGTTGGCTAGATTCCCACTAGTCAACTTGTTACAGCATGCTGACAGTTGGCTAGATTCCCACTAGTGAACTTGTTACAGCATGCTGACAGTTGGCTAGATTCCCACTAGCGAGCGTGTTACAGCATGCTGACAGTTGGCTAGATTCCCACTAGTGAACTTGTTACAGCATGCTGACAGTTGGCTAGATTCCCACTAGTGAGCGTGTTACAGCATGCTGACAGTTGGCTAGATTCCCACTAGTGAACTTGTTACAGCATGCTGACAGTTGGCTAGATTCCCACTAGTGAGCGTGTTACAGCATGCTGACAGTTGGCTAGATTCCCTCTAGTGAACTTGTTACAGCATGCTGACAGTTGGCTAGATTCCCACTAGTGAGCGTGTTACAGCATGCTGACAGTTGGCTAGATTCCCACTAGTGAACTTGTTACAGCATGCTGACAGTTGGCTAGATTCCCACTAGTGAACTTGTTACAGCATGCTGACAGTTGGCTAGATTCCCACTAGTGAACTTGTTACAGCATGCTGACAGTTGTCTAGATTCCCACTAGTCAACTTGTTACAGCATGCTGACAGTTGGCTAGATTCCCACTAGTGAGTGTGTTACAGCATGCTGACAGTTGGCTAGATTCCCACTAGTCAACTTGTTACAGCATGCTGACAGTTGTCTAGATTCCCACTAGTGAGTGTGTTACAGCATGCTGACAGTTGGCTAGATTCCCACTAGTGAACTTGTTACAGCATGCTGACAGTTGGCTAGATTCCCACTAGTGAACTTGTTACAGCATGCTGACAGTTGGCTAGATTCCCACTAGTGAGCGTGTTACAGCATGCTGACAGTTGGCTAGATTCCCACTAGTGAGCGTGTTACAGCATGCTGATAGTCGGCTAGATTCCCACTAGTGAACTTGTTACAGCATGCTGACAGTTGGCTAGATTCCCACTAGTGAGCGTGTTACAGCATGCTGAAAGTTGGCTAGATTCCCACTAGTGAGCGTGTTACAGCATGCTGACAGTTGGCTAGATTCCCACTAGTGAACTTGTTACAGCATGCTGACAGTTGGCTAGATTCCCACTAGTGAGCGTGTTACAGCATGCTGACAGTTGGCTAGATTCCCACTAGTGAACTTGTTACAGCATGCTGACAGTTGGCTAGATTCCCACTAGTGAACTTGTTACAGCATGCTGACAGTTGGCTAGATTCCCACTAGTGAGTGTGTTACAGCATGCTGACAGTTGGCTAGATTCCCACTAGTGAGTGTGTTACAGCATGCTGACAGTTGGCTAGATTCCCACTAGTCAACTTGTTACAGCATGCTGACAGTTGTCTAGATTCCCACTAGTGAGTGTGTTACAGCATGCTGACAGTTGGCTAGATTCCCACTAGTGAACTTGTTACAGCATGCTGACAGTTGGCTAGATTCCCACTAGTGAGCGTGTTACAGCATGCTGACAGTTGGCTAGATTCCCACTAGTGAGCGTGTTACAGCATGCTGATAGTCGGCTAGATTCCCACTAGTGAACTTGTTACAGCATGCTGACAGTTGGCTAGATTCCCACTAGTGAGCGTGTTACAGCATGCTGAAAGTTGGCTAGATTCCCACTAGTGAGCGTGTTACAGCATGCTGACAGTTGGCTAGATTCCCACTAGTGAACTTGTTACAGCATGCTGACAGTTGGCTAGATTCCCACTAGTGAGCGTGTTACAGCATGCTGACAGTTGGCTAGATTCCCACTAGTGAACTTGTTACAGCATGCTGACAGTTGGCTAGATTCCCACTAGTGAACTTGTTACAGCATGCTGACAGTTGGCTAGATTCCCACTAGCGAGCGTGTTACAGCATGCTGACAGTTGGCTAGATTCCCACTAGTGAACTTGTTACAGCATGCTGACAGTTGGCTAGATTCCCACTAGTGAGCGTGTTACAGCATGCTGACAGTTGGCTAGATTCCCACTAGTGAACTTGTTACAGCATGCTGACAGTTGGCTAGATTCCCACTAGTGAGCGTGTTACAGCATGCTGACAGTTGGCTAGATTCCCTCTAGTGAACTTGTTACAGCATGCTGACAGTTGGCTAGATTCCCACTAGTGAGCGTGTTACAGCATGCTGACAGTTGGCTAGATTCCCACTAGTGAACTTGTTACAGCATGCTGACAGTTGGCTAGATTCCCACTTGTGAACTTGTTACAGCATGCTGACAGTTGGCTAGATTCCCACTAGTGAGCGTGTTACAGCATGCTGACAGTTGGCTAGTTTCCCACTAGTGAACTTGTTACAGCATGCTGACAGTTGGCTAGATTCCCACTAGTGAGCGTGTTACAGCATGCTGACAGTTGGCTAGATTCCCACTAGTGAACTTGTTACAGCATGCTGACAGTTGGCTAGATTCCCACTAGTGAACTTGTTACAGCATGCTGACAGTTGTCTAGATTCCCACTAGTGAACTTGTTACAGCATGCTGACAGTTGGCTAGATTCCCACTAGTGAGTGTGTTACAGCATGCTGACAGTTGGCTAGATTCCCACTAGTCAACTTGTTACAGCATGCTGACAGTTGGCTAGATTCCCACTAGTGAGCGTGTTACAGCATGCTGACAGTTGGCTAGATTCCCACTAGTGAACTTGTTACAGCATGCTGACAGTTGGCTAGATTCCCACTAGTGAACTTGTTACAGCATGCTGACAGTTGGCTAGATTCCCACTAGTGAACTTGTTACAGCATGCTGACAGTTGTCTAGATTCCCACTAGTGAACTTGTTACAGCATGCTGACAGTTGGCTAGATTCCCACTAGTGAGTGTGTTACAGCATGCTGACAGTTGGCTAGATTCCCACTAGTCAACTTGTTACAGCATGCTGACAGTTGGCTAGATTCCCACTAGTGAGTGTGTTACAGCATGCTGACAGTTGGCTAGATTCCCACTAGTGAACTTGTTACAGCATGCTGACAGTTGGCTAGATTCCCACTAGTGAACTTGTTACAGCATGCTGACAGTTGGCTAGATTCCCACTAGTGAGCGTGTTACAGCATGCTGACAGTTGGCTAGATTCCCACTAGTGAGCGTGTTACAGCATGCTGATAGTCGGCTAGATTCCCACTAGTGAACTTGTTACAGCATACTGACAGTTGGCTAGATTCCCACTAGTGAGCGTGTTACAGCATGCTGAAAGTTGGCTAGATTCCCACTAGTGAGCGTGTTACAGCATGCTGACAGTTGGCTAGATTCCCACTAGTGAACTTGTTACAGCATGCTGACAGTTGGCTAGATTCCCACTAGTCAACTTGTTACAGCATGCTGACAGTTGGCTAGATTCCCACTAGTCAACTTGTTACAGCATGCTGACAGTTGGCTAGATTCCCACTAGTGAACTTGTTACAGCATGCTGACAGTTGGCTAGATTCCCACTAGCGAGCGTGTTACAGCATGCTGACAGTTGGCTAGATTCCCACTAGTGAACTTGTTACAGCATGCTGACAGTTGGCTAGATTCCCACTAGTGAGCGTGTTACAGCATGCTGACAGTTGGCTAGATTCCCACTAGTGAACTTGTTACAGCATGCTGACAGTTGGCTAGATTCCCACTAGTGAGCGTGTTACAGCATGCTGACAGTTGGCTAGATTCCCTCTAGTGAACTTGTTACAGCATGCTGACAGTTGGCTAGATTCCCACTAGTGAGCGTGTTACAGCATGCTGACAGTTGGCTAGATTCCCACTAGTGAACTTGTTACAGCATGCTGACAGTTGGCTAGATTCCCACTTGTGAACTTGTTACAGCATGCTGACAGTTGGCTAGATTCCCACTAGTGAGCGTGTTACAGCATGCTGACAGTTGGCTAGATTCCCACTAGTGAACTTGTTACAGCATGCTGACAGTTGGCTAGATTCCCACTAGTGAGCGTGTTACAGCATGCTGACAGTTGGCTAGATTCCCACTAGTGAACTTGTTACAGCATGCTGACAGTTGGCTAGATTCCCACTAGTGAACTTGTTACAGCATGCTGACAGTTGGCTAGATTCCCACTAGTGAGCGTGTTACAGCATGCTGACAGTTGGCTAGATTCCCACTAGTGAGCGTGTTACAGCATGCTGACAGTTGGCTAGATTCCCACTAGTGAACTTGTTACAGCATGCTGACAGTTGGCTAGATTCCCACTAGTGAGCGTGTTCCAGCATGCTGACAGTTGGCTAGATTCCCACTAGTGAACTTGTTACAGCATGCTGACAGTTGGCTAGATTCCCACTAGTGAACTTGTTACAGCATGCTGACAGTTGGCTAGATTCCCACTAGTGAGCGTGTTACAGCATGCTGACAGTTGGCTAGATTCCCACTAGTGAACTTGTTACAGCATGCTGACAGTTGGTTCTCGGGTCTTCCAGCATTGGGATGTGACACCTGCCTGCATCAACCTGCACTTCTGACATGAAGTTGTGGTGTTTTTCAAAATGGAAAACAATAGACCACCATTGGAGACCTATTTTAAAAGCCATTGTTAGGTTTTGCTACATCTAGGTCTGCTTGCTCAAAGCGATCTTAGCACTAAGATCATCGTAACTCCCATACTTAACATAGACTTACAATAGTAGATTGCTTTGTGCAGGTGGTCCCTGGACTGTACATGTGGATAATGTATTCCCCATACATTGTACATCTATTTCCACACTTTGTGTTTAGGTTTCACCGGGTGCTGCTAGCAGGAAAGTGTCCTTCCTAGATGACCGATCCTACAACAGTAGCGATGTCAGTCGTGAGAAACCCTCCAGAAGCACACGGTAAATACTACTGGAAGTAGCTTTTGCATGTGAAGTTTAATTCAGCGGTGATAAATGCTGTTGGTACTGCTGTCAAAACCAGATCACTAATCATATTTTTACCATTTAATATCAACTGAACAGGAATTTGTCTTTATTCATCCAGGGGTCAAAGTGATGATATAGGTACGATTCGCGTTGACATTCAGCCTAAACGCCGTCCAGCGAAGTCATCGACTGTCCCAACTCGGGCTGGGGAGAAATATGGCAGCTACACTGACCTTGGCTACCTTAGTGACACAGAGCTGGAGAACGGCAAACAGGATGATCGCCTCAGGAGGAGGTGAGGTCTTCACTCTCTGTGCTCAGATCATGTCATGTGTTACATTACTGTTTTCTGGCCATTGAGGGGGCGGCCTGGTGGCCTAATGGTTAAAGCGTTTGCTCGTCACGCTGGAGATCCGGGTTTGAGTCCTGACATGGGTACAATGTGTGAAGTCCATTTCTGGTGTCCTCTGCCGTGATATTGCTGGAATATTGCCAAAAGTGGTGTAAAGCCATACTCACTCAGTCACTCTGGCTATTGAGGTGTACTGTATTGCACAACATTAAGAAGCAAAGATGAATACCGATAGATTCTGGTGTCACCTGAGTTTGTCAGAATGATTACAGGGGGTCACAGGTAGCCCAGTCGTCTAGGCACACTAACTTGTTGTGCAGAGTTGCAACCTCTGAGCACGAAACCTATGATCGTGGGTTTGAATCCTGGTTCACCCCGATTATGTTTCTAGATTTGTCAGCACCATACCTGTGCTCATGCAAAGTGGTAAATGTCTGAGACCTGCATCACTTAAGGCTTTCCTCCCACGTTAAGCTGATATAACTGGAATACCTTTCGTAGTGGCGTTAAACCAAGTGCACTCACTCATTCAAAATGGTTCAAGACACGTCTCTGGTGAGAAAGGTTTGGGGCGTTCAAGAAAGGGTGGGTGCTTTCTCTGTTTGTAGTATGTAATGTTTCGTGGTATGATCTCAGTTTGTTAATTCAGATCAAAATGTTATTGGTTGAATCTTTTATGACATTATGAATGTATTTGAAATGAGACTGGCAACATTGTTGCAGGTTCCATAGAATGATTGACAGTGCTCTGACTGGGGAGGGCAGAAAGCCGTCTGTCAGCAACAGGAAGGCCAAGTCTGTCAGCAAGCAGGTGCGCTTCCAGGGGGGGAAGCAAAAGACCGCATCTTCCAGCATATTGTCACAACCTAGCAAACCCAAAAAACAAACACGAGGGGTACTTTTGGACACAAGAAAACATTTATTGAAAGAAAACAAGACTCAGAAGAAGAAAACTCAGGTTTGTTGATATGTTTGATAGTAAGTAGTAGGTGCTGCCAAAGGAAAATCGAACATAAGCATTAACATACTAAACTTGAAATATTTTGTCTTTTGATAATAAAAATACTATCCGAATCAAGCCTTAAAATATTTTGGCTGTGAAACTTGGTCAGAAGACTTGCAAGGGGCACACAGTGTAGATGACTGTGACAGGTGTGAATGTGTGTCCTGCAGATCCTCAAGCAGATGTATGAGGAAGACCTGGAGGACCTAGAGGAGGAGTTCCAGGAGCAGGCGGCCCGCGGCAGGAAGGAAGCCAAGGAGACTGTACGTTCCACCCACATTATCTCCTTTAATGCGTGTGTAGTCCCACTGAAACATATGTAACATTTCCCATATTTCCTCAAGTTAGCATTGTCATGTGTGTTATAAAGATTGTGTTAGATAGCAAAAAAAATCTCTAACCAGGGACATTCTATGGAATAGACCTGGACAGAGGGATATTCTATAAAATATTCCTGAAACAGAGGGATATTCTGTTGAAGGTCCTTGCCAGGAGGTTATTCTACGTAAGGAAGGCCCTGTAAAAACGAAAAGATGTAGTTATTAGAGGTTTGTAAGGGCATTCGTACCAATCCTCACCCCTCAACTGTTCAACGTGCGAAACCCAAATGGCTCTCTGTGCTGATTTTCCTGTTACCTTCTGCTTTGTTATGGAACTCTGTTAATATTTCAGGAGAATGATTTTAAGAAGAAAGTGCTGAAGAAAAATAAAGTTGGAGATACCCGAAGACCAAGGGTACAACAAGCAATACCAAAAAGATCGGAGGTGACAATAAAAGGTGAGGCATTATGCAACTCCCTGTGTGTGATCACTTTGTCCTACATCCCTGTGTGTGATCACTTTGTCCTACATCCCTGTGTGTGATCACTTTGTCCTACATCCCTGTGTGTGATCACTTTGTCCTACATCCCTGTGTGTGATCACTTTGTCCTACATCCCGGTGTGTGATCACTTTGTCCTACATCCCTGTGTGTGATCACTTTGTCCTACATCCCTGTGTGTGATCACTTTGTCCTACATCCCTGTGTGTGATCACTTTGTCCTACATCCCTGTGTGTGATCACTTTGTCCTACATCCCTGTGTGTGATCACTTTGTCCTACATCCCGGTGTGTGATCACTTTGTCCTACATCCCTGTGTGTGATCACTTTGTCCTACATCCCTGTGTGTGATCACTTTGTCCTACATCCCTGTGTGTGATCACTTTGTCCTACATCCCTGTGTGTGATCACTTTGTCCTACATCCCTGTGTGTGATCACTTTGTCCTACATCCCGGTGTGTGATCACTTTGTCCTACATCCCTGTGTGTGATCACTTTGTCCTACATCCCGGTGTGTGATCACTTTGTCCTACATCCCTGTGTGTGATCACTTTGTACTGACGTCGGTAGCTGATCACTTTGTACTGACGTCGGTAGCTGATCACTTTGTACTGACGTCGGTAGCTGATCACTTTGTACTGACGTCGGTAGCTGATTACTTTGTACTGACGTCGGTATCTAATCACTTTGTACTGACGTCGGTATCTGATCACTTTGTACTGACGTCGGTATCTGATCACTTTGTACTGACGTCGGTATCTGATCACTTTGTACTGACGTCGGTAGCTGATCACTTTGTACTGACGTCGGTAGCTGATCACTTTGTACTGACGTCGGTAGCTGATCACTTTGTACTGACGTCGGTATCTGATCACTTTGTACTGACGTCGGTATCTGATCACTTTGTACTGACGTCGGTATCTGATCACTTTGTACTGACGTCGGTAGCTGATCACTTTGTACTGACGTCGGTAGCTGATCACTTTGTACTGACGTCGGTAGCTGATCACTTTGTACTGACGTCGGTAGCTGATCACTTTGTACTGACGTCGGTATCTGATTACTTTGTACTGACGTCGGTATCTAATCACTTTGTACTGACGTCGGTAGCTGATTACTTTGTCCTACATCCCTGGGTGGTGGGGTAGCCTAGTAGTTAAAGTGTTGGTTCATCACTCTGAAGGCCTAGGTTCAATTCCCCACATGGGTACAATGTTTGAAGCCCATTTCTGGTGTCCCCCACCATGATGTTGCTGGAATATTGCTAAAACAGTGTAAAACCATTCTCCCTTCCTGATGTATGTGATAAGGACAATGATATGCTCTGGTGGCACAGTGTGTTAATCTAGTGGCACAGTGTGTTAATCTAGTGGCACAGTGTGTTAATCTAGTGGCACAGTATGTTAATCTAGTGGCACAGTGTGTTAATCTAGTGGCACAGTGTGTTAACTGTATGTCACTGCTCTCTCCCACAGTGGTGCCCACCAAGAAGCCCCGGACCCACAAGCCAGCTGTCAGCACCAAAGTGAGGAGACACAGCTCCGGGGCGGGGACGGCCAAGAGGGCGAGTAAGTTGGTATAGATGAAGATAATCCTTGTATTTCTTTGCTTTTTGAAACAGAAATACTTGAAACATCGAGTCATTCTTCTCTGGGGTGACTCATTGCATTTAACTTCTTAAATTCTATCCTTGTGACAGATCTGTATCAGTAGTGTTATTAGTAAAAAGATTAAAAAGGAAACAAAAAAAACATTGTGGCACTATCATCGAATATCCCTGCATGTGCACTGACCTACTACTACTTGAGCTCACACCCTACTCCGCAGAGGTAAGGCCAACCTTCCAGGTCGACTAGGGGTAGGGGTTTCTTTCCCTACCCAGCCCCATCCCTTTGAACCTGTGGGTTGTAGGTAGGGTACCTCGTGGTTAAAACGTTTGTTCGTTCGTCACGCTGAAGACCCGGGTTTGATTCCCGACATGGGTACAATGTGTGAAGCCCATTTCTAATGTCCCCCACGATGTTGCTGGAATATTGCTAAAAGCGGCATAAAACCATACTCACACAATCACTGTTCAAAACTGTCACTTGATTCGCTGGTTTGTGGATAGCGTCTGAGTTTGTCGTTGGTTGTCTCCAGTGAGTCTAACGGAGGATGAAGACTTGATGCCGGTGCTGCTGGAGGAGTTCCCTCACCTGTACCTGTCCGAGCACACCTGGCATGAACTGTGGAGGCGGGGCATCTCTCAGATCGAACAACTCACTCGCACATATGAGGAAAACAAACGCAAGAAGAGTCTGGCTCAAGAACAGGTTTGTGTTTCTAGATGTCCTTTGTCAAGAAATGTTGGTAGCATGTCGTATGCTACTTTCAATTTTGATATAACATATATAACATATAACATTGTTTATTCACAATATATATGTCTAAAATTAAACATTTTGAGGCATTATGTGTGTTTGGCACAACCAATATGAAACAGTTTAATTGATATTTACCTCTACCATAGACAGTCTTGAATGATCACCTTGCAGACATGAAGGTAACGTCTGTGTGTTGTGCAGGTGGAGGGTGCAGAGAAGAGACATGAAATCCTGACGAGGATGGTGCAGAAACAGCTGGAACACTCCAAGCGTCTGGTCAGTCCAATATTATTACCTACAACCCACACCAAGCGTCTGGTCAGTCCAATATTATCACATACAACCCACACCAAGCGTCTGGTCAGTCCAATATTATCACATACAACCCACACCAAGCGTCTGGTCAGTCCAATATTATCACATACAACCCACACCAAGCGTCTGGTCAGTCCAATATTATCACATACAACCCACACCAAGCGTCTGGTCAGTCCAATATTATCACATACAACCCACACCAAGCGTCTGGTCAGTCCAATATTATTACATACAACCCACACCAAGCGTCTGGGTCAGTCCAATATTATTACATACAACCCACACCAAGCATCTGGGTCAGTCCAATATTATCACATACAACCCACACCAAACATCTGGTCAGTCCAATGTTATCACATACAACCCACACTTCCTGCAGAAAATTCATCAACCTAATGGTATACTGTACATTATCATACCTCCATGTCAGAATGATAAGATCTGATTAGTCCACGTGATCTTGATAATATACTGTGTTTCACGCTCAGCAGGGGAATAAATCTCTTATACCCCGCCATGAGCATGTTAGGCTGCATGTGGATCTCTGAGAAATAAATAAATCCCTTATACCCTGCTTTAAAGCAAAAAGCTGCACGCATTTTCCAAGTCAGTGGAAGTCGCATGACATAACGCAAGCTAACCATAGCTGAAATGAACAGCTGTTTTCTATCAATTTTGTATTTGTTTGATTTCTTTTTTGATGCCATATTAAAACATGTCGGTAAGATAAATTTGTTGAAGATGTATCATGAGGGGTACATGGGGTTTTATGCATCCCACGTGTTCATACCAGATTAGGATAGAAGACATTTTTTACTTGTTTAAAGTGTAACTTCATAATTTCATGCAAGTAAGCGCTATATCAGTGACTGTTTATTGCTTGTTTACCTGACCCATGAAGATCCAGGTTAGAATAGGTCTTCAGCAACCCATGCTTGCTGTTAAAGGCTACTATGTCTGTCTTGAGAGGCGACTAATGGGATTGGGTGGTCAGGCTCGCTGACTTGGTTGATGCATGCCATCATATCCTAATTGCTTAGATCGATGCTCATGATATCAATCACTGGCTTGTTTGGTCCAGACTCTATTATTTACAGACTGCCATCATATATCTGGAATATTGCCGAGTGCAGCATTAAACAACAAACAAACAAACAAACAAAGCTTATTTAGCCGCATGTTGTAACTTATTCCCTCATTGTAGCAAGACATTAAAGACCAGCGCAGTCAATCTGCATCAGTAAAGAACAAGATGCACGAGAAGCGTATGCAGTCTGCACGTGCCCGCAAGTACTACAATGAATATCAGGTCCGCATGAGATCCAAGATGTTGAAGAGAAGGACAAAAGAAGAAATGGTATGTTCAGGAATTGTGCTTTATTTTACAATTTCCTCCCAGTGTTAATGTTTCTTGTGTCCAACTTATTAAGCTTGGCTATCAGTCAGCAGTGCTGCAGTATGCATTGAGGAGATTTGTTTGGGAATCAGTTAGGTTTCATCCTTTGAAACACAATTTGTTAAATCCATTCTTATTTTCCACCTGCCATTAAGCAGTCTCATGTATTATTTTACCATGTATAGTCACATCAATTCATTCATAAATGCTTCAATGAGCGTAGTAGGTTTCAATCTTATGTGTACGTGATGTTACAGATCTTCAAGAAGCTGTTTGACGAGTGCCTGGCCATTCAGAAGGAGCGGATCCAGGAAGTGCGGCGATACGCCCGTGAGCAGCGCTCTAACCACGCAGAGCAGCGCAGCAACGAGATCCAGTCCATGGAGAACTAGTATCCTTGACCTCATCATGTTGCTTGTTGTTCTTACTGCAGCTGTACAGGAACTGACTCCATCACATTATGTCTTAAAGAATTCAGTCTAGAAAAATAAAGCATGCAGTTGATCATTCAACTTAAAGCATGAATTCAGATGCTACAGCTTGTAGGGTTGATTATGACATATAACTAACCAATGCAGCATTAGAAAATTGACACTAGTCCTGTAGTCCTTGCCAAACTGCCCAATAGTTAAGGTATCATAATTTGCCTTTTTTACAGGGGCACAGGGGCTTCAGTGGTCTGTCTGCTAGTTGTGGGAGCAAATCCCAGAATAGAGCCAGTTAAAATCATTGGTCTATCATCACCTTTATGTATTACTTGTCCTCATGGGATCAAAGTGTCACTTAGATCTTTGTTCCCACAGCTGTTGTGCTGTGATATTAGTGGAGCTATGTTATGGGTTATCCGCCCTTGACTGTGGCAGCTACCAGGACCAGTTCTCCCTGTTGGCGGAGAGAGTTGCCCGGGAGAGGACGGAGACGGAAATCAGAGAGAAGGCTCAACAGAAGGTGAGGAGGGAGAGGCAGCTTCTGTTGGTCATTTGTGAATTGTGTTATCTGTATAACAGTGGGGATTTCAGGGTAGGATTGGTCCCCAGCAACCCATGCTGGTCGCAAGAGGCATCAAAATGTTCCGGCTCCATGACTTGGTGGATATAGTGTCTTAGTACCCCAAATGCTTGGATCCCTGGATTGTCTGGTCCAGCCTTGATTACTTACTGGCCACTGCCATACAAGTGGAATATTGCTAATTGCAATGTTAAACAAGAACCTTTATGACATATTCAATGAGACTGTCCTCTCTCATTTTAATAACTGACATACTGATCGTTTAGTGAGTAAATTGTTACCTTAAGCATACTTCTCAAGGATGCATATTCTTCCTTTTGCAGGTGCTTGGTGACATGAAGAAGGAATTGCGGCGCCGTATGGAACGAGAGATAAAAGATTATCAGGAACAAATGTTCCGAGATGAAGATGATGCATATTTCCGTCAGTTGGACGCAGACCGACTGCGGCATGGGCTTCACCTGGCCAAGTTCCAGGCTCGGGTCTGAGATCTGCTGCTGCTGATGTGCAACTGCTGAAACAAGTGCTGGCCTACCTCTGTACCTTTTGGTTCTATGTCTGTGATGGGTGCCAATTGTCTCAAATATGGCGAATCAGTATTAAAGCTCATGATCACTCCAGAATACAAACTGAACAGACTTGATATATTCAACTCATGGTCTGTATTATAAACATAAACATTTCTAGATGCTAACATATGTGATAGTTGTCGAGAAGCATCTGATCTGTGGTAGTTTCATGATCATCTGGTTATGGGTGATAAAAGAGATCCTTGAAATGACAAGCAGCCCGCTCCCAGGAAGATGCCCGTCATCTTTGAAGGAAAGTCACATGTCAACCATCCTCATGCTCACCCATGGCCTGTGTTGTCTAGCTTTGACTGTGGTCTTGGTACCATGGACTATTGTTTGTGAATCTTAATAGAAAATTTATATATAGTTTTATCCATGAACATCACTGTAGAGCTCAACGGCCAATGTCTGCAGTAGGCTCAAACAGTCATGACATCCTACTGCATTATTTTTCTGTGATATTTTCCATCCCTCTTTTGTAAGCTATATTTGTACAGTTAATCCGCTAGTACACTGTGTTCAGTTTATTGTATACATTGTCAGTCTTTGAATGCATAATAATCCCATGAAATATTATTGATACACTGAAATTTGGGTGTCTGTAGTTCATTGTAAATTTAGCAAAACTATTTATTTGTAAATATTTCCGTAATAAAAACTAAAATAATTGTATAAAGGACAATATGTTTCTGTTGTTTTTGAATCCACAGGCATGGGGTAGTGTGGGTGAGTTGAATGGTAGGGTAGAGTTGAGTTTAACACGGCTTTGAACAGTATTTCAGTTATATCAGGGTATGTCAGATTCATGTGGGAGGAGAGCCCGAAGTGATGCAGTTCTCGGAGTCGTTTCCCACTTGGTGAAAACCACCAGCTTCAGTATGGTGGTGACAAACCTAGAAACAAAATCTGGGAAAACCAGGATTCAAACTCATATCTTTGGTTTCTGGCATGCCAAAGGGACACAACTCTGCACAACGAATTGTGAATTGGTGCACCCCAGACTCCACCTGTGCCGCATACTCGGAAAACCATGGACCATGAAATATACTCTGCTAAAAAATACAAGCAAAAATTGAAAAAATCGCAAATATCTGACCACCATACAATAATAATACCTAAAAATCCATTTCTGCATGGATTGGGATTTATTTGTGTGGAAAGAATGTTACTGAAGAAATATGGTGAAAACACAACCACATCAGAGCCTGGGGCTGAAACACACCAACATGACATGCATGTGCAACATCACTTGTTGGACTAGAAAAACATTCGCCATGACTGGGAAGCCCACCCCAACAACCCATCAGGTGACTGCTAACCCTAACAGGAGAATCATTTTTGGCCATAGATAACCATTACAAGACTGGACCCCTTAGACACACGGGACACCACGTGACCTTCCCAGATCCGTTGGACCATGTATCACTACTAGCACAGGACAGATTCATAGGCTACGTCACCTGAAAGAACCACCACCGCTACCTCTACAACTACTAATAAGGTGAGGTGAGGAACCGTTTACCCGCTGAAGGTATTCGCGCTAGAGGACCAGATCGAGATGTCATTTTGCCGGACCTGCACCGTTGGATGCGACGTCAGTGGTGTCAAGGTCACTGAGTATGGCCACAACTGCGATTAGTGACGAGTCACGTTTTATGCTTCGCAGTGCTTATGTTTGACGTCGTGTTTACAGGCGTCTCAGGGAGCATTATGCACGAATTAACTGCATACAGGAAGTGGACAGATTTGGTGGTGGCAGTGTGGTCATGTGGGCTGCCACCTCATACACTGGTAGGAAAGATTTAGTCAAAGTCATAGGGAATTTAACAGCACGTTACACTGATGAGATTCTCCGGCCACACGCCCTTCACATAAAACAACAAGCGAACGTCATTTTCCAACAAGACAACGCCCGGGGATTTATGAGATGCACTGGATCAAGACTGCAGGCCTGTCAGCAACAACCACGGAAACTCAGACAGTTGACACAAGCACTGCAGGCAGAGTGCGTGAACATTCCCCAGGCCACAATTCGGGATCTGATTGCTTCCATGGGATGACGATGACAGAAAGTTTTGGACTCTAATAGTGGCCATACAAGATATTGAGAACAGATGACCTTCACCTTGAAAATCTACTGTTCCATGTGTGCCATATGGAACCTGGGCCAATGGCAATGATTTTGAACACTCGATTACCATCTGTTGATTATTCATATTATATATAAAATATACATGAAAAATCAATTTTGCGTTTCCTTTTTTGTGTGGAGAATATGTTACAAAATAGAACCGTGGTCTTTGAAGCCCTTGCGACTCAACATGATAAGTCATAATAAGCTCACTCACTCACTCACTCACTCATTACAGTACCAATACCTACATGGATGAAGATGCGACCCGTGAATATCCGGGTAGAGAATAGGTCTTCAGCAACCCAACCTTGCCGTAACAGGCGACTAACGGGATCGGGTGGTCAGGCTTGCTGATTTGGTTGGATCGTTGTTCACAATATCATTCACTGGATTGTGTGGTCCATGGTCCAGACACCGTAATATAGGCCGCCGTAATATAGTTGGAATATTGCGGAGCAAACAGCAAACTATCAAGACTATTGTTATAGGTGATCGGGTGAACCTTTACAAACATTATACTTATTTGGGGATATGTTTTCAATAAAAAATCACTTGACTGCTTCGCGGATTATTTGCCTGTATTGAACACTTTTGTGTTAACATTCACAAACTGCACCCAATCTGTCCCTAAAAGCTGTCTCCGTGCTCACCAATAGAATGTATGTGAACACTTCAGGCACCATCGCCTTCATGCTCCTGTGCTCCCTGTAGGGGCCTGTTGAGAATGGTTCCTCTGCAGCCACAATCGACAAGAAAAAATTTGATCACTTCCTGGAGAAATCATGAAATAATTTCCCTTACTATAATCACCTTTGAATAAAAATTAACAGACGAAAACGTGAATATGTCCTCTTTCTGTGGGCTTGTTTGTGATTGTCGTATATCAGTGTTGGGGAAATTGACAAGAAACACAAGTAAAGGTAGATACAATCAAAAGATTATCAATTTTAATCTAAAATAACGTATACCGTTATGATCATTATGTAAAATTGGCAATGCTTGTTATCTCTATATAATTCGATCAAGTGCATTTGATGACCATATGACGTATTAATACAATGTAATCATTAAATATATAGTATGTACTGATGTTGTACTCCCAGCTAAAACATGGAATTGGAAATCCACCAGCCACTTGAAAGTGATCATGACATCCGAATTCCATTTTGAAAAATATCCGCAGTTTATCAACACTAGCCGCCCGTGTCCGACACATCCTTCCGGATGGGAGGAAGAACCCTCTTCCTCAATAGTCCCAGCTCCCTCTTCCTGTTCTCTACGGCCGCCATCTTCCTGTAGAGCTTCTCCGACCGGTTCAACTGACGCAGGATCTGCTGCTGGCTCTTCCTCTCAGCCGCTCGTCGCCTCTTCTCCTCCTCCTTCCGAGCGGTCTTCCTCCGGAGATCCAGGTGTTCCTCCTTGTGTATGCCAGCAATAATCATCTTCTCCTCTCGAGACCACAGGCTCTTCTTGTGAGAGCTGAACAGAACGCGACGTCGGGCTTGTCCCCTCGGTTTGTCGGCGACTAGAGGGACCTCGAATGCCACGCCCCCCTGTCTTCGAAGTGTCGGAATTATTCCCTCCTCTTGCAACTGTTTCATGACTTCCTCTTCGGTAGCGCGTGGAGCTTTGAGAAATCCCTGTAAAATTATCTTTTCTAGTTTGTCGTCCATGTTGGGAGCTGTCTTATTCTTTCTGGGTCGGTTTAGAAGAGCTGAGAATTTAGCGCCCATTGATGAAGACACCAGTGCCTGTTACAAGCACGTCATCCTCGTGTGGCACCAACATGAAACTGGGGAGTACCGTGACGTAACAGTAGTATGACGTCATCCTTCTGTGTCCCGCTTTGATTGGTATCTGGTTGTATTAATTTATTCATAAACGTAAGCGTAGACGAATATCAGCCTTTCAAAACAAAACATGCATTTTTTTCTAATGTGTTGCATGAATGTAAAATGATATCATGTAATAGAAATAGAAATCCCGCATTTAGTAATTTCGTGAGGGCGATCACGAACGTTACACTAGACCACCCGACATTTTATTTAATTATGTTTGCAGTTTTCTCCCCTTCAAGTGTAATATAATGTAAGGATATAATCGGGGGGAAAATGGTTTAACTCATAACTGAAATTAGGACGGTGATGTTTGGAACGTTGGCGGTGATATTTATCACAAACGAGACCACGCGGCATTGCATTTGATTATGTTTGCAGTTATCTCCCCTCAAAGTGTAATATAATGTAAGGTATTTATAATGTAAGGAAAGAAAAAAAGAAAAAATGGTTTCACTTGTAACTGAAATTAAGGCGGTAATATTTGGATCGTAAAACATTTACATAGTCTGACCGAATTCAAGTTATTGCCCGACTGTTTTGGTGGAGAGAATTTGATGAAACGTAACATTGACACACTGCAAGTACGCGTGAATGTGCGGAGAACGCTTGATATACTCAGAAGACGACTAACACATCTCACGAACAAAATAACGCCGCCATAGAAAAACGGAAAAGAAAGTTATCTGCTTGTTTATAAAATAAACAATATTGCCTGGTTAAAATATAGAGTTGGAGCATTTGATTTCTCTATTTTCACGGTGCCGTGGCCTCGATCTCATGCCAGTATCAAGACCATTGGTGGACACTGCATACGTCCACCGCTGAACCTATGACATCCAATTGACAAAAAAATTAGGTTGAGTGCCAAAATTTGTATTAAAGCAGTACTTAACAAATGGTGTCTAATATGTTATACAGAATATATACAATACACAACAGAATCAGGAATGGACAGGCAAGTATATAAGGTGTGCGCGCTCGCGTGCGTGCATGCGTGCGCGCACACACACACACCCGCCCGCATGCACACACACCTCTGTGTATACAAACAGCCATATCCATGATCAATCTCACAAGGTCACTTATTTAATTGTTCCCTACGGCACAGACACAATTTCTGCGTCAGACCTTGCTTCGTCAGCACATCATTAGTTCACAACATGAAGATATGGGATGGTTTCTTTATTCGGTATTGAGAAAAGCAATCCTCATGAGAGTTTACAAAATGTCGCCACAAGAAGCCAAACACACGTCCTGGTGCCGATGTTCTTCAGTATTGTCGGACTAATCCAATTTCTTCATTACTCGGCGCTTATTAGACTGATATAATTTTAGTCTGGGAAAGGAAAATATTTTTTAAAGTATTAGAATGTTTTAAATATATAATCATGATAATATAAATGGGTTTGAATATTTATGTTTTCTGGTTTGTACGAGAGACTGCATACATGAGTTGTTTGATTTCTGCTTTCAGACAACAAAATCATATATAATATAGATACCTATATCTGTGCTGCACCCTCGATTATATCGAGTGCATAATACGTGCATCATAATAGAACGTATGGAGATGTCCACAGCAACCTCTATGTGCATTTCGTAAGAGGCGACTAAATGGTCGACCATGCTCGTTGACTTCGTTGATGCATGTCATCGTATCCAATTTGTTGCGTGGAACGATGCTTATGTAATCAATCGCTAGATTGTCTGGTCCAGACTCGATTATTTTGCAGGCCGTAGTCATTATAGATGGATTTTTCCGAGTGCGCCGTTAAAAACAACCACATCAAACATATTTCAATCCGCATAACTCCTTTAGACTCGTAAAATTTATACAGAATAAACGAGAGCTTTTGTCTCGTCACAAAACGTGTTTCAATCAATTATATATTCCTGTATTTCCTATTTGGAACCTAAAATTCCTTATTTCGCTTTGTCATTTGGTTCAGCAAGTCCTTTGCGGAATCGTTCTAAAATTAGACATTAGAAATGTCGTAGTCACGTGATAGTTACTAAATATAGTCCTCAACAAGGCTTCCCCAGTAAATACAAAGATGGCGAAGTGCGAGGTTAGCACTTCTCATCACGGGAGATAGTTTTGCTTTTACGTGACGTTACACATGTGTTGGCCAAGCATTTCTGTTTCCCAATCGCGTCGTCCTGAATTTAGGAACCCCAGTCAGACCTAATTGGTAATTTTGATCATGTTTACTGTAATAAAATGAAGGCCAAAGGCAAAGTTTGACATGTTTATTTGTTTACGTCCGACCCAAACAACAGAACAGCAATTCAGCAAAAGTATGAATCAGAGTGTGCGTGTCGGACGTAGCCCTCATGTCATTATGTTTTTCGATGTGATATTTTTATCAGAGTATTGACTAGATAATACATTTCTTCAATAAATACAGAATGAAAATAATAAGTTGGCTTTCAATGGGCAACGCGAAGCTGTAAAATAAGACCCGTTGTGTAGCAGTCATCCTGACAAGACATTGATTATGATGGCAATACTATTTACTTAATTTGAAAGCAGATGTTTTAATATATCTAACATGATTAATAGCATTAAAATGTCAATGTTGAATGTTACTATTTTCCGTTCTTTATGTTCTAGATGAGAAATAAAAAGGTGGACTTACTTTAATCGGAAGAAAGCAGTGACACAATGATGGCATCCGCGGCAACAGGACTAGGTGCTCAGAGATCTGCCATTTTGATTGAAGCTGAACCCATAGCAGGACCATCCAGTATGGATGATGATATGGAAGAAGGGGAGGTGGCCGAGGAGAAGAAGGCAGGCTTCCATGTCAACACAAGACTCATCCCCAAGGCTCTGCTCGAAGAACACTCAGAGCTAGAAGGTCTGGGACTTGGTGTCTTCAACCAGCAGGATTTCGAAGATGGTAGGTGGACATTAGTATTAAAGGATATACAAAACCAGGTGACTCTGTATTGTGGTATAAACCAAAGTGTGTTAACACATGATAAAAAGAGCATGATGTTATTGGAACACTGGGAAGAGATGACATTTATGATAAGATAACTACTTACATTGCTTACTAGTGTTGATTTTTATCCCTCATATTGTTAACTTTATTCATTTAATCGTGGTTATAATTTTCAAAAGCAATTTGTGAGACACAACCTTTCTGCAAACCAATTACATGAATTCCAGCAAATCGTGTCAATGACTACAAGTAAAATTGTACTGTAACCTAATAATTAGAAGTTACTCAAAGAAACTGAGTGATACTAATTTGAGTCATCAGTACGGAAAGTGCAAACTCTTTGAGGAGTATATACGCATGATGAGCTAATATCGTCCCATGTAATGATGCTTCTGTCTGTATGCAGGTGTGATGGCCCAGGCGGACCAGGCTATGGCGTTGCAGGAAGAGGAGAGGTTACGTCGAATTCTTACGAAAGAGATGACAGCCGTTGAGGACGACTTCAAGTGAGTGCTGTGTTTTGTATTGTTTTATTCTTTTTTTACATTATTTTCATCACTGAAATTGATGCTGTGGATGAAAATTATAAATATGAATAACTTATGATTTTGACATGATTCCAGAATGGCCAATCAGGAATTGACTCACATCAATAAAGTGATGGAATCAATGCCTCAGTCCATTGAGGGAGTCAGTCGAGATGTGAGGCACACAATAGAAGCTATTAAGAAACAGAGAGACAATAAGGTAAAATGTCCCTTTTCAATAGCATTGTCTTGAGAGATAACTTCTTAACATGCTTAAAGCCAGGAAGTAATCTCTGTCTTGGTATGTAAAAGGATATTACATAGGATGATAGCTGGATGTAAATCTCACATTGTAATGCATATTTTGTTTTCATGGTGATAGCTGAAGCATCTGAAAAAGTTGGAATCAAGGAAGAGCGTATTGCAGACTAAGATGGACAATGTCAAGATTGATGCAGGTGTGCTGGTAGCGCCACTCGGACAACAAGGTAGCTGGTTATCACACTGTGGCAATGGTTTAATGAAATAGCTGGAAGCTGCTGAAACCAGTGGTAGAATAAAACTCAACTCACTGACCTGAGCATTCTGTTTTGGGATTGAGTTTAAGAAAGAATATCTCCTTGGTTATGGACACAGGCTATGGATGTTAACTTGGTTAATTCTCTTTGGTGAAACCAATCAGCATCGGTAAAGGAAAAGGACATTCTCGTGCATCTTCATTGATTTTAAGAAAAACTAACCATATTTCAATGTTGTATTGGCTCTTTCAGGAGAAGATCTTGAAGCAGGTTTGACATCTGGAAAAAAGAGAGAATCGGAGAGAGACAGGATGATAAGACTTGGTCACATGACTCCCTTTGGAACAATTATCAAGAACAAGAAACAAGCCAAACCTAAACAGCGAACAACCACTTCAAAGGATGGTGCAAGCAAGACAAAACATAAACTGTCTGCCAATGGTAAATCAGGTGTGAACCACAGTGTTGACGGTCAGTCTCCTGTGAAGAAGAGGAAGAGTGAGAAGTCTAACCTGTTTGATGCGAGGGACCATAAGTTGTATGATCGGGAGACTGACTACACTCAAGCAAGGTACCAACGTCGAGGGAGAAGGAGTTATGGGAATGGAGAAGCATCATTTGGAGATGAAGAGAGTGACCGGGATGGCAGCGGTGATGAATGGCAGCCATCAGAGCAGGCCATTGAGGAGGAGGATGATGCACTAGGTAGTGTATGAAATGTCAAAAGCAATATGATAGTGAAACCTTTTGGACTGTCCATTTTAATTTGCTTTTAAGATACATAAATCAGATATGCTGCTCTGAGTTCTTTGCTTGCTTGCACAAAGAATTTAGAAACCTCGATGCTGATTGGTTAATCATAAAGTTCACCTGACCCTGTGGAGGGTGTGTAAGACTTCAGCATGTTGTGGTTGTGTTATTTGAATACCTACATACGACAACTGATGACAATCTTGGGGTATAAGGACTAGGCCATGGGGATTTGATTATTTAAAGCTGTGTTGCATTAGACATGTGTTTTTCCAAACTGTAAGTGATATATTTTTACCCAAAGTGCATATTGGTTGCTTATTAAGGTTTGCCTTTCTTCATTATATTAACTGGACATGCTAGAGGCAGGATACTTCAATCTGGTCTGAGGTTGTAGTTAGCACGTATTTCATGTAATTTCGCCAAGTTTCACCTGTGGAGGAATGTAATGATTTCTTGGGCCTTCTGGGAGTGGTGAAGGGGCTGATTCTGTTTGTACTTTTCAAGTACTCACAAATTCTAATCTACTTTTCATCTCACTTCACTTTTCCAAGAAACTGGGCAGCAGCAGTAGTACTTTAACAGACGCTTCTCAGAGGGGTGATGGGAACTTGGATATAACGTCACATTCCAAGATTATTGGACTTGCATGTGTGTGTGGGGCTTGTACTACTTGGGACTAAAGCTAGTTTTATAGTGCTAGCCCACTGAGATACCATGCCACAGTTTAACACGAATTATCCACTCAGACACAGTAGTCTGACTCCAAGCAGACTGGTCCTTGTTTCACCACCTTAATGCTGAGCTCCAGGCAGGGTGACAAGTACTATCGTTTAATGTCTTTTGGTATGACTCGACCAGGGGTCGAACCACTCGAGCCACCAACCTTCCATCTGACCATGGAGACAGTCTTCTTCTCAAATAGGATACTGTACATGGGTTGAGTATAACCTTGTCAACAGTTTTCTTACAGTGTTTTATGGTTTCTAAACTGCTTGTTGCAGAGCTATTAGAGAGGAGGAAGGAACGGAAGGCGTTTCTACCAGAGAGGCATGTTCCCCCGGCATATGTTGATGGTGTCGCGAAGCGGCAGATAATGAAGGTGAAGAAAGACACCAGCATCCACAAGGCCAAGGATGATGGGGATGAGAGATTCTACCAGAGGAGACTGAAGTATGTGTGTTTATCTCACTGTATATGTTAAAACTTTGAGTCCAGTTTTGTTTCCAATTCTTTTGACAGGTGGCTTCGCGTGTTAGAAGATAATTAATGATGTGCAGTGAGTCAACCGTTACAAGCAAAGTTTGAAACAAACTTGCAAATCCTTGAAAAATCCATAGAATATTCTTTATGCTGGAAATGACAGTAAAAGGAAGAAGATCTGAGCTGATTTTGTCATAGTCTGAAGTCTGAACAGGGAATACCAGAGGACTCTAGTATGGCTTGGTATAGTACACATGTAGAGGTTGACGCATTTATTCATTCACTGATGTGTGAACAAGGAATACCAGAGGACTCTAGTATGGTTTGGTATAGTACACATGTAGAGGTTGACGCATTTATTCATTCACTGATTTCTGAACAGGGAATACCAGAGGACTGAGCTGCTGAAGAAGTTTGAGCGCGAGTCAAAGATGGATGCGAGAGGGGACGATGACAATGACTCGGAGGAGGACGAGGAATTTGAGGGAGGACTCCAAGTGCCAGGATGTATCTGGAAAAACCTCTACCAGTACGTTAATAAATGTTTTTGGACTTCTGTTACAGGAATAACATGTGGAATATTTCACTAGATCAAGTATATTTACAAAAATATTTTCTTATGTCATTTAGAAATCAGTTTTCAATTCTTTCATTTATTGAGTTTTGTGTGGCTTGTGTAGTTATGCTTTGACTCTGACTCTCCCAGGTACCAGAGAGTGGGGGTGCGATGGTTGTGGGAGCTCCACTGCCAGGAGGCTGGTGGTATTGTTGGCGATGAGATGGGACTTGGCAAAACCATTCAGACTATTGCATTCCTGGCAGCTCTCAAATACAGCAAACTGCGCAACAAAAACTTTCCGTAAGTGAATGTCGGATAATCAACCCTGAATTTAACGAAGACAGTTGTAGCAAATAGTCAGAAAGGACCCTCCAATAATTATCATTGTAACATATATTGATGACGTGAGTGATGACAAATACTATTTTTCATGTGAATTATGAACATAGGGCATAACATGCTGATATTGAGGGCCCAGTGGAGACTGCTGATCAGTACGGAGGCTACATGCTGTCACAGTATCCTCATTTATGTCGAATGTGCTGTATGACCAACTGGTTCTGCCTGCAGATATTCGGGCCTGGGACCATGTGTGATTGTATGTCCAGCGACTGTGATGCATCAGTGGGTGAAGGAGTTTCACAAATGGTGGCCTCCATTCCGGGTGGCAATTCTGCACTCATCTGGTTCGTACAGTGGCAAGGAGGTGAGTACACACAGTAGGACATTGTGATACCATTTCATGAACTTCAATAGTTCAAATTCAGTCACCCCACCCCAGAATCCCTTCTTAACACTTGGCAAGCATTAACTAATTCAGAATGAACAGTTGTACATCAGGAATAAGACTACTGGAAAAGTGTTTATGATATATTTCAAGAAAAAACATTGTACATAAGTAACATATCAATAAACAGAGTGAATGACTAGTGAATTGTGTTATGCTCAATAGAACTGTCTATTTATTGTCTGACAAATGTTTTGTGTGGCAGCGTGACTTGGTGTACGGGGTGGTGCGGAACCAGGGGGTGCTGGTCACCTCCTTCAGCACCCTGGTCATCCACCAGGACGTCGTCCTGCCCTACAACTGGCACTACGTCTTCCTGGACGAGGGACACAAGATACGCAACCCAGATGCTCAGATCACGCTCGCCTGTAAACAGGTGGGGCAACAGTTTGGATAAACCAGGGATCAGCTTGAGTTTGATACCAGGGAAATATATAGAGGATCAGTAGCTATTTCCTCAAGTCTAGTTACTATGCATTGAAGTCTAAACTAAATGGCCTGGTGACTAGTGGGATTTCATACCTGGTATCCATCCAGGAATAAACAGATGAACAATTTACACGCCGTCCCAAACGTGACCAGTTCAGGACTATAATGATATTATATAGGAATAATGGCAATCTTACTTTTAGACATCTTTTTTTAATTGAGTCAAGAACTGTTTTGAAAATTATGATGTTAAACTTGAAGATTAATATTGCTTGATTGTGCGGGACTGAATTGTTTACTCTGGCGTGTGTTTCATCTAGTTCCGCACGCCGCACCGAGTCATCCTCTCCGGCTCCCCCATACAGAACCACTTGAAGGAGCTGTGGTCACTGTTTGACTTCATCTTCCCCGGCAAGCTGGGCATGCTCCCCGACTTCTTGCAGCACTTCTCCGTGCCCATAGTGCAGGGAGGCTATGCCAACGCCACCCAGGTCCAGGTAACAGCAGTCTTGGGTTTAAGGACATACTTGTATTCATGGCTAGGACTGCACGGTATGACCGGTGTACTGCTTCACTCAATACGCCTTTCAAACGCTACTTATGGCAATGTGTCCTGGGATCTGGGTACCAATTGGGTAAATGAAATCTAACAAGTTTTGTTTTATTTGTATATTTTGACTGAAATATTCATTAAAAAACGATGTTTCCCTTCAAAAGTGATTGCCAAAACAAATTGATTTTTCTTTCACATTGTTATATTTTCTGTATCCATGGTTACAAAATGGCTGCAACTGACCATGCTGACTTTGACATCATTGGCACCACTTTGGTTTACAATAAACGTAAATAGCTCTCAATATATAGCAACACAGATACTTGAAGCTTATGAGCAAGAGAAGAGCAAGGGAAACTTGTGCTAAATTAGTGATGTCACTAGGTAATTACATTAAGTAATACGTTACCACTGTTATACCGAGGCTGTTGTCTCCCACAACTGCTGCTATAGCGAAATCTACCACAGAGATCTCAATTACCTCATGCAGCATGTGCGTAGCCACCTAGCTGCCATGTGACACCCTTCGCTCTTGTCTCCTTCGTCTGCTTAGCAAGACGTGTTTTCTCCTGCTGAAGCGTTCCTTGAAGATTTGGTGATATTTATTATAGTTTATTCTCTAATAAACTGTGCTTTTATGGGGCGTTGCGGTAGCTACGCTTGGTTATAATTTTCCCGGCAAACGGAAAAAATTTCCCGCCCTTTTTTCTATATATCGCGGTACTTGTCATGTACGCTGAACGGAACAAAATGCACTCACTAACCTTTATGATTATTCGTGTTCTCTATATCAGATGTCATTTATTCTATCTAACAATGCATATTTTACTGATAAAAGTTCGTTATTTACATTAGTAGCGCCGAGTAAAAGCCGGGCCTCGCGCTCTGTTTGACAAGGGAGAGAACTCCATCGTATCGCGGTACAGAGAAAAGTTGTTTATGGAGGTCCGAATTGGACAAAAAGAGGACATAATTCTACCAACCACTTGGTATGATCATGACAGACATCAGTGATTTGTCCAGACAAGTGCAAAGACAGCACAAGTAAAATTCTAAATGTGTTATCAGCAATAGGTATTCAATGCATATTTACCGAAAAGTAAGAGAAAAATATTTTCATAAGTCAACATCATAATATCAGAAATGATATTTTAAGATTGTTTAAAAAAACTTGGATGACAATAATTTGTCACAAAATGGAAAAATGTTAAAAGTCAACAATAAATATATAAAAAGCACTCCTAGTATGCCCAAAGTATGTATTTATGTTTTGGTTACTAGTGAAGAACGTATTTCTAAGTTTGGCATTATGGCCCTTATGATCTCCCAATAGATTCTGGGCACAGAGCGGGAATAAATGTGCGGACTACGTAACTTCCGTTACCTCATTAGTCGCCATGAATATGCAGATGATCTAGTTCAGGTCGATAGAGAAAGTTTACTTGGGGAACTGCGGGTTGTATCGTTGGCCATTGATAGATGGGGGTAAGGCAATATTACAACAGATGCCAGAAATATGTATCAACGGATTAATAACTCCTTACTTACAGCAGACGGAACATTCCGAGGAAATTGAAATTGTTTACGAAGTGAGCACTTCCTGGTTACTGATTTGCATTAATAGACAGCCGCTAAGAGGCGTGTCCCGCGTGAACTATCGGAAATCACAAATGCCGCGATACGATGAATGCCGCGGTACCATGGGGTCCGAGTATACTTGCGGGGTTCGCGTATGCACGTTGTGTTTTACGTTTCCCCTGTTCTTGTATGTTTTGGGGGTTAACATAACTTATGTTTTAGTCTGTTTTCAGTCGTACAATTGGGTATCTCATACCTCTAGTCGCACGTTAAAAGGAAGCCAGAAGCTGGAATGTAAACAATAAACTTGTTTCCGTCCGGTTGCGCACGCACCTCCCGATGACATGCCACAAATCTCTCAGCGCGCCTCTGAGCTGGTCGCTCGAGAAGGACTTTCGCGATAGACTGCTAGTTTGTATTCTACTAGTACTTATCGTGTGTTTACAGTTGTTGTTCTAATACAGTAATAATAATATGTCTTACCTGTAGACTCCTGGAATGTAATCCTTGGTAATCCATTGTTTGGGTTCAACACGTGTTTCACTTGATTATACACGTGGCAACATGTCGGGCATTTGTGCCTCGTGTCAAGGAAAACTGTCTATAGTAGATCCTCACAAGTATTGTCCTTCCTGCATAAATAAGGACGGGTTTTCAACGTGTTCGTGGAATAAACGTTGTAAAGAATGTGAGCATTTGTCAACTTTAACTTGTATCTTCGTGCGTTGGCGAAGCGGGCTACTGACCAGCGCTACAAGCAGAGGAGGTCATCGGGTGGATCCTTGGACTCTGCACCCCCTACATCTGGCCCTGGGGGTGGCGCGTCGGCCACACCCAAGAAATCAGTTGAAAAAGACCCGCCTCAGTCAACTTATGTTTTCGACAAGACACGTGACCGTTCGCCTGCTGATGTTACTACCCGCACGACTGATCTTCGTCAATCGGTTGATCGAGAGCGTCACTCAGCCACCCCCGTTACGACGGGACCGGGTGGTGACGAGGACCACGAGGGGACTACGGTCCCAAGTCGGTCCGTCTCTCGTCCTACCTACGACGTGCGGGTCGACAGTGAACACAGATCCCTCTCTAGAAGTCGTTCCCGTTCACGGGACGACAGGTCGAGTGCCTCGTCGAGAGACAGTAAACGACACGAGGACGTTCGTCGCCTTCGAGGTCGTCGGGAGTTCGATTCGGACGATAACTACGATGGGGATCGTAGTACTTCTACAGTTGGAGATCGTAGCCCTCGCCCCCACGGGGACGTGCGACGCTCTCGAAGGGAGTTTTTGGGAGATCAGCGTCGTAGAGATAATGATCGATCGTCACCCTCGTCTCACTTTCATATCGACCCGGCTTTGATAGGCCAGATGACGGCGGCGGTACTCGCCTTGACGGCGTCGACCGAGAAGGGTTCGACTACGTCGGAGGTCCATGGACCATCGTCCTGTACACCGGTTCCTTCATCTATGCCTACACATTCGACGTCGACGATGGATTGTGACGACAGCGTCGTAGAGATAATGACCGATCGGCACCCTCGTCTCACTTTCATATCGACCCGGCTTTGATAGCCCAGATCACGACGGCGGTACTCGCCTCGACAGCGTCGACCAAGAAGGATTCGACTACGTCGGAGGTCCATGGACCATCGACCAGTACACCAGTACCTTCATCTACATCCACACAATCGACGTCTCCTCCCGATGTCTTCAGAGCCATGGCTCACGATATGGACCAGAACTTGCCTCTGCTCTGCCGGGGCAGAGTTTCAGCAAACCACCTGTTCGATCGCGTTACCCGATCTCTGGCATGCCGTTTTCGTCACTCATGAGAAGGGACTTGGATTGGGGGCTACTCTTCAAGAAACTAGCGCCCTCCAAGATTCTTGTAGTAGACAGGCATTGGGGATCCATGGACACTGCTGTTCGTCTCCAGCTACAACCGCTTGCTATGCTGTCGACAGCGAGCCAGCGGGGGAGGTAGTGAGGTCCCTTTTCCCCGCCGTCACCGTCGTCGGAGCCTACTACCTTTAGACGAGCTACCGGTAGGGGGAAGACTTCATCACACGGATCATGAAGACGGTCGTAGAATGGCTCCATCGGCAGGCGATCAGGGTCGCCTTCTACCTAGACGAGCCGTCTCCTACGGGCGACAGGCTCACTAAAATACCGGAATTGCAGAAAATTCTACGTGTCTTCATGGTTGAAGATGAGTCACATTAATTCCGACTGCCGGCCTGGGACCTCGATATCGTTCTGCGCTACCTGTCTAGTTAGACTTACGAGCCTCTCGATCAGGTCGCCTTCGACATTGTCTCAGACAAGAAGTACTGCTCGTATTTTTTAGTTACCTTGTATACTGCGAGTTGCTCTGTAACTAAATTATATACCGTCCACACTTCGATCGCAATTCAACTGTCGTGTGCAGTTGTCATGTCGCATCGATAATTTGTTGTGTGTCGAAGAGCATTAACCATGCTGTTTTAGTTACCTTGTATACTGCGAGTTGCTTTGTAACTAAACTATACGTCGACCACTTTGATCTCAGTTCAACTGACGCGTGCAGTTGTCCTGTCGCATCGATAATTAGTAGTGTGTCGAAGAGCATTAAACATGCTGTTTTAGTTACCTTGCCTACGACGAGTCGTTCTGTAACTACATTATAAGCCGACCACGTTTCGATCGCACCTCAACTGACGTGTGCAGTTGTCCTGTCGCATCGATACTTACTTGTGGGTCGAAGAGCATTAAACATGTTGTTTTAGTTACCTTGTATACTGCGAGTTGCTCTGTAACTAAACTATACGTCGACCACTTCGATCTCAGTTCAACTGACGCGTGCAGTTGTCCTGTCGCATCGATAATTAGTAGTGTGTCGAAGAGCATTAAACATGCTGTTTTAGTTACCTTGCCTACGACGAGTCGTTCTGTAACTACATTATAAGCCGACCACGTTTCGATCGCACCTCAACTGAAGTGTGCAGTTGTCCTGTCGCATCGATACTTACTTGTGGGTCGAAGAGCATTAAACATGCTGTTTTAGTTACCTTGTATACTGCGAGTTGCTCTGTAACTAAACTATACGTCGACCACTTCGATCGCAGTTCAACTGACGCGTGCAGTTGTCCTGTCGCATCGATAACTAGTTGTGTGTCGATGAGCATTAACCATGCTGTGCGTTCGTGATAAACAATTTGTCTCGTCCGTGCATCTGGTCGAATGTTCTATTGTCACTACAGGGGTGAGGAACTTGGTACATTCGACGTGACAGAGGTCACTTCTGGATTACTTTCCCGACCCTCCTTCCAGTGTTCCGTCGAATTCTACCCAATTGTATGACTGAAAACAGACTAAAACATGGGTTTTT